AATTGAATTGTCTACTGAGGCTCACGAGCGTTAATCGAATATCACGAATAACGCTTGTAATAAACAAGTCAAAATCACAAGCTTGAGCTTGCCTCATTGACGTGCTGGTGGAGCCAAGTTGAGGTTCATTGAGCCTCATTCGCCATTCGCCATTCGCGTTGTTTACGAGCAGCTTGGCTTGTGACTATCTGTTTGTGGGGACTAAAAGTCCCATTAATTTCTTTTTTCCCGGTTAGACAGTCTTCAGGGTAAAGATAGGCAGTACATTACGATTTTTCTGAAACCGAATTAGTATGAATTGTTTTTCTATCGCATTTTTATTTTTCTCCCCAAAATTTATTGATATGCAGATTGTCACAAAGAAGTTTAATATTATTCTTGGAGAATCACAACCCAGTATAAAGATTTTTGCAATGGAAATTATTTCTATTAGAACTGAATTTTATTTGGGTAGCAGAATCTCTTCTTCAACAAAGCGGCCTTAATATCTGCTTATAGTTTTAAACATTTGAACTTTTGATTATCCAAAAAAAGATTCATGACGTCGATATGTGTCGGTATTTCTTCGAATGCACGGGGCACTATTGACAAGAACTGAGAGACTTGAGATAGATTCCGTCTATTGCATAAAATGAAGATAAATGCTGATATCTGTGTCAATATATCTCACTGCATTGTTGCTGCCCACATTGGTACTTTCTGGGCAGGTTCATTCTTTTTGTATGCTTCCTCAAAGTGAATAGACAATGATAATGCTGTTGTCCAGTTTATCTTGGCACCAGATGACAATTACTGACAGAAAACTAGTTACATCAGAGAATTATAGTTTCCTTTTTCTCTTCTTTATCTTTTCTTGGTGGGAGAGATTCTAAAAAATGCCGTACTTCGTTTTGCTTCAAGTGTATAACTTCAATAATTTACTAGGGTAAATAATTTCATATGTTAGTCCTGTCTTTTCTCGAGACTGCAATCTAACTTATTACGGAGTACAATGTTATGAAAGAGAGTTGTCCAAAATTTTCAAATATCTAGTGAGGTGGGATTGATATTTCACACTTGAATCCTGAACTTGACACTATTTAAAAAAAAAAAAAATGAGTACACCAGTCTTTTTGACAAAGGAAATGCCTGTGCCATTTCCTTGTGCCATTTCCATGCTTGACCTTCCAATCTTCCATGAAGCAATGTTGGGAGCGTGAACTTATCATGCCTCTCCAAGGTATATAAGGTCTGATATTATCAGCTTCTGAACTTACATGGATAGTACTGATAAGCTGTCTCTCAGGTTTAGAATCTAGCCAATCAAATTTACATACAAAATGTAAGCTAAGTGATTCATGTTGCCATTCGTAATCTCATTTTCTTTTTCTGTGTAAGAGTTAAGATTCATGGTAGTCAAATCCTTGCAAGCTGGTCTTGAAGATTGAGAAGATTTTAAATTGGAATTGATTCTTTGTATGCACCCCCCCCCCCCCCCCCCCAAAAAAAAAAAAAAAAAAAAAATCATATTATGTGCCTTCTGCCCTTCTGTACCTTCTGAATGCTTAATGGTTCTTTGATTCGAGGTCAAATTGTATGCAACATGTAGCTGAAGGTTTACTTAAATCCTTTATCTTTAGGACTTTTAATTTCTTTAAGTTTAAAAGATTTGAAATTGTATGTACAGGTAATGTCACTTTGCTGTAAGGAAGGTTCATCTGATGCTGGACATAAAGGCATGAAGGAGGTAACAATTTGCCAGTTAAATCTATAAGTGACATTTACAAATTACTTCAGAATTTCAGAGTATCTTTTGTAACAGGTTGCAAAGAAATATAAAGAAGGAAAGAGGGTTGGGTTTGCAAAGTTGTCTACTGATGTTGATCTCTATATTTGTCCTCATAGTGATGCAATAATCACTATTCTAGCAAAACACGGCTTCTTCAAGGGAATGGCTGCTATCAAAGACAAATCTGATCCGCTTATTGGTTGTGCTGTGTGGAAGAAAAACTCATCCGCTCCTGCCACAAAAACAGTAGAGGGTAATGCCCCACCATCAGGTCAGACTTCTAAGGAAGTTGCAACATCTGAAAAAAGTCAGAATCTGATTGAAGTTGTGCAAAATGGCAGAAGAGACAAAAGTCCAGAGCTTTTGCCCTCACCTCAAGTCAATCAAACCAAGCAGTCTATAGTCACTGAAAATTTGACCTCAGTCAGTGGTACCTCTAGCAAGCTATCAGAGTTTAAGACTGATGTGGAACCAAATAACCCTATTCCACCTATACCTCCGGTTTCTTCAAAACAACCTGCAAATAATTCTGATGATGATGATCTACCTGAATTCGATTTTAGAGCTACAGTTTCTCAGGCTTCAGTGAACAATACTTCAGCTGTTGCGGCACCCACTTCTTCTGAATTGAAGTCAGAATGTTCGACTGCTTCTGTCCCTGTGCCAGATTCTCAATTTCAACAATGTGTTGAGAAATATTCTGAAGTGCCAAACCAAAGCTTCCCCCCAACTCAAGAACATAATCACATTGGGCATTTTCAAGGACCAGCCCCACAAAACATGGGTCAGCAACATTTCCTTTATCAAGGACTAGCTCCTCAGCATGTAAATCAATATCCTGAAGCACATAAACCAAGCTTCCCAACACAGGACCAGAACCAAACTGGGCAATTGCAAGGGTCAGCCCCACTAAACATGGGGCAGCAATCTGAAATGAAGATTCCTAGTTTGTCTGTACAGGAGCAGAAACCAATGGAGAAGGGAGCTGCTGGTTCGAAGCCAAGAAATCTTTTCGACAATGAAGATATGCCTGAATGGTGCCCACCAGATTTCTTGAAGAAGAGGGAAGAAGCAAATAAAAAGACAGGATCCTCATTTTCTCATAGCAAACCCAAAGTTGCTGGTTCAGGGTTTGCAAATTTAACTTCTGGTTGTCAGCTGCCCCTGCCTCCACCTCCACCTCCACCTCCACCTCCTCCTCCTCCATTGACTCATATGCAGCTCGAAAGCAAAAGTCACCCAACTGCCCCTCATCTTCCTAATCCAGGTACCAATGGTTTCTCGTATGATAGCTCCACTGCTAAATCATCCCAGATGCAGTTCAAAGAGAGAGACTACTGTTCTACCCCTCATGTTCCCCCACCTCCTCCAGTTGGTATTTCAGCAACCAATAATTTCATGCATCATATTCCTGCTGCACCAACAACCCAGATGCAATTCAGAGACAAGAATCCAGCAGCTATATCATCCCAGATGCATTTCAACGAGAGAGAGTGCCGTTCTGCCCCTCATGCTCCCCCACCTCCTCCAATTGGTAACCCAGCTACCAATAATCTCATGCATCATAGTCCAGCTGCACCATTGAGCCAGATGCATTTTAGAGACAACAATCCATCTGCTTTATCATCCCAGACGCAGTTCAACGAGAGAGAGTATCTTGCCCCTCGTGTTCCCCCACCTCCAGTTAATAACCCTTACCAAGCTGCTAATAATTTCGTGCATCATAATCCAGTTGCTCGATCAACCCAGATGCAATTTGGAGACGCAAATTTCTCTCCTGCCCCTCGTCCTCCACCATACATTGATAAGCCCACAAACAATGGTGCCACCCATCAGAATCCTGCCTTTCCTCCGGGTTTCGCACCAAGTCCTGCTTTCAGGCCTTGTTTTGATCAGCCTGGTATGACGAATCCTATCCATCCCCATATTCGGAGTACAAGGTCCTGAATTTCAGGTGTTTTCTAGGGTGGTTGGAGAGAGCAATAGAAGGTATTTATGACTTTGTAGAGAGATGCCTAGATATGGAGATAGAATATAGTTTGAGCAGAAACTGACGGTAGTTTCAAGTTGTGTAAATAAGATAGAAATTAATTTTCCAATCAGTAGATTTCTGTACTTTGAAAGTCTAGTGTCAATGCTAGTTTGCTGACATCAGCTCATGCACTATTCTCAACTCCATTGTTTGGTTGCAAGCAGATTTTTTTTTTTTATATGTAACTTCTATATTGTACAGATTTGGAAGCATAACCATAGAGACAGAAATGCTTCTTTTACAACAACAAAAAAAAAAAAAAAATAAATAAATAAAAAATGCTTGGTATAAGATACAAAGAATTTCGGATTAATTAATTAGATAAGCATAGAACTCTAAATGAGCAAGTATTGATCTTGTATGGACCCGGTCTACAATAAATTATTGTAGACCTAAAATTTGACACTTTCAAATAATATAATCACATTCTGGCTAATATAATCACTTTTTTAGATGATATAATTATCTTTTTGTGAGACATATTTTGATCTCATATTAAATCATTTAATGAGATTATATAATTATCTTTAGGATGATAAAATTTAAAAATCATCTTTTAAATGATGTAATTTACTATTTGATACTTTTTATAATGATAAATTCACTTTTTGAGTGATACATTTACATAAATGTTTCAAGATGATATAATCACTTTTGTAATAATATAATCACATTTCGTATGATATAATCACGTTCGTATGGTATACTAGAAGGTTGGGTCTACAATAAGTTATTGTAGACCGGGTCTATTCTAGTCTTTATCAATGAGCAAATGGTACGCTACAAGTAAAAGTGGGAATTTATACTGAAAAGTCACATACTCTGCTTTAAACCAATATGAAAAAATAATAAAAATAGTATTTCCTCCTTACTTCGTATTATGTACTTGCAACACACTCCTTTGATACGCATTTTGAGATAGATTAGATTAGGTAAACAGATAAATTAATTCACAAAATTTTTCCATTGATAAGAAGAAAAAATTAAGTTGCTATGATTTAAATTTCATAGCTTACAGGAGAAGTAATTTATAGTGTGAGAACAGTGCAAGTTCCGGAAAGTTTCATCTAAAAGGAAATAGAGGAAGTATAGACTAGGATGGGAGGGCAGGGGTTTTGGTTTTTAACCAATTACAGTGTGTGAGGACTGCCTGATTGATACTATAATACTACATGCTTACTGTAAAATTTAAGATGCATATTACATGGGGTATATCTCCCAGGTGCTCTAATAATTAAGAATAAGAATGAACAAATTCTTTCTGGCAGAATTGACAGAAAACTTTGGGCGACCTCCAACATATTAAGTAACCAGCTAATCCATATGCAATTAGGCAAATAAAACAATGCAGAACCATCAGCAATAACAGACATTGGTCACATGGAAATATGGCATTTTTCATCTTAAGAGCAAGATTTCTCAAATACCACAACTGCACTGATGAAAGAAAAGAGGGGGGAAAACAATTTAAAGGCTTTACAAGGATCCACAGAACATTGGCCAAACTATCAAGGATCAAAATCATCAACAGTAAGCCAGCCAGTCGAATCCTCACCCTCTGAATCTCTATCTCGCAAACTTGAGTGGCCTTTCACCTCGCTACCTCTGGCTTCCACATTTTTATTCAATCGAACCCATTCATTGGACCCTTCTGGTGATGAAGTTCCCTTTGACTGTGACGGCTCTGAGCTTGATATTCTATTAGGGAGATCATTATCATCATCTTCAAGATCACTGAAAGAGACATCATCTTCACTTTGAAATTGCTTTGGAGCAGCTGCAGAAGTTCCTGTAGTAACAGATTTTCCCTTTTCTTCCCACTTATCAGGCTTAGCATCAGATTCATTACGATCATTAAAAGTAAAACTGCTCCCATCCTCTGCCTCTAGAATCTTCTTGTCCTTGTCTGATTCTGTGCCTTTTACACTTTCTGATGCGTTTGAATTCTCTGACGATGTTACATCCTCAGCAGATTGGCTATTGTTCATTGGTGTGTCACCTTCGTTGTCAGAACTACCCAATTGGGGATTTTCAGAATTAATATCCTTGCTCTTCTTAGCTTGAAGCATTGTCAGCAGTGTCTCTCTTGCTTCAACAATCTGCAGGTGAAATTAGTCATGTTACATACTTCAATAAAAATATGTGGCTTCATAATCTCCAAGTCTCCAACACTCCCTTATACTCTTATGTAAACAATAAAATCACGTTACGCCAAATATAGTCAAAACCTCATTATGTAACACTTCTTCATATTGTTTTTTTTCACAAAAGTTTCGATCTCAAATCCTCGTAATACAACAAAAGAGAAGAATTGTCAATATTCCATACCAAATTTATCAAGCACACTACTAATAATAGGTAAATGAACTTGTGTGTAATTTGCAAGAAGAGTCACACACCGAAGTCCATAATAATACGATTAAATTCCCAAAGTATCCCCATGAATTCATTTACCTTTGTAAACTTTAAATATAACTCATCGCCAATCTGAAGGTGGCATAAATGAACAACTCACATACTAAGAGAATAAAGGCTTGACATAGACATTGTTATGAACTTATGGGCTACCTTTACAAAGTTCCATATAAACAAAACCATCACCATTATTTATTAGCGCCCACCAAACAGAATGTAAGGGTCAAAATTATAATTTGCACGTGAAAGAAAAGTAGAAAACAATGAAGAAATGGAGGGGCAGCAAAGATGTAAATCCATATTAATCATTTCTATGATGCAACACAGTCATCTTTTTAAATATTTCAGCAAACAAAGTAGCTAGTTTAATATTTCAAGGAAGAAAGAAAAATAATGAGGATAAGTAAGGTATTGATCAACAACTCAGTTCACATCAAGGATAGTCTAAAAGCGCAGTGTCACAAGCCAAATACAAACAAAGGCAAAAAATAATAGATAAAGCCCCCCCCCCCCTCTCACTGTATTTGATTGAGAAAAAATAAGGAATACACATGTAAATCTTGCCTCAGGAGTCGATAGAAGCTCTAGGTCCTCATCATTTAACCTTGGATGCAACAAAATAAAATATATCATCCAAAACTGCTTCTCACTTTTGTCACTACTAATCTGACTTTTGAGTTCAGCAAGACTTGGAACCAACTGCTCAACAGTTGAGGCATGCTCATACTGAGCTTCAGACATATCAAACTCTGCAAATAGCACAAAACAAAGATGAGGACAACACAAGAGCCATTTGCAAAATACCCGTACGTATGGCAGAACACAGAAGGACAAAAGGTCACAAAACAGTTACAAGTAAAAGATTGTCATCATAAACTTTATAGCCGACATTGACTGCTCAGTTCGAGATTTACAAAGTACATTAGAAAGTGCAATAACATTAAGTTAATATGCACTAGAAAAGACGAAATTCTATATATTTACTACATTTCAAACTAACAAAAAATTAAGACATCTCTAGATCACTTAATTCTCACTACTAGGACACAAATTTTAATTTAAAGATCAGAGTGATCAACAAGTTCATTCAGGTAATCTGTAGTCAAACCCGCGTCATCACCAACTACTTTTTTCACCCTATAATGTATTTCACTTTCACCTTGGCAAAGATAAGCTCATAAGCCATAGAAGAATACGGGTACAAGCATAAACAAAAGGTCTTAAATTGATCTATAGCCACTGTTAATAGAGCACTATCTTTTTAGCATCAATCATTAACAGCTAAACTACTCAAGTTAAAATTAATTTATTTTAAAAAAAAACACCTATATTGGACATGAATTTCCTAAATCCTCCAAAACAGCTGTATCATCCCAACTAGCTGACAAATTATAATTAAAGATGAGAGTATCTAAAAGACTTTAAAGACAGTCGAGCTAGGTGGCTGCTAGTTGTTAATGCTACTAAAATCAGCTCATAATTACCCCAAACACATACCTAGGATTGCCAATTTGCCATCCATTTATGACAAACTAAGAATGAAACCAAAGCATTGTAAAGTTAAAACATAGGCAATGCTACACAACAATCCATCTTAACCTCAACATACAAATTGAGGCAAAAAACACACTGAAACCTCAAAAGAACATAAGGGTCAATGGCCATCACTCAATGACAGACATCATCTTTCTCAAATTTTAACCATTAAAACATATCCTCGTATCGAACCTATCGAACCCTTGGGTCCTAAATCGAACACTTCTACATATTCTTCAGATGACTACTATACTTTTAAGTCACAATTACAAACACTACTTACATGCCACAATTTCATCACTAACATGTCCATGATCTAGTGATTGTACAAAAATCACCCTAAGTAGCATCACAACTACGGCTACCAACAATGCGATCTCAATCCCACCAATATGCAAATCTAACACTATTTTCGAAATGAAGATCACAATAACTACTAAAGAAATCACCATCAAATTCAAGCAGAAATGCCCAAAAGGATAAAAGGGGGAAATTTGTAGATCACAAGTTCACATCAATAATCATAAAACTATAGATTATATCAATATGCCAAATTGCCAATCACAATCTCAAACACAAAACCAACAAATTCAACTAAAAACCCAAAAAAGGAAATAATTTTTTTCAAAAAAAATTTAACATTTTACCATGATCAAGTGATAAAGGAAATTCAGTCCAAAGTTCAGGGCGATTAGAAATCTGTTGAGCAAACTCAATCACTTCATCATTAACACCAGCAACTTCTTCTTCATCATCATCATCTTCATAATCATCACCATCATTATAATTTCTATCATTACTAATCATATTATTAACATTATTTTCTTCATCATTTATATGAAGAAAATTGGAAGCAAGTTTAGAAATTTCAGAAACAGCTTTGTTACTGGAAAAGATAGAGAGAGAAGATTTGAAAGTTCCCTTAATTTCTTCCAAGTCACTTCGAATACCCTCGAAGGTTCTAGAAGAAGGGGACCCTCCTTCGCCGGAATTCGAGGTTTCCGGCGAAATAAAGGCGCGAAATTGCCGCCCAATTGATTCTCCGATCGCCGTGAATTCCTCCTTCACTCCAGAAACGGCGTCGTTTCTGGGTTCTTCTTGTTCATCTTCTTCTTCTTCATCTTGTTCATCATTGGAAAATTGGAGGGATTTGAAGGGGTTTGGGAGTGGAATTGAAAGCCAAGACATTAAAAAATTAATGGGTTTTTTGCATTAATTACTATGGAATTGAAAATTTGCATAAAATCCTGGGAATCTTGAAAAAAAAATTGGGAATTTGTGGGAATATGACGATGATAATGATGGGTAATTTTTAGGGTAAAAAGAATTGGGAAATTTGATCGAAATTTTCTTGGGTTGGTTCACTTTAATTTGTGAAAATTAGGAACTTTTTGGATAGTATAAAGATGGAATTGCTAGAATAAGCAATTTGGGGGGCTTCTGAGTTGTACAATAAACCTTCTTTTTATATATCTTCAATGTTACTTTATTAGGTTATTGAAAGATGCATCTAAATCTAATGTAATCAACTAATCATGTACTAGGAGATGATTTTGGTACATATTTAATGCATCTAGATTTGGATAATGATAAAATTGTATTTTTTTTAACTTAGAGGAAGTTTGGAATAGGTTTTGAGTAAACCATAGGGGCTTAATTATTTAACATCTTAGAGGAATGTTTTAAATCAATATGATCAATTTATGGAAAAATTTTCTTTTTAAGAGTGAAGTTTTGGATGATTTATGAATTATAAGGTGTGTGAGCATAATGTAATTGTTTTGCACAAATTAGTATAGGATATTTGTTAGATACTTGTAGTTTGAACACTACTATAAACAACCAATATCAACGATAGTGTAATAGCCTAATAGATTCTACTGACACTTGGTTTAAGAAAATCCACGACACCTAATGGCTTTTTTGGATTTGTAATTAGTGATTAAAAACATCTTTTACAACTTTGGACTACCATTATTACTAGTTTCAAATTAGACATGTGATTAGACTAAACTCATCTTCAAGACATTAGAACCGTGTTGGTAAGCCTATTTTGGTTTCAAACCAATTAATACAACCCTAGCAAATATTCCTTACGTCCATTTCATTATTGACAAAAATTACTTGAGTTTTCGATACTGAGTCTTTTGAGAACATTTTTTAACCTCTCAATGTTAGGCACCAATGTGATTCCAATCCGGAGGTCTATATGGACATTTGGTTGCCAAAATCATCTAATTCATCATGCCTTGGCCCATGACTATACACCCCTTATATCAATTTTAAAAATATAAATACGAAGTGTTGCATAGGCAAGCGTAAAATATGAAGTGATGCATAGACAAGCGTAAAATACAAAGTGTTGCAAGTACTAAAAACAAAAATAGAGGAACTCTATGAATTGAATAGCAAATTTAAAATTCATCATCAATCAGATAACTCTCAAACTCCAGATTCGAATCAGAAAGCATAAAATCGAAGTCATACAAGCAATACAAAAAAAATGGAAAATTAGTACAAATTGTTATTCAAATCTTAGGCTATACGCACTGCTGAAGTATATGATAAAAATTCAAAGTACCTGCTCAACATATTCAACAAATAAGCAGGTCAAATAATTACATCAATAATTATTAAACTACAGTTTCTCCAAGAATGATCAATAAAATCAAATGTCTGTCCTCCCTATAATTATCAAACAATAACCCTGCTATTCCTATCTAAACATACACAAAATATGGTACACAAACCACTTTTCAATATACTCGTCTATCATTTGTTCTCTCTCGTATTTATAGCAAGTAATTCACGTGGAAACTCATAACATTCCCGTGTATGGGTTATATGTTTGCATGGGCATGGCAGGACCATAGGGGTTGGCTGCATAAGGATTGCCAAATGGGTTCATGGCTGGTGCCTGTTGTTGATGGCCCATCATCATCTGCTGCTGCAACATGAATGCTTGTTGCTGATTGGCCATTGCAGCCATCTGAGCAGATTGTGGTGCAACCATAGCGTTTGAGGCGTAATACGGGCCATGGACAGGTTGCTGCATCATTGGATTGGTCAATGGAGCAGGCTCCCATGGATTGTAGCTCGTCGTCTGGTTGGTCCTTCTCATTGCATCATCATACAGGCTGTCTAATGTTAGCAAATCCAGTCCTCCAGCCTAGTGTTCAAAAAGTTGGAAAAAGTCGCTAAAAGTCTTATTTCAAGACAATGTCACAATACAATGCAAATTCTTCAAATTATCGGAGAGATATAATATAGCATTTCACATTAATGAGCACAAATGCTCCCAAGCGGTGCTTTCATGTTTGACACATTGCGTGCCAAAAACATGCCTCAGGGCTCAGATCCACATATCCATCTTCAGACAAGCAATAATATATATTCTAATTGCTTTATGCTTTCTTATATTCTTGTTAATCATCAAAGAGAGTATTATCAGCTTCCAATACAAAACTACTCGTATACCTTTTATCTAGATATCCTATTAGAGTATAATATACTCTTTTCAACAAGTTCTCACTACTATTTCTTTGAAGCAGGGCCCCACTGCCCATACCCACTCACATTTTTCTTATAGCCTCCAAGCAAACTAATAATTTAGCACTTAATTGATTAAATATTCGAGGTAGCTATATTCTGATTATCTTATATGGTGTTTAACTTTGGATTGTTTTTAACATATATATTTTTGTACATTTATTGCTTTTCCAAAGCATGTCTAATTCTGTAGTCCTAAGGTTTTTCTCTTCCCATGTTCGCATCATAACTCATACCAGCATTTATATAAATATCAAAATAACCTAGTAATTATATACGGTCCACAAGCAATAAATGGCTTATATGTCTTCTTGATCCTATAACAGGCAATTTTGTTATTTTATTATGGGGCAATGTATCTTGTTTAAATTGTACCAGGACTATAAACAAACAAACAAGTTTGCAATTGAGAATATACCAGCTTGGTTGTGGCAACGGCACTCTCATTTGAGCTTGGTGCAGTGACAAGTGCCAGTTCCCAACCAGTCGTGCCATTTTCCAGCTTGGGAGCTGGAGGTGTAGCTGATAGGTCATCTGTAACAGAATATCAAAACACTTCTTTATTAAGAATTTAAAACAAATTATGTTTCAAAAGATAGTTTTGAGTTCATAGTCCAAAAGACAACATGAGTCTTACCGATTGGAACAATAGCAAGAGCCATTGCATTCTTATCTTCTAAATCTGAAGCAACTGGCTTGGGATCGTCCATACTCTGTCAGAACAGAGAGGTAAACTATTACATGTGGGTAGAAGTGTTTCATGCAGATGGAATCTTTGTTAGGTAAACGCAAGCATAAAAGCCAGTAAACGTGAAAACTTACCAATAAATCAGGAACTTCGGTCACGACTTTTTCCTCCTTGACTGGTTCTGGAGGAGGAGGTGATGGTGGGTGTTCCTCCTTTACATCAGTAACATCTTTGTCCTCAATTGCTAGGACTACGGTAGATTTTTCATCAACCACATGTTTGACCTGTTTAATTGAAAATAGAATCAGAAATACATACAAATCTCCATTAACAATTTTGATCGTGCTGATTTTTTAATACATTGAAAAGGTGTTTTTTTTTCCCCTAGTGATGTCAACAAATAATCATCAATTCCCACACAGTAGGGAAAAGGGAAAAAGAAAAGACATAGAAGAGTTAACATATAAACATGCAACTGTTCACACAAATGTGATTTGGCAACTGGAATTTGAGCATTGACCAAAAATTTGATTTTGACCACCACTCTCTCAAGAAAGAGCACAAGAGCAACATGCTATCATCAACCACCATATTTCATTTCCATACCTGTTCTTTGCGGAAAGTTGAACCTCTAGGTACTTCTCTCACATATTCTTCCATTGCTTGTAAGAATGAAGGAGGAGGCTGTATTAACAATATAAAGACATGTTTTAGAAGCTATAGGATTGAAGAAGAGAGGAGATTTATCCAAGGAGCTTCTTTAAAACCTGTTCAATTTTTGTAAACCTCTCTCCACGCCCAACATCAAGGCTCTTGCAGACTTCATAGAACTCCGACAGTCTTTCAGCCTACAATTAGATATAAATGTCAAATTCCAGAGTTGGAACTAGCAGGTTGTGCAGCAAATCATCTCAAGAACTCAACACAGACCTGTTGTCCTGCTCTACGATATATATCGAGGGCCCTCAATGCATCACTTCTTTGCATCTCAAAGAACTGTAAATAATATAGTTTGCAGTAAATAAGAATATTTTCTGAATAGAATTAATAAAATAAAGAAGGAGAGCAGTGGCAAGTAAACCCACCTTGTCAACAAGGTTAACCGTACCATCACTGATAGCGCTATAGATTTTAGTACTTTCTGAAGCAACCTACTCGAAATTATTTGAAAGTCAGCGACTCAGCACAACGTGATGGTGTCACAACTCAAACACACTACAAGTTGTATAAAAGTTGATGGTGTAAAGCCACACATACCAGTGAAAGTGCCAACTGAATTACATGATTATGAACAGCTGCTCCATCAGGCTGCATAAAAATTCAATGCTCATGCATAAAATTGGAGAACAAAGCTATTTTGACATGACATCAGAAGCTCATACATGAAAAAAACTTGGAACAAATAATATGTTATTTATGCTCAAACTAAAAGAATTGGAACTTCATGCTTGTCAAACTTACAGAACAAAAAAATCATACCTGGCAACCAAGGACCCGGTAAAGAAGCTGCTGTAATGCTGGCAATTGATCGAGCAATTCAACTGTATCAAGATCTTTTGTTCTCTGCACAGAAGATAGATATATGTTGACTATTTAGCTGAAATCAGGCCATAATGGGAAAGTTCAAGCTGAAGACAAGCAACCAGGTATAACGAAATGCATAAGGAGAAGAATTTAAATGTCTTACAGGGCGCTCAGTCTCAACATCATATTTTAACACACGGAAACATTCCAGCCTTTCTTCCAAAAATAAGGCATAAGCACGAACCCAAGCAGAGTAATCCCATGCTGAACAAAGATTATGGCAAATTCAGCAATGAAAAACCTTGCCAAAGGCATTGAACAGTTAATTTAAAAAGATATCAGAAACAATCAAACAATACCACTTGCACTTGAATCATCTCTGAAATGCGACATATTGAGCATATGATTCCTGCTCCTTTCATAGTTAATAAGCTCCTCTTGGAATGTTGGGTCCACTTCCCTCAATGCACGATGAATAACAACCAAAGTTTTTAAAGCAACCTAAAAACAAAAATAGATGAAAAGCAAAGGATTAAGGAGTTTCAATGCAATTTAAGCCAGATGACACCATGCAAAAAAACCTTTGATGATTAGCTTTACTGGCGACAATATTACAAATCCCTACATCACTAGTAAGAGTAGTAACTAATACAGTTCACAGATTACATAATCTTGAAGGCAAAACATCTACATGGCAGTCACTAGATAAATTTATCTCCACGCTCACAACATACCGCCCAATTATGTGTTCTTGATAAACGCCTAGCAAGAGCATGTATGCAATATGCTACATCAGCCCGAGGTCTTGTAGCAGAAACTGCTGCAAATATTGCTGCACACAGAAATAAAAAGAAATACTCAACAAAGACCCATATGCTTTACAAGATAACACAATCAAATAAATAGCCAAAATGCATACACAACATACACTTCATCTCAAGTAACCAAATGTCCAAATTACAACAATCAACAACACCCACCTCTTATGTGTCTCTCTTTCGCTGGTCGCTCAACATGATTAGTAGCCTTGACAATTGCTACATCTAGCTCCTAAAACAACACATCCATTCAAAACAAACATTTATCAAGATTACAATAGCTAATTCAACAAGAAAATTATCACAAAAACAAAAAGAATTAATACCTTATAACCACTATTTACTTTAGCTAAGCTAATTGTGGTGGTATCCTTAATGGATCCCAAATATTTCCTCAAACTACTATTTGTACCTCCTCCTCCTGCCATAATCTCCCTGTAAGAAAAATTCTTCAGAACCTCATTACAATGATCCAATATAAAATCATCTTACAAACACATAAAATCGCGGTCATTACAATTGTATCATCCTTAATAAAGGAACTACAGATCAAAAACCCTTGCTTCAGTGTCTGATAAACTCAATAAGAAAGGCATCATTTTTTTATTACATACCCAGAAAAATTCAATAACTCCTCCACATAATTCAATGAATTGTTTAATACTTTAACATTCAACAGCTAATTTTAAACTAACATTTAACATGAACAGCTACTAAATTACACAACAAATTCCACATAAGATATGATCTTGCAACATTTATTATTTTATTAAAACTAAAAAACAGCTAAACTTCTGCAAAATTAAGCTGGAATTTACTAAAGATAGCACTAACATTTAAACTATACTGTATTAATTTTACAAGTAAGGATCCAAAACCCAAATACCCAGGATTCAAAATTGGAAATTTGCAGCAAATTAAGCTTAATTTGTGAAAATTCAAAATCAAAATAGAAGTTGAAACTGTTGAGTAAAACAAAGAACAGAGATTCAAAATTTTGGGAAAAACAAATACAAATTAAAAAACCCAACTCACCTTAACCTCAAAGTCTGAAATTCGACAAAACCCAGAAAATTTGGGAGAAAATAAAGGGAAAAAAATATAGGAGAGAGAATTGGACGCCTGCAAACAATGAAAAGTCGACCCACCAGAAGAAGAAGAAGAATAGTAAGAGAAAAAAAGAGAGAGAAAATAATTCTTTTTAATAAATTTATTTATTTTAATTTTATTATTTATTTTAGGTTTGGGTGGCTCGTCGGTGTCCTTTGAGTCCAATGACAATAATTCTTTTTTTTTCCACCCCTTTATTCTTTTTTACTAGGACAAGAAAAAACAATGTTTGAAAAAATATTAGTGTAATAGTGAGTGGTCAAAGAAAATTCTAAATAAAAATTAAATCAACTAATGGATTTTTTTTTTATGTTTAGAAATGACGAGGACTGATCGAGTAAAAGATAAGATGTATTTTCTCTGTTATTTTACTTAAAACACAATGTATGCATTGTAAGAATTGATTAGAGAAAATAAATAAAATGTTTCATCAAAATAATTTTAACACAGAGATTTATTCGTTTACATTATCCATCTCTTCCTAAAATAATGTGTCATGAAGGTAAATTGCAAATAAAAGAAATGGATTGGTCTAGTGGTTAAAGCATTTGTTTATGTTATGATAGGCTATATTTTTTTACACTTCACTTTTATTTGTAATTTGTATTGCCCTTCTTGTGACTTATTTGGATTTTTTAAAAAATTTACATTGACCTTTTTTTTTTTAAGGCATTTTAGTATCTAGCTACAATTGATTTATTCAAGCAAAAAAATCTACTAGTATTTTCTCACATTAAGGTAAACATAACATAGCTACTCCTTTTGTCTTGCATTTAACAAGTTGACTATCACATTTGTCAATATTTGTCAATACACAACCTTAACCATTAATTCATATTGTTAACATGTTTTCAATAATTTATAGGAAGTTTATTAGACTATGGTGTCACATTGGACCATTAGTAGTTGGTAAAAAAAAAAAAAAAAAAGGAAGTTTAAGTTTAAACTACTAATTTTAGAATTTGGTGAAGAAAGTGATCAACATAATAAGAAATCCTTTCAATAGGCTCCAAATAATAGGATTGCACACTTTGCAACAAATTTACCGTACACCAAAATACAATACTTAGTTTCCTTAGTTGTAATATTTTAATTTATGACAAATGCATAATTTCTTTTTTTTGACTGGAAACGGGGATCATAACATTATTAGCTCAAAATGTCATAGGTTACAGCATCCGATACACATATCGGCACCTCTTCCATCCAAACACGCATTTCATCATACATTACACTACTTTGAGCAAGCCTATGAGCTACCCCATTCCCTTTCCTCCCAACATAAGAAGTAGAGAAACTACTACAAGAATTAGCTAGAGTGAGAATATCACTAATGATCAAACCGAATCTGGAACTTTGCCTTTTTTTAATTATAGTGTGTATGTTGTGTTTCGGGTGAAAACAATGGGACCTTGTCGAAGGTCTGATGAAGTGGAGAAGACTGAATTCGGTCCAAGTGATGTTGGGCCGAAGGTTTCCTGCACAGTAAACACACGTAAACTAGCCTCGGGGGTGTTGCCGAGGAAGGCCCCTCCGATGCTAAAGTCAGTACAGTGTGTAGAAAGAGAGCACTATGCAAGAGAATTAATTGCTTGAGGCTTTTTTTGAATGAATGTACAAATGTAATATTGATGGTTTTTATACCTTTGCATATATGGAGAAGTTGGGTCTTAGCCCAATTGACTTGCCTTGAGGACTGATCTTTGACTTTAGCACAGTTGGAGAGTTGAACCTTGACCTTGGGCTTTTAATTGGATCATTTAATGACTAGGCCCAATTGGACTAAATTGGACCCAAACATATTGTATAGGAACACGGGCGATTTTGCGTTGTTTCATCTTTCTCCTAACACAAATTTTTTTTGCTAAACCAGGTCACATTCAGATTGTAACGGCAAATTGCATACATACATTTGCTGGACAGCTTCCTTACAGCTATGATATCCTTATACAACACGTGATATCCTACCAAATTAGCATTTTCAAAGTTATTCCATTTTAGCATTCATAATATTCATGCATACTTCCCTAATTTAACAATTTTTTTTTTCCATGAAATAATAGAGAACTAGAATGATCCATATACCACATTGTTTAATACGAGTGTATAAAATATATTATATCAATATTGTAATATTTTATAACACTATGGAAGACAAGATAACTAAATAGTTAATCGATTATGTAACTTTATTGTCTTATATTACGTTATCTTTAAAGGACAGAGCGAATACTATCGACTATAGTAATTAAAGTCGTAATTCGCAAATTTGTACTCCTCCATATTTATAATATATCACATATAAAGAGAGTAATTAGGGAATAATAATCCAGTATTAGTGTCCTGGCTAAGTGAGTAGTGACAATGCAATGGATGGTGTAATTATGCAACTGAGATTGGCAGTGAGTGTTGGTGCTCTCTGCAATATGAGTCTTTATGCCATATTGGCAATGGGCTCCACCCATTTGTCGGCTGTTGGGCCCCACTTCCACAAGGTTCCTTTCTGGGCTCCACTCACCTATTGCTTAAATTGTCAGCTATTATATATTCTTCTTAACATGCATGAGTTAGGATATGTTATTTTTTCACTTAATTTCAATTCACTTTTTAATTTCATTCTCTCATAAAATATTTATTAATTTTTCTACATTAAACCCTCTAAATTTCTATTTTCTATAATGTGCCCCCCATTTTTTAAAATTCTACATTGTAACCCCAAAATACATTTACTTTCTATACGGTAATCTCGCCGTTAACAAATTACGTTAGTGGAACTCACTCTCTACTTAATAAATTTTTTTATCGATTTGCGTGTTAAAAATTGTTCATTTTAAGGTTTTGGGGGCTATTTTGGTTCTTAGGGGATCAAATTGAGCTCAGATTTAAAAAAAATAACATAAATACCTCATTTTGTGTATTAAATACGTAAACACGTAAATCGAGACATTTTTAAATACACAAAATTAAGTATTTATGTTATTTTTTTGCTAAATCTAAGCTCAATTTGGATCTTTTAAGGACAAAATAGCCCCCAAAATCTTTAACAGAACCATTTTCAATATGCAAATCGATAAAAAAAATTATTATTAAGTGGTGAGTGGGCCCCACTAACGGCATTTGTTAACGACAAGATAATGGCAAGGTTATCGTATGGACACTGAATGTATTTTGGGGTTACAATGTGGATTTCTCAAAAAAGGGGGCACATCGTAGTAAACGGAAAATTGCAAGGTTATAATGTAGAAAAACCCATATTTATTTTAGCTTTATTCAATTCAGTTCTGTTCAATTCAATTCATTAAATCATAAAGGACCCTTAATTTAATCCATTAACCAATGCAGAGGAAGTACGATAGAGCATATGACTTCATCCATCTCATAATATACTTCAGTAATAAATAGAGTTAGTACTAATACAAGATTACAGAGTAAGAGGCAAAAGCCTTTGATTAGACGGATTTTTTTTTTCTTTTTTCAAAAGGTATTGGGATTTGTATCCCACATTGAATAAAGAAGATAATTATATTCACTTTATAAGGCTAAGGGGCTACTCCCCCTCATTGTCATATGGTTTTGAGGTGAAATCTCTTTGGTCATATAGCTGTGACGGGTGTGACCCAGACCCGTTTATCATGGTATCAGAGGCAGGTCGGGTTGTGTTGTGATCTGATTTTGAGGTGGAACCTCTTTGGTTGTATAAAATGGACAATTATGATGGGTGTGGCCCAAACCCGATGATACTTTTTATTCTTATACAATACACCTTAATAACTTATTGCAAGTACAAACAGACTAATTAGAATGTTCATCTTACTTGGGTATCAATTAGCTCGAATAGTGATCTACAATGCTGGCTAAATTTACCAAATTAGCTACTTGTACAAGTTAAAAATCTTAGAAATACTAGGGGCCAAACTACATGAGCAAATTTAAGATAGAATACAAGAATAATGAAATGGTAGCAATACTTTATTCAATTATTCGTGCTGTTACATTTCAAATCCATCCATTTAAGGAATATTGTTACAGAGTGAGATTATTATTCATTTTCTATAATGATTCTCGACAGTTAAGGTTGTACATAAAATTAGCTACGAAAGTTGTGAGAGAGCTTAAGTGGTTAGAGCTACCCTCCCCCAAATGATCCTAGGATCAATTCTCAACATCCGTCCTTCAAAATTAATTTAGAAGGGTTAACGATTTATTTTGAAAATATTCTAACAAATTATGTGTACACAAAATTAGCATGAAAATTATACCATGGGAAAATAAACTATTAGAGAACGGGCCTGTTCACTTCAACTTAATTTCAGTTTAATTCTGTCCTTAATTTCTTCTCTCATAAAATATTCAATTCAACATTTTTTTTTTCATCAATTCTACCTGACAACATTTTTTTTTTTTGTTTTTAATGTTCATAGAAAAATATGGTCAGAGACTCAAAATTAATAGTGTGCAACAAAGTCAAAATTTAACAACTACAATAACGGAGGCAGATTAAAAAAGCAGTAATATTTATTTTGGGTAGATAGAATACCAAAGATGAACATATATGTAAGCAATTTCAATATCAAAAGCTCATTTTCAAGTCATGAAACGAGTACGCCTGTACGTGAGCCTTTGAATTTGACTGGCCAACTATTCAGTGAATATCCAACTTTGATTCATGTTTGATGTTTGATGGAATTAAACCACCAAACTTAGGTAAATAGTTTCACCAAACCATCAACCTGTCTTTTCCCAGAATAAATAAAAAACTAATTCTGTGGAATAGTCTGTCTCATCTTGAACAATCTAAATGATAGCGCGAATTTACCAAAACTCGGGAAACAGAGATCAATGAAGAAAATGCAGGACATAATCCATGAGATGTACAAGTAAAAATGCAAGTGTATGATCTCTTTATCTCTGTAAATGAAACTAGGGAATTCCTTGACTTTAAAATGGCCCTTTAAGAAGAAAATTGGCAAGGCACGGGTCAATATTTCGAGTTCCATGAGGGGTTTATAAAGGTTTTCATAAAATCCCTAAAGAAAAACAATGTTACTGTGAATGGCAAAAAAGCTAGTTCAACAACAAGAAAACAGGAGGTAAGAGGCCCCTTTATGATAGCACAGCAATTGGAGGGAGGCGGCAATGACTCACCGGCCACCCTTCTTCTTTGATCCAGAATCTATTTTGTGAGGCCTTCTTTTTCGCGTGAAAGCAAACTCTCCAAATTTGTGTCCAACTTTAGATTCAGTGATCTTGCAGCGAACGAAAGACTTCCCATTGTAAATTCGAACAACGCTACCAACAAATTCTGGCAGGATAGAAGATCTCCTTGACCAAATTTTTTTGTTTGCAAGTTGCTCTTTGTTCTCTTTCAGTCTCAACAAGAATGCATCAACAAAAGAACCTTTCCACACTGATCGACGAGACATGGTCCTGGGAATGTCACTGATTACAATGAATAAAAATGTAAATAATCTTGTGGATTGTACAATCTCAATTGCAGCCATGAAGAAACAATAATAGGTAAATCAAATCATACACCACATAGATCACAGCTAAAACCTAATTATGATTGCCATGGAGATGCATTCATGCATGAAAGGAAACTGGTCCACAAAACCAAGTCGTTGTCTACCTCCCAAAATCAATATGTTGACATGTAACAGAAGAAGATGAGAAGATCAAGCTTCATAAATACCCAACGTTAAGCCCCATGGCATTTGTCCTAAAAATTTAATAGAGGACAACAAGTCAACAACCACAAGGACCTGAGACATCACCTCTTGACATATATGGGGACGTTCTAACAAGAAATACATAATAATTGGTGTATACTCTCAAACTTCATTGAGAAAATCAGAGGCAAGAGCAAGGAAAGAGTAATTTCAAGAGGAAATTGTTGGAGCACACTTGTCACCAACATCCTCAAACAGAAAGGTCCACTTTGGGGTGGAAGGACAACATACTTACAATGCAGTTTCCCTTGTTAGTTCCCACCAAGTTGAGTAGAGCCGTAGAAAATGAGAAATGTGTCTTATCTTTGTTTTTGCTTGTTTATTTGCTATCTATCATATAATTCACAGTAATTGCTTCTCTAATAAGATCTGATCAAACTCACAAAAGAAAAAGAAGAAAACAAATCTCTTACCAAAGTATATAATTAATGGGAGTAGAAGGTAGGAAAGTGTAATACTAAATCTGTGTTCTAAGTGTTCAATATTTGGGATGATGTTTGAGTATTGATAGGATTTTCAATTGTCATTTGGAAGACTGAAAAAGAAGTAATAATCCTTAAGAAGTTCGGAGAGAAACCCTTTTCAATTTAGCCGTGGAATTTGTAAACTGAATTCAATACCTAATCCCCACTCCAGCTCTCAATATCCAAATGCTCTGCACTTACACAAGCCTTCCCCATATCAATGGAGGTGCTAATCGTGAGGTCTTGAGTAACAATGTATATCTAATATCTAAAGGATCTAGTGCAATTGAAAGCGCCCTCGACCAAATGACACTTCTAAATGTTGACTGCATGGGCAGCCAACAAAGAAATGGGAAGGTAATACTTCTAACTAAGCAGTGTTGGGGCAAATTACAGGAAATGTAACCTGAACTTCATGTTTCATGTAGTCTTGCTATTCAAATAAGGATCGACATGATTCAACAACAAGGCATCCTCGGAAAACAAGTTAGTGTACATCAATTTCTCACCAACCTAGCTCTTCTAAGTTCATCAAAACTAAAACCCTGCAAATCTAGCTAATTTATCACCAAATTATAGCATATTAGGTATAACCATCATACAATTCAATATGTAAATCCTAATTAAGTATCAAGGTTGTCCTCAAAATCACAGAAAATATATCAAAATCATAATACCGAAAAATCAAATTTGACTCAACAATCGAATTAGGCCCGAAAAATCGCAGAAATAATCCTCGCTTTAGGATATCAACGTAAATTGCACAAAAACAAATTCTAGCAACAAAATTGTTCGTATAGTATTTCATAAATTCATTGATTATATCTAATAATTCATCTGAGGAAGAACCCTAAATTGACTATACTGACAAATAAATTAACGATAAACCCTAGAATGTGAAATTGATATTCGATGATTAAAAAGAGAAAATAAAAAATATCTTACCTCAGATGCTACTATAATGAAGTAGAGTAAGCTCGGAAGCCGTTTCAATGGAAAATTCGGATTAGGCTTCAATGGTGGAAAGAGAGAGACTCTGAGAAGAGTGCAGCGTAGAAGTGAAAAGTATCAAAGTGAAAAAGAAATGAAAATCAGGAAGGTTAATCTCGCGCATAATGTCAACCGTCAGATCTATAATTCTATATACCACTCCTTACTAACTAGTTTAGAACTTATGCGATGCGCGGTTTAAATAAAACCTATTTTAAAAATAAATCACTATTGTTTGTTTGTTTTTGTTTTTTTTTTTCAAATAAAATTGATTCATAATTAAAGTCATACGATATCTACAAAAAGATTTAGATATAATGAATGCATAATAATTGAATCAAATAAAAACATTCTGTAAGCAAAGTTACGATCATTGTTGCAAATCGTACATTCTTTATACCCTCTTTCATATCGATGTGAAATAAATCACTATTGTACATGAATATAAATAAGAATTACGTTCATTATGTAATTTTAAAATTTTTTATTTTCATCAAAATTATGATATAGTGATCAACGTTGTTTAATTCATATTTCAATGTAGGAGGTCATATATTAGTGTGCTATTCAAAATTGTTTAAATTTCCAACGATAAACTGATAGGTTTTAGTTATAATGTAGAAGCTTCTAACATTTAAATTTCAAAAATGTAAAATATGATAATTTTTGGGACATCATCATTGCATTTAGGAGGGAAAATTTAAATTGAGAGAGCGACACGTGTGCAATGATAACGTCAACAACTTTTGGTTTATTAATGGTTAATAGATACGATTATAGTATATCACTAGTAGGGATGTCAATGGGGCGTGGAGGGCGAATGTTGGTCTTCCCGTCCCCAACCCACCTAATATTTTCATCCCATCCCCATCCCCGCAGCAGGTACAACTCCAATACCATCCCCGCCCACCCCCCACTTGGATATCCATCCCCACCTAATCCCCACCAAAGACCCGCCTAATCCCCAACCAAGACCCACCCAATTTCCGTCTCTCAAATACACAATCCTACGTAATTAATACGGATTTTAATAATTAAAAAAAAACATTCTTAATATTACATACATGTTTATTTATAACTAGGGCAGCTAACGCGCACGTTGCGCGCGGAATGGCTAGCCATTTCGAGTTAGCTTTTTTCAGCTTGTGTTTAGGAATGGCAATATCCATTTATCACATGTATACGTAATTATCACAAGTGTAGCTAAAACTTGGCAGTGTTTGGGTGGAACAACGATTACTTTAGTTGTGGACGATTACTGATTTACATTATGTGTGTTAAAATAAGTGTTTTTTTTTAATAAAGCCTTACGAATTTAGACCATAGTTTTAAGGTTTATTGGAACAACTAAAGCATCTAACCTAACGCAATCTTAAACCATAACCTTGAAAATGTTACAAACAAAAGGTTCAAAAGCAACAATTACAACCAAACATTGAGCATAATATGTTGTATGTGGTAGTGTTCTTGTATGAAGAAACACTGTGTACTTATTCATGTTGTAGCTAAGTTGTTCTAGTAGAGTCTAGGAAAAGGAAATGGCTTTGATAGCCCACTTTAGAACCCGAAGTCTAGTTAGGGATGTTGTTGATGCAATCTAAACGTACAGTAGCTTGGTTGCCAAGGTGGTAGTTATTACTTCAAATTCTTGTTAGTCGCCCTGTGAAATAATGCATTGAACAGTACTAACCTTTTTTTTTAAAGGTGAAGGAGATATTAAGATGAAGGAGAAATAGGAAAGCCAAGTATATAAATTGTTGGAATTATAAAAGAACTATCAGTTTCCTAAAAAAAATAGTTACAAACTCTAGCAATTCTTGAGCTTGGTTTTAATTAGAATTGAATTGATAATAGGAAATGAATGCACGGAATTTGAAAAAAGTTACAATTATTGTTTATGGGAATAATTATTGCAAATTATTTTTAAGTACGGAGTACTATTTTAATCTTTCTATGACAGATTGATAACGTAAAATGTTGTGCAATAAATTAAAAATATAGCCTCCATTGAGCTAATGAAAAGTTTTTTTACATTCATCATCTTTATTGCTGGTCAATTATTACTTTTGGGTTGTGCTTCATCTTCTTTGGGTTTTCTTCAGGGATGGTGAATAAAGATTGAGGAGATAGAGATTAAAGCGCAAAACTCATTAATGGGTAGGGATTATAAAGGGGTAAGAATGTAAATAAATATTTTGAAGGGCAAAAAGGTCCGTACACTATTCATAAGAACAACTTCCCACTTTTTATAAGGTAGGGATATTAGTATAGTACAAAGTATTATAATTAATATTTTATTTCACGTAATTATTTTATAAAGGAAAATTTGTAATTATTAAGCCAACCTTTTGGCCATCTGCTTTTATTATGTCAACCTTTTGATTATTTTTAAATACGTCAACCTTGTAATAGCATTAATTTTTATTACGTTTGTTTACCGGTGACCGGATAAGCCCTTAATAATTTCTAAAATTTGAAATAAAAAAATTAAATCAGCATTTTTAAACCAAAAAAAAAAAAAAAAAAGAGTTAGCATTTAATAATGCCAACTAATTAACACTACTCCTACTCTTATGCAAAGTTGCAAACTCACGATCTCCCTTATTATCCACACTTCCTTTAATCTTCATTTTTCAACTCCGTTAAACATACTCCATTATTCCTTCCTCTTCCTATCAAACCCCCGACCCACCATCATCGCTGCTCACTCATATCCGCACACGCTCACACTAGCAAACTCCACTATCGTTGCCTAAAAACCACCTCAACCACTCCACGACCAACCCACCACCTCTTTTCCCATCATCCTCTTTAAATCACACTCTAATACTCTCAATTAAATTAGGGGTCTTCAATAGCATTCACTTTGGAGCAATTTTAAGTATGTGGATTGTCTATTCATATTGATATAAGGGGATTAACATCAAATACAAGCACTATTTGTCCATACAAAGAGGTTTTGTGATCAAAGTAATTCTCTACCTTCAAACTAGTTTGACTATATATGATTCTTGTAAATTTCTGATTGGCGATAGCAAATACAAGAATTGAACAATTGAAGAGTTAAATTTCTTGGGAATGAAGAGGAAGAGTGGAGAAGATGAAGTAAGAATTGAAAGAGGAAAAATGGGGAAGAAGAACAAGGAAGAAGGTGGAATAGTAAGTATATAGGATTGAAAATGGGAGCCTTTTTTACCTCCATGTAAGCAATTAACCTATTTTTGCAAGTCAGTTTTTTATTTTAACGTAATAAAAATTAATGCTAGTACAAGGTTGACGTGTTCAGAAATAATCAAAAGGTTGACGTAATAAAAGCAGACGGTCAAAAAAGGTTGACTTAATATATACAAATTTTCCTTTTATAAAATAGTAAAAAAGTATATAATTTTGTTTTTAAAGATATATAAATGTGGGTCTGAGGTGGGGATGGGGCGGGTACGAAGAGGGGCGAGGCGGGGATGAGGTGTATACAACTTAAAATCCACCCCCGCCCCATCATCCATGGCGGGTATGGATTTTATCCCCCATTCCTGCCCCACCACCTGCCAAACCGGGATCCATCCCTGCCCTAGTGGGGTGGGGATGGGACGGGTATCCTACTTGGCCCGCCCCACTGACATCCCTAATCACTATGTTAAACCCCGTGCAATAGATGCATTGATGTTCAATAATTATTAAAAACATATTTTGTTATGGCTTGTTCACATTTACTGAAATGAGCTGAATTGAACTGATTAGAGTTGAACTGAACAGATTGGAGCTGAACTAAATTAAACTAAACTAAATACAGCTGAAATGAATATTTTATGAGAGAAAGAAATTAAGAGCTAAACTGAACTGAAATGATTAGAGTTGAACTGAACTAAGCTGATTAAAGCTGAACTGAACTGAAATTAAGCTGAAATGAACAGGTCTTATGTATGAAATTATATTGAACAATTTAATAAATAGCCACATATAATTTTTCAGGAAAGCCACATATGAATTATATTGAACAGTAAAATATTTAAGAAATTTTGGTTTATATTTTATATAAAGCAAACGTAATAAATCAGATGCAATCCTTTTTAAAAAGTTATAATTCAAAGCAATGATTATTGTGGAAGATATACTTATTTTGTAAGTATTATTGGAGGGAAAAATTTTAACAGAATGTTGCCAAGTGTCCCTATTACTTTTGCCTTGAGTAATACTTCCTCTGTTCTTTTTTACTTGACATGTTTCTTTTATCACGCTTGCCAATGCAAAACTTTAACGATGAATAACTTTAATTCTCCATAATTAAAAAATATAAAAGTTATATATTATGATATTACTTATTGAGATGAATTCAAAATGATCCAACATGAATATTTTTTCCTTACATATTATTCACAAAACACGGTCAAAGAAGGGGTGGTGAATAGTGTAAAAGTCAAAGCGGGTCAAGTAAAAAAGAACAGAGGAAATATGTAACAAGTTACATGATCGATTGGTACCATTTTGAGCAGAGTGAGTATAAAGGTGGGATTATTTATAAATAACCCAAAAGGTGGGATTATTTTTAGCAGAAACCCCAAAGATGGGATTAATCCGGCCAATTATTCCAAAATTAAATTGATTAACCCGATACTAAAATACATTAAATATATATTAAAACAATAAAAACAAGTGTTTTTTGAGTTTAAGAAAATATGAAAATTGTGGGTCAGTTCGAGTGAATCGAATTGATTTCAAAACGTTGTTTTTCATTCAAAAAGATCAAAATTTACGTTGCTTTTCTTCTTGTTTTAGTCAAAAAGATCAAATCATTATTGAATTAGGTTTACCCTAATTGCTAGTATCCCTTCCCGTGGTTTAATCCACATTAATTTAGTTAGCAATTCAATAATATATGCAATTATGCATAAAATGAGTGTAATTTGTATAATATTACTCATATTATGAATGAAAATTATTTTTCAAACTCTATTCACAACTAAAAAAAATTATGCTCTTTATACTCCACATTTATCAAATTTATGAAGTATAGAGAAGATTTTATACAATATTGAAATATATGGACGGGTACTATAAAAGTATCGATCATTTCGATTTTTTGTATGTATAGTATTTTTTTATTTAAAATATACTTTTAATCTTAAAAGATGTGAGTCTGGTAACCGTGTAAAACAAAAGATAGATCAAGAGTACGAAATTCATATTATGTGAGTACGTTTAGCTAATGAGTTTACTCACGACATTGAACTCATATTAATGTATGTAGTGCAAATAAAGCATAAAATTGATAAAGTTTGTTCCAAAGTTAATTGAATGGAAATTGTTTTTCAAACTCAACTCCAGATATTTAGTTCCAAACACGAGCTATGTACCCCTGAGAAATGTCTCGTTTGTCCCTAATTCTGTGATTAGCTCTACTGACCTTAGCTTTCTGGAAAGTGGAGTGAGTACTTTCGAAATTAGGAATGCTCTGAACTCAATGGCTCCTATGAAATGTCCGGATCCGGATGGAATCCAACCAATTTTCTTTCAAAGATATTGGAATGTTGTGGGTAATTCTAATATTGATTTGGTAAGTACTTGCTTTATCAATGGTAAAATCCCACATGATATCAACGATTCATACATATCTTTGATTCCAAAATCTGATAACCCCTCATCCATGAATGATTTCCGTCCCATTGGCTTGTGTAATACTATTTACAAATTAATTACCAAGGTGATAGCTAATAGAATAAAACCCTTGCTTGGAGATCTTATAAACCCGATTCAATCTAGCTTTATTGAAGGATGAGAACATTTTAATGATCAAAGAAATAGCACATCTCTTCAAAAATTGATATTTCAAAGGCTTATGATAGTCTTGAATGGGGTTTTATAAGGGAAACCTTACTTGGGTTCAATTTTCCTGACAATCTTGTTAGTTTAATTCTAAGTTGTATTACTACTCCATCTATTTCCATTTTGTGGAATGGTGAAATAACGGATAGTTTTACTCCCTCCCGTGGCATTAGACAAGGTGACCCCCTTTCCTCCTTTATATTTGTGATGTGCCTCGAAAGACTTTCATTAATGATTGAGCAAAAAGTTGGTCATGGCCAATGGATTCCAATCAATATTGATAGAGATGTTAGTATTTCTCACCTCTTTTATGCAGATGATGTTTTCCTATTTGGAAAAGCTACGATTGAGAACGTGGAAGCAATCAGGGATACTCTTATGGAGTTTGGTACTAAGTCCGGTCTTTTCATAAGTCCCGCTAAGTCCAAAGTTATTTTCCCTCCTAAAATGAGCCTTTCTCTGAAAATAGCTATTCTCAATGTGGCGAACATTCAAGGTGCTCCTACCTTTGGTAAGTATTTGGGTGTCAATATTAGTCCCAATAGCCTTAAAAAAGCTGACTACTCTGATCTGACCTTCTAAATAAAACCAAGGACAGAATTAGGGGTTGGCAAGCCAAGTTACTTAATATGGCAGGAAGATGTACCCTTATCAAATTTGCTATTAACTCTTACCCTTTGTATGTTATGCAAACTACCCTTCTCCCTATTTCCATTTTAAATGACCTAGAGTAAAGTTGTAGACGCTTCCTTTGGAATAAAGTGGATCGATCACATTACCTTCCTAGAACTAGTTGGGAAAAGGTTTGTCTTCCTATGGCCATAGGTGGATTGGGAATCCGTAAATTGAGAAATTGGAATCTTGCTTTCATGGCTAAACTTGCTTGGAGAATTATTCAAGAACCCAACAAACTATGGGTTAGAATTCTCAAGGCTAGATATTTTAAAAATTCCACTTTTCTTAATCGTTTTCCTAATCCTACTGACTCCCCTTTATGGAAGGATATTCTAAAGGGCAAAGATCTCTTGCTTAAGGGTATTGCTTATAGAATAGGAGATGGGGAGGATGTGTGTCTTTGGTACCATCATTGGGTGGGGGATAAGCCGATTTACCTTTCCATTGATACTCCTATTCCCAAGTCCACTGCGCATTGGAGAGTGAACAATATCATTAGTAATGGTAAGTGGAATCTGTCTAGAATTAAACATATCATTCCAGATTATTTGTGCGCCCTAATTGATAATATTCCTCTCCCTCAAACTCAAGTGAGCAACATGAAAGACACGTTATGTTGGAATTTGGAGTCTAATGGACTTTTTTCCATAAAAAGTGCATATAGGATGAGTTGTAACTTCACTTCTCATCCCTCCTTTCCTTCGATTCGTTGGAAGTGCATTTGGCATCTTAAAATTCCATATAAGTATAAAATGCTTATATGGAATTGCGCTCATGGCATTCTCCCTGTTGCTTCTGTACTGGCTAACACTATTACTAACTTGGACCCTTTATGTTCTAGGTGCAATTTAGAGGTGGAGGATCATCTTCATTTGTTTAGGGACTGTGTGAATTCTAGAGTGTTGTGGTCAAGGATCTTTGGAGGAAATAAAATTGATAGCAAATTTAATTATCACACTTTTTTTTAATATTCTTTGGAATGATTGGGTAAACTATAATCTAACCCTTGATGATAGTTGGAAAACAATTTTCTCTGTGGCAATTTGGCATATTTGGAGAGCTCGCAATCAAACTGTTTTTCAATTAGCTATGCCTCATCCGGTATCTATGTTTAATAGATACATGGTGGATTTGGTTGCAAATGTTCATGCTATGCAGGGACAATACAATCCTTCGAAGGTTAGAAATGATGCAGCTAAGTGGAAAAAACCAAGCGGGGAGACAGTGAAAATAAATACAGATGGAGCTTGGATTGGTGAAGACTGTGCTGCTGCTGGAGCCATCATTAGAGACTCTTATGGTATGTGGATGATGGACAAAACGTGGAAGATTAAAGCTAGAAACCCAGCTGAAGCAGAAGTCCTTGCCATTCTGGGGGGGTATGCAGATGGCCATAGATGCTCAGTTCAAGGATGCAATTGTGGAAACAGACGCGCAGACTCTACAGAAGACCATCGATGACATTGGAAAGCGTGGAACTAGTGAACTTGCGCCTATCCTCAACGACATGGAATGTCTCATTAATAAGGGTTGCAACTTTGATTTTAATTACATTCCGAGGGAGGCGAATGGTGTGGCTCATTGCCTGGCCAAGCTAGCTTTGGAGAAGGGAGCCATTGATGGAATGGACAAAATCTATGACTCGCCCCCAGAAAGTGCGAGGGACATATATGTGAAGGAGGCTAATGAGTGTGCTGAAGACGGTACATAAACGTTGGCATTCATGGCTAGGATTTATGATTTGTTCTACCTACCCTTTTGTTGCAGGAATTTTCCTCTACTCCTATAACAGTTGTATTAGTTATAGGTCTTTTGCGGCTTGTAGTATTATTGTTGGATACTCTGTTTCTCCCTCTGCAAGCTTGAGAGATCAGCTTCTTTGGGGTTTCTTTTGTTTGCATTTTCTAAATTAATATAATCCCTCCTTTCCCCCTTTAAAAAAATAAAAGTGTTCAAATTAAATATCATAAAAGAATTACATTAAAATTATTCACAAATTAACAAATTACGTAAAATTACACATATATCATATTACACATCATAAATACATATAAAATTATGTATATTGATATACATTAGATTTTTTTTTTGAAACAAACACATAATTTTAATGTGTATCAATAACGTTGCGTAATGTGTATAAATTATTTTATCATAATTTTACTTGTTTGCTCATTAGATTATTATTTATCGTTAATACAAATAATTAATGTTGCATAAATTAGGATGAAGAACAATATTTTTGGGCAGTTATAGAGAGAAATAGTGGAAAGACAAGAGCAAGAAATGGTTTAAGGGGGGATTTATGATGTGTTGTCGGTGCACCCGGGTGTGCATCATGCGCTTGGTGCATCCGGAAAAAACATTAGCTATATTTAAAAGAACATGTGCGAAAAAAAACATTATAGATATTTATAAAGAACACGAGCATAATATGTTCTTTAATTATGTTGTTGTTTTAGTTGTTGTTCTTGGTTAAGCTTAGTTTAGTCATGTTGTTATTGTATAAGTTTCTTGTTTTGTTGATTTGGTTTTGTTTTTGAATAGTTCTCTTTCTCTATTTGATCATGAGTTAGAGTTCCATAGAGTTGTTTTAGTTTGGAAGTTAACGAAGTGTCGTTATTGTCTTTGGAGCCTGCTTGGTCGGTTTTAAGGGTTGTAAGGCTAATAAATCCTTTGTTGGTTGAGTTGGTGGTCATTCTGGGAGGCTTATCGGGGTGTGGATATGTTCCATGGTAGTTCTATGCTGTTCTTGTTGCGTGGTGATGAGATGATATGGGCATTCATATAGTTGCTATCATCCCTTTGTTAGTCTTGGTGATGACAAAATCAGTCATTGCTGTTAATCAAAATCTTGAAGGAGGATCCCATCTTTGTGTTTGGGGTAAGTAAGTCCTCCATTTTCTTGCATTCTCTGTTAGTAGAACTACAAGAAGAGAATTTGCATTGGAATGCACATTGTAGAGTTGTTAAAGAATACGACTCTGTTGGTTGTGTTCCTAGACTCATAGGATGCAACTAGTACGATTCTCGTGGATATCCAGACTCCCCAGCTATTGATATGTTGCAAGTCTTTTAAGTATTTTGCTTTATTCGTTCTTCCCGTAATGGTTAGTAGCAAGCATATTAGCTCTTTTAGGTTGTAATTCTGCTTTTCTATATATAGTTTTCTTTGTAAAAATAAAAAATAAAAAAAAAAATACTAATGGGTCTATTATATCAATTCAACATGTTTTCTATGAATTTCTTCTTATTAAACTTTTGTACGAGTACTTTTCAAGCCTCTTTCAACCTATGCAATAATTATGACAATCCAAATAATTAACTGGGACTTCCTCTAGTTGAATATTGAACAAATAATACCACTTCTGGAAGGTCATAATATTCAAAATTGAGTAAAAATGACAAAGTTATTATTACAGTATTAGACATTTTGAATCAAAATCTTTCGAAGACAATGACAATACTATGCACATAGGTTTCACTCAATAATATCATAATACGAGATTTACAAGTACCACAATATATTACTTACAGATAGTTCTAGTCAAATGATCAAATAATAAGCACAAATTTTATGTTTTTTTTTTGAAAAAGTAACAGATAGATAATGTTACAGAAAATGGTTAAAAAAAATAAGTTCTAGGCATTACACAAGCAGCCTCATGATCTTTTAACTACTGCTACGGCAAAAATGGGATGATATGTGAACTCCAACGAGATTTTAAGAGTAGCATCAAGAGCTCCAACACGGTTAATCACATTTATAGCAATGTTGTTTCGCTCTGCAACCTGCTCAATGGATCGGAGTTCAGCCATCTTATCGGGGTCATTTGCGAAACTCTTCTTCAATTCCTTTACGATCTTCTGAGCATCCTTGAAGTGATTATACGTAACTAGTGTCTACAAATAAAGTGATGTTAATTGATGTAATCTAGGTGTAGAAGTTTATGCACATCACTCACTGCTGAGACAAGTCATAGCAACAGTATCTGAGAATCTAGGTTATACTCACAGAAAGTCGAGCTTGGGCTGTATAATCCTTATATGAATGGTAGGAAATGTGATCTGGCAGACAAGCTTTCTGTAAATGCTCGAAGTGTTGAACAAATCTCTACAGAGTTGTACACCAGAAGTTAATCAGTATTACTATTTCCTTTTTTTTAGCAAAGAGTTTTTTGAATGGAAAAAACAGAAAACAAAACACTCCAGAATGCATATTGATAAGTTAGACACGATTTAGTTCCTTAGAGTGATTGAACTGTTGATATAAGAATGACTGAAAGATAAAAAGTATAAAATTTCACAAATGAAAACATAAATAATCACCTCATATTCAGTATTAAAAGGGCCCACATGCTGGAAGAGTTTTAGTTCATTTCTCATAGCAGCAAGCATCTGCAAAACCCATTACAGTTAGCATCAACACTGCAAAACAGTAAAATTTATGGCACAAGCTAAATATGCACTTATTACCATCTTACATTTCGAATTTTCAAGCCACACTAGCTAACTTACCATTTCATGGCCTTATAAAACATGCACTTATTAACATCTTACATTTCGAATTTTCAAGCCAAACTAGCTAACTTACCATTGCAAGTCCCTCAGCAAGACAAATATAACATTGAAGCAACATAACAGCTGGTGGGATGCGGTAATCCTTTGTATCCATCACCGAATCTCTTTTCTTCTTCCCTTTTCGTTTAGCTGCTAAATTAGGATACAAATGTCAACTGCAATGGGAATGTGCACAAAAGGCCGATATTGCTTGGTTGAAAGTGATTAGTACTTTAAGTTTTAAATAATAAGACTTCATTTACATTGGATGCAATTATGAATAATATAAAAAAGTTAAAAAAAAAACTAAAAAAAAAAATTGAAAAAAAAAAGAGAAAAAAAGAAGGAAAGAAATCAAATGGGATTCAAATTTCTCAGGATGAAATATTGTGTAAAGCATAAATTTTGAATTTCTACCCATAGCCTCAACATGTGCAATTTTATTAAAGGGAATATCTTGACGACCACCAAACGGCAAAATTCTTAAATAACATGACTAATTAACAGACCAACACTAGGCAATTTGATAGTAAAACATTACAAGTTTTGAAATTCTGGAACAGGTGAATGAAGTAATCTTTTAGGCCCTACATTTAGATCATCTTGGACTCTTGGTGAACCCTTAACTGTTACAGATTGCCAACAAGACAAGAGTACATGTTTTCTCCTTTTAGTCAGGGTCTTCATCTTTATTAAACAAAGGATCGGGTTGTAACATTAATTCTTTTATAAAACCATTTAATATAGTTTTTTTGGGCACGCTTTAGCATAAAGCCTTAAGCAACCAAAGGTAGAACATAACATCATTTGATGCAAATCCGCATTTAAGGAGTAAGCTCACCTGAGTCAGCGGCAGAAAGCTGCTTCAAATGTGTTTTCTCTGCAAGCTTAACCAGTATGACATAAAGGTACCAGTATACCATGCAATACTCATTTGAGGAGTAAAGCTCCAATTCAAAGCCCAAAGAAAGAAAACGCAAAGCAATCCAATATGTTTGCTCTTCAACCCATATAAGTATGTGCCTAGCCAGTTTCATGCATACATTCTGCAAACCAACTAAAAAGATATCAATCTCTACAAGGACAAATCAACCAGAAACACCAACTCATTTGTTTATTTTTTTATTCCACAGCTTTAAACTTTGGAAATGAGACAAACTCCTTTAGGTTTCCTATGCCGCTACAAGTACAAAATTTACCAAGATGTACCACAAAAAAAGGTGGGTTCTATTGGTTCACAAAATCCAAATTTATAAAAAAAGTGAGTTTTCTTTTCTTTTCTTAATTTCCGACTTGTATCAAAGTACTGGAATCAAATCAATAGATATACCTCATCAGATATGCCAGAAAATTCTCCAAACTCCTCCCTGAAAGCAATTTCCAACTGAAAAATAAAAACTTCAGGTTTTCAGATGAAGTTCAAGATTATTTGGACAGCTCAAAGGAAAGCATGCTTCACACAATATTCCAAACATGCTGAGAAACACTCAGAAGACTCAGAAGTCAGAACTATAGACAAAAAGACTTAAGAACACAGGGGCAAGCAACTGACATTTCTTGGCAAAATGTAACTGCTACCAAATTTCGATTAGGGTAAAAGAATAAACAGAGAAATACAGATTATTAGAATAACAGCATCACCAATGTCATTTAACAGGAACGTTGTTAAATATGAGCTTAATCTGGGAAAGCTTGAACACATGCTTGCTCTTTAAGTTTTTTTTTTTTTTTTTTTTTTTTTTGCTTTTAGGGGATAGGATGGTCTACATGTTTTCACAGATGCACCTTGAGATAACATGAAGAAATTATACTTCCTCCGTTCTTTTATTATTGCACCATAAGGGTTTGGCACAAATTTTTTGGTAGTGGAAAAAAGGATGAGAGAGAAAGGTAGAAATACCAAGTTGCCCATGTGATTGTATGTACAAAATAAAAGTAAGGGTTGAAAAGCAAGGGTATATTAGGTATTTATAGTATGAACACATAAATTTCTTTTCCTAAAATGGATATGGTGCAATAAATGTGAAACTTCCTTAAAAGGTAAGTGGTGCAATATTTAAAAAACGGAGGAAGTACATAAAATAACAAAACTTTACATCCAACATTCATGCCCAAGAAATAGATATGGCTGATGATTAACTGGCATACTAGCCCAAAGGTTTTGGATTTTACACATGGTACATCAGCCAAACTTATTCCTGGGAATGATTGACATTTCTAGTCAGAATCAGGAAGACTGGAGAAGGAAACTCTCAATTATTGGTTTCCTGGGTGTGATAAACCATAGAAATTTACACATGGTACATCAGCCAAACTTATTCCTGGGAATGACGGACAATTCTAGTCAGAATCATGTAGACCGGACAAGGAAACTCTCAATTCTTGGTTTTCTGGGTGTGATAAACCATTGAAATTTACACATGGTACATCAGCCAAACTTATTCCTGGGAATGACTGACATTTCTAGTCAGAATCAGGTAGACTGAACGAGGAAACTCTCAATTCTTGGTTTTCTGGGTGTGATAAACCATTGAAAAATAAAGTTCTAAGGAGAGGGAAGAGAAATACACTTTCTGGTTCCTTTGATTCCATGGAAGTTCAAGTTCCCAACGTAAATCCACATGGAATATGGAAAGTATCACCTCTCTGGTTCAACTGCTTCAGAAAATATTAATTTGCCATCTTCTTTTTTTTTTTTTTTTTTTTTGAAGGGGGGAAGGGGGGGGGGGATAAGGGAGGGAACAAGTACTTCAGTAGAAAGGTTTGCTATTCTATTAGGATAAGCGTGAAAAAAGGTCAATGTCGATGCTGCTGTTAACAAGTGACTATGATTCTTCTGATTTACATTCACAACTCAGGGATCCAAGTCATCCAACTGACAAAGTTTTGATCTTGGTGTTTGCATAAGAGACTAATAGAACAATTACAAAAGTAAAAACATTACAGACCTGTACATATATTACACGCCAATCTTGTAAAACTTTCCCAAGTTTACGCCTTTGCCATGCAACATTTGTGCAAAGGATTTTGAGCAAATTGATTAAACACTGCATAAATTAAACATAGAGCTTTGGTTACACAAAGTAAGTAATCAAGGAAATGATATGATTAGAAGCTTCTATGTAAAAAAAATAAAAAGGTAAAATTTCCACATGGCAGAAGAATGTTTAAATTTTTTTTAAGAAAAAACCTTTTCAAATCAAGAACCTAATGAGATCAGTGTGGTGAATACAGACCTGTCCTAATTGTACAACAGCTTCATTCTTTTGGATATTAAGGTCCTTCATAGATTCAGGTAAAGCTGAAGCTTTACACATGACAAAAAAGACAGGATCCCGCCCATATAATTTCCCACCTTGAATCAAGAGAACCTGCAAACAAGTCATATAAGATAAAAGAAAAAGAAAAAGATGTTCACAGGTTCATCTGGTCTCACACCCTTCACCCCAATAGAATACATAGATTCTCATAAATTCCCAGAATTCTCAGTAAAGCAGAAATAACCAAGTATAATTTTTTATCAGACAGATTCTTTTAAGCGCTCACACTTCCAAACACTCAGAATGTTTGTAGATACTAGATAAAACTTATCTTTTTTTTTTATTATTTTTTTTAATTCTTTTTTCTTTTTTCTTCTTTTTTTTTTTTTTTTTTTTTTTTTTTTTTTTTTTTTTTTTTTTTGTTGTGCGCATGCATGAGTTTAGATTTGGCTGTACGCATATAAATCTTCTTAGTAATGAGAAGATGGTTGTGGCATGGGCATATATATTTCACTTAACAACTTCAGGTAGTGTTTGTACTGAAACCTAGCACAATAGAACCAAGTTACAGCATTTTACATATCTTTGATTCTCAGCAGAAAACATGATAGAGATATACGACAGAACAATTGTCCAAAGAAAGCTTCAAGAAACCCCGAGAAGGTTATTCTTGCTGCCAATGCAGAATTTGGTGGTAATTCTGTTTTGTTATGACTTAGCAGAGTAAAAGCAAAGTCATATGAGCGGAGAAGGTGGCTGTAGTGCTGCCGTAATTGAGTGATATTAGTTCACTACGTTGTTCATTCAAATTTATGGAAAACTTTATACAAAAAAGGGTTAGCCCATTCCTAGACAAAAACAGATTATTTATGTGCAGTCCACACTGATCATCTGGATGTGATATGTTGCTGAATGCAGGCAGTGGAGATGGAGTCTTTCTGGAAATGTCAGGGAAAAAAAAGGAAACATCGAAGATTATGGCAAGCTATGGATTATTCACTAAGTAACTTGTTTGGTTTAGTTTTTCGAAAACACTCTCCTAATCTAGAAACAACCAGTGAGCCACTTGGTCCAAAGTTTACAAGAAAGAAGCTTACAATCAAATGAAACAATGGCCTTCCTTATGAGAATAATAGAGATCAAGAAGTTTTATGTAGGAATGTATACTTTCCACTATTTGAAGAGCAGGTAATTTCAGCAGTTAGTGGTTAATTGTAAACTTTTTAGTATTCCAAGTAATAATTCTAAAAATCTTCTATAACAATACTAAAACACAAGAGCCTCACACGACACACACTCTTATAACTTTTCCTGCCCATTTTCCCACTCATAAATAAAACGGTTCCAGTTATATCTATGAGATCTTTTAAGGAGTAATTCCTATTATGCCTTTGACATTATTTATTAATAAATTGATATATATCTTCAATAATATCTTTGAAATCTTATTATATCAGTAACAGTAAGTTATGATAATTTGACAAAATATTTGACCAAGTCAAAATTTATTTACATCTATCAAACTATCTACGTAATATAACTATACTAAAACACAAGATGGTTTTTCCACACATTTTCTCATTCCTTAACAAAGAATTCCCAGCAATTTCTTGGACGTCTTTAATTCATATAATGTCTTTGACATTTTTAATTTAATAGTTACGAGTTGTATATATCTTGAACAATATATATGACCTCTTTTTTTTTTTTTGGGTATGTTACGCTTATGTCTAGGGAAAACATTTATTCATGCCAAAATAAATTTACTTGTACAATAATATAGCTTGATCAATAATAATCTTATTAAGAACAACAATATGCTATTTAATATGCTTTATTTCCTATGTAGAAAATAGTAAAGAAAAAAAAATAGTAAATGCTATTTAATCATTGAAAAAAGCATACTTTTAATGTGAAATATTGTTTCTAAATTTTTTTTTTATACAAGCTATTGGTAATTTAGGGTAGAATAATTAGATAAAAAAATATTTAAGATTATATGGTATACCAATACGTAAATACAAGTCAAATAAAGTTGTATAGGAATATAAACAAGATTCATAACAGCCTAATATTGTTATTGTGTTAAATTTTCAACAAAAATAATACTACAAGTTTGGAAGAATAATTACTAAATAATCAACAACATTAATGGAAGAAGATTTAATGCCATAGCAAGAACTGTTACTTTGTCACATATTTAATCATATTAGTCCTTAATTACTTGATATTCTAACTAATTTTTGTCCCTAAATCGTTTTTCATTTAATTAGTGCTTCTCTTCATATGTGATTCTACCCTTCTTTATCCTTATACGGAGTAAATATTGTGAATAAAATATATACACATATATAGTTTTCCTAACTACCAATATAGAGAAATTAAACTGGCTAAAAAAAAATTTCCCCCTTATTTATGATTTTGTCCTTCTTTGTTCTCCCTATTTCAGATCAATCAAACTATTTTCTCTAACTTACATTTCTAAAATTTTCATGTACAATTCATTTCTTAATCTCCCAAACGTATACTATAAAAGGCAGATAAAGAAGATAATCATTAACATGATCAAATTGTATGTGTACTACTTTTGTATCCAAAGTGTACCTGTGTGATGGAGCGGGTTTGGGCACAGTTATAAGGTTGTACTTGTTAATTATGGGGAACATATTAGACAAGCAACTTACTAAGTTGTACACTTATATATCATTTTTGGAGTACATGTGAGATGTTGCCACTTAGCATAACATTATTTTGGATTTGTCATTGGAACAAGGTATGTTGCATACACTTTTAAGGTTTTGCATGTTATTGTAACAATTTTTAACATAAAAGAAACCACTAATACTCATCAAAATAAATCTTTTGTATTGAGATTTTAAACAGTAGGTAATAAAACTCCCAATAGGAAACAAGCTTTTATCCCCTGTGTTTTTTAGGTCCTTTTTTTTCTACTCACTTCTATCATATTTTTTTTTGGCAAACTCCCCTTAATGTCCTAACCCTTGTAACCACAGTATATAAGCCAAAATTTCCATTCCTGGACAGATTCAGAGTGATGCTAAAATAGGGACAGTTCATAGGGTGATCACATCTATCTATACAAAAGAGCTGATAAATTAGATCAAAAAGCTGAAATAGGGATACTAAAAGCCTCAGTGGGAAAAATACAAATTAATGTTCACAAAAAAGTTCCACCCGATAAGTTAGAAGCACTGTCTTGATCACCAAATTCTGACAGTGGCTTCACAACAATTCAAATATCTAACCATTATTCATGCCTCCATCCTTCCTAGCTTGAAGTTTGGGTAGCCAAGTCAGCCCTGATCTACCTTATGAAAGGACAGGTAGAGGTGTCCTAGCAGGGGGCTATTCCGAACTAAAACTAAGTATATTTTGCTTTGCTAATAACAAAGATAACACACATTTCCCTATCACATAAATCAGCATTTTGCAGACAAAGAAGGCAGGAAATATAGTAGAAGTTGATGATAGCCATCTACGGGTAATTGCCGGATAGTACATTTGTGGGTTTGACAATGCCTACAGAGAAAATCAGGGTTGGTGACTATAATCAACAGAACTGGAATTCAATATAAACAAGCTGCTTGCCCAATTGATATTATTATGATACAGGGACAAATATATAGAAGTTTTAGTTGCAAAGTAACCAATCAACTATTAGGTCAGATTAACTAAGATTCTACAGATTCATTGCTGCCAACAACAAAAGCATTCATAGCATGAAGGGTGCCCACATACTTATGACACAACTGTCCTCTCAACTGGCCAGGAATGCATTATATGAATCCACACAGATAGTATTTGAGAGTAAAAGTAGAGAATATACCAGTGAGAACATGTTAAATTATCCATCTAACATACTGCTGCCTCAAGATTACATGTTCAAATTCATAGAAAAGCAATGATATCAACAAGAATTTTATGGCCAACATGATTCAGGTCAGTGGATCAGACAGATTGAAACCCAATGATAAAAAAGATGGTTAGATGAGATAGCAAACACATTTACAAATTTACAATTCCTTTTTAAAAATGTTTATGATTCAGGAGTTTTCATTTTAGAGTTAGGATTTGCAAAATCCATCATGATATTATTTCAGGTTCATATACAGTCCACTGATGCTTCATTTGACTTGGCATATTGACAAAATCTTCTCAAATGACTAAGCAGTAGAACTATCTATTGTGTTGAGAAATACTCCCTAAGAGAATCCAATAATTCAAGGTAGCTAACAGGTTTCACAGACTTGACAAAAGATTGATATTGATATAGTTGAACTAAAAAGGTATCAAAGAGATGTAGAGCTAGCAGTTGGAAACATCATTGTTAGAAAAAAGACAATAAACTAACAAGTTTGAAAAAAATCGAAGAAAAATATTACAGTGCAAAGAGGGTGAACATTGAACTCACATGGAGGTGAGCTCTGGCAACAAGATCTGGTTGCAGTTTTTGGAATTCAACAATAAACTGCAATACATTTTCTAGCAATGGATCCAATGAGAACGAACATATAACATCCAAATCATGGAGAAGCTTTTTAAAATATTCAAAAGCCTGGGCAGAGAGAAAAAATTTGGTAGGCTATAAACATCAGAAGAGAAGAAGAATAATACGGAGTACGGAGTAGGACATTTTCAGTATTCCTCACCATATCCCAGCTTAAAGTTTTGATTGCACGAGGAGGAGCAAGAGCTGATGATCTAATGTTTAAATTAGCATCGAAGCCAACAGGATGACGGCCAGAAGCAGTGGTTTCCATTGGAACTGTATCTTTTCTTGTCAAGCATCCTATAGACCTCAGAAACTCAGCTGATTTTTGCATTTGTTGCAGCTCTAATAAGCAAGATGAAATATGCTTTCTTGCCAACTCAAAGCCTCTGCCTTGGGGTTTCTTCATGCACATAAGAAGGTGGTAGTAGTGCTGCAACACAAAATGAAAAATGAAGTCTCATTACGCTATAGGTCTGATTAACTAATGCAGCCATCATACTGAACAAAATTTAGCCGCCAAATCTTACTAAAGGCCAAAGAACTCTTAACCAAAAAAAGCTTTATTTCCTTGAAAAATGCAATATAGTGACTATGCTAATGAATTCTTATTGGGTATGACACACTCAAAGCAAAATTTATACATGCATTAGTACATTTCAACAGATTACTAGAGCATGGATTCCAAAAAATATTGCAGAACTTGATATTTCTTCCCTAAATAACTAGACATGAAATAGAGTGGTCATCAATAGGAATGATTGTCCTCTCAATATATACATAGAGGGAAAATAGCACAAAACATCCAAAGTCATGGAGTTCTACTGTATACAAGCTAAGTGGCAGCGCAAAAAACAAATCCAAAATAGCACAACACTTAAGTCTCCCTTGTCGCAAATCTCACAATAACAGAAGCACGATATAACTACTCACACAATGCATCCTGATGATCTGATGTAAGATTGACAATTAGGGCCTTTAGGGGAACCAATAAACGTAGCAAGAGCATATAGGTTAAGACCTTACGAAATCGTAAACGGCACAACAGAGCTCGGCAAAAACCCTCCTCTAGATCTGGATTGGTTTGCAATGGTTCTTGATCTGCAGTCCAAGTACCTGAGCATGTCAGAAATAAACCAAACTACTCATAACGACATTTAACAATTGACATAGACTGCAGTAAGAGCAGCAAGCAACATGCATAGCTTTTGCCTGAAGACGCATGCAAAGAATAAGCAAGTGAACCACTCATCCATTCCATAATCCATACTACCAAATTTAACTTATCACTTCAGATCAAATAAAAAAATGTAACTGACAATGAAAACCTTTCACAACTATTAACAAAGTCACATTCACAAACAAATTGAATAAACATATACCAAGTCTTTTTAGAATCCAAACAAATTTTGGAAAAAATAATCAACAAAATAGTTGCACAGCTAACTCTGAAAAAGACTTGCAGCTTGGAACTAATGCAATTCAGCCACAATATGTCTAAACTAAAACCAAAATCCAACAGTTACCTTCTACCACCATCTTTTTGGCAGCTGGAGATTTACAAGCACGCATTTGTCGACAGAGTGTCTCTTCTACAGCATTTAGAGTAGATAAGAATGTGTCACCTTTCTCTCCACCCAAAGGGAGACCATAAGCTATTGTGAACAGATCTTCTTCCTATCAGAATATAATGCAATCCAAATGGTAAATTATTTTATGGAGCATAGGTCTGTCTCCTCTGACATGATGAAAAGAAGAAAAGGCATAATTTAAAACACATTCATCCACGAATATATGATTGTTTAGATCACATAATCCTTCATAGTCACCATTTATAAAGGTTATAATTTAGGTTAATAACAGCGATTTCTAGATTTTCTGTATCCACATTTATTTTAATATCCAAAAAAAAAAAAGGATGCATGATATTAAGTTGGCTATCCTGAAGCATTTTCCTAATTTCTCTATCAACTATGTGTAGAAGCAAGCAAGCAACTCCTCCCTTCTGTCTTGGGAAGATTTGGTATCTCTATGTCATTTCAAGTGGTAAATCCCAATCCAGGATACTAACCTTGCTCCCCAAGTGTGATGAATCAATGTATATATTAAAGACTCTAGCATTACTATGACATTTTTTGGAGAAAGCCACTACTATTAGTTTTCAGCATGACATTGTACCAAACAATTAGCATCAGTCTCTCAGCTTGTTAGGTAATTTAGCCACAACACACTTCATAAGTTTGAAATCTAATTATAAGAAACTGCATTCCAAATCATAGACCTTCGGAGTCATCTCAAGGTTCATACATATACTTTATATAATGCAACAATAAGGATCTAATATTCTCTAATGTGATTAATTTGATCTGCAACTTAATTTGAAATTTCTCTCCTGACTCATATCACAAACATTATGGTTGGTTATGTCCGTCTTACGCAAGCATTCAATAATTTGACTACTTCCTTGGTTATTTTTACTCCATTTTATGCATTTTCAAATCCTTCAGGTTTTCATCGAGAATTTTGCCAAATAAGAAGATTTTGCCAAATAAGAAGACAGAGCACTATAAACAAGTAAATACTATCTTTATCCTTCACCACGGTAGGGGTGAAACTGTGAAAGTTCAGTATTAGGTTTAGAATATGTCCCAAACCGAACCGAAATAATTCGGTTTTAGTTTTTTCAATCCAACTCCACACCGAATTGAATTTCGGTCCAATCCAAACCGAACCGAGTTTCAAATACATAAACCGAATCCAATCCATACACCAAAATTATTATTTGTTTTTTTAGATCTGCGATATTTCAAAACAATTTATAATTGTAATGACAAAATAATAAGATCTATTTCAGTCTTTAGATCAACCTTCAAATTACCCAAAATAATAGAATTAAAAAAATTTACATCAATTAAAATTATATGAATATACAGTGAAAGAAAATAAATAAAACCATGAAATTACAGAAACTATTTGTGACATTCCTTGTTGCCATTCACCTCTAGCTTGCATTTACATCATTTATGGTGCGAAAACCAAATTCATAGATCAAATTACATTGTAGAAAAGCAGAGGAGATCAAGAGATTGAAGGTCAAAGGATTGAATATTTAACCATAAGAGAGGATGAGATAACACAAGAAAGAACACAAATGAGAAACAGGAGTAAGGACGAGATGAGAAAGCAAAAGGGGGGGCATATGAAGTTGAAAGAAGGCAGAAGGAGAAAGAAGGCGGATGAAAGAGAAAGGGCATTTAGAAATTCAGGGCTTCTAGTATATAAGGGAGAACTTAGCTATGGGCTTAAGGTTTGGGCCTAGTTTACATTATGTAGATTTCGGTTTGAATCAGTTTTTTCGGTTTCGAGCTTCTCAAAACCGAATCCAAACCGAAAACCGAAATTCATAATTTTTTCAATCCGATCCAAACTGAATTATAAAAAAATCCAAACCGAATTACTTATTCGGTTTTGTTTTCGGTTTGGTTTGGTTTTAATCCGAATTACTTTCACCACTACACTACAGAGCACAGTAGGTCGTAATCATGTAAACTTATAACGAGTCCAGCAAGTATTACTTAATTGTGCTAATCAAGCAGAGAAAAGAAGACATAAAAAGCAACAAAAGTTGTCATCCAAATAGATAGAGCAAAAGAGATGTTTAGTACTTTACTTCATGTGTGCGAGCCTCTGAAACAACAGATATAACAACGTTGCATGTTGCACGAACTAATCTACAAAAAGAATGTAACAGGGGATGTGCTGAGGTGCGATCAAGCCGCATAAGGTAGGTGCAAGAGAAGACAGTTTGTGCCAATGAGTGCCCCTTATGCCACGTAGCCTGCCATTATACAAGGACATGTATCAAACAGATGGAAATATAGCATGCACTAGTCCATAATCTAAAAGCCCAAGCCACATTGAAATGTACCTCACAAGCAAGGAGGTGATCCATAATATCTAGAATGCATATAACATCCATAGTTTTATCAAAACTTAGCGGAACTGGAGCCGCACCATTCTCTATAGCCTCGTCAACAGAATGATATCTGCCATTATCCATGCCCGAATCCATCTTTGGGTCCATTATCTAACAAAAGAAATGCAGAAAGGTATTCTTTTCAGTTAAAGGATTCCTTTTTTTAAAAAAAAAAGAAGAAGAAGAAACCGCACATCAGCTATAGACCTCCTTAAGGATAAAATTCACAATATCGATTGCTATAAAATCTACACAAACCTACAATTCCCTAGTTCAATCAATGACAATCGATGTCACATGTTAAAGAAGCTCAACAAGAAAACTTCAAAAAGTTACATGCATGCTTCCCTTGAAATATTGAAAAATGGAAGCATTGTACTAGTAATGCAGTCTACAAGAAGCTCCCCAAGGGTAAGCATTATGCAGGTAATAAGTACTAATAAAGCCTAGATGCATCACTATAGGGCTATAGGTAATCAACAATATTGACAAACATTGTCTTCGTATTATTGTGAAATGAATAATAATGACATACAATGTCTTTGTATTTGTGAAACAATTGATTATCGTATTATTGTACAATATTTCAGGATCAATATCATAAACAAGACAATAGTTCCGGACATAAAAGAACAAACTTGAGACAAGTATGTATGAGTAGTACCTCTAAAGCCGACATGGCGGCAAATAGACTAAAATTATCACCATGTATCAGCTCGCCGTCACAAAGCTCTGCCATACACATACAAAATTAAGCATTAACATTAAAGGAAACATTAATGTTACCATAAAACTAAAAAATCTAACATAAACCAAATAATAAACGGATTTCACATTATAATCACTTCTATAATTCAACATTTTCAGCTTAACTACAATATAATCAATAAATTCGAAATAATCAAAGATCTTCAATAATAATAATAATAAAATTAATTCGAAAATGTTTATCATCAAATTACGGTCTGCAAATCAATAAATAAAGCAGAATGCAACAATCAAAGATCTTAATTGAATAAAGAGAAGAAAAAACCATTGCAAGCTGAAGACAGAAGATTGGAAACGTTCGTCCAAACAGTTCCGTCGCCGGAAGGTATCGCCGCCGCAGCAGACGCTGTCGTAGTAGTCGGAACATTGAAACCTCGATCGTCCGCCATTGAAGACGAAAGAAGAAGGAATTAGGTTTGGAGGAGAGTGAAAAATTGAAGAACAAAAATGGCGGTCTCAGTTATTGGTAGTACAAGTAATTTTATTTCAGTTGGAAGGGTTTTGGTTTTGGGGGAATTTTTCTTTTTTGCGTTTTTTTATTTTTTTTATTTTTATTTTGCAAGAGTGAACCGCCGTACCCCGGCGCGTCAAACAGAAAATAATCCTTAGACCGTCTTTATTGGTGAGACTCGAGTTCGAGTATTGAAATACAAAATAAGGGCTTGTTCTCAATTCTCATTGACTAAAATGAATTAAATTGAACTAAGCTGAAATGAATATTTTATGATAGAAGGAAATTAGGAGCTGAACTGAAAATAATTTGAAGAGAACACTGCCTAAGTTATTTTTCTCTTCATTTGATGATACTCCTGGGTGTACCGTACAAATACACCAAATTAATTTAAGGTTAATTTTTTCTCTTCATTTAATGATTAAATGAAAAACAATCATCAAAATGAGAACAAAAAACTTATGGGTGTACGATGCACCCGGGTGTATATAACATATTCCAGACTTTTTGTCAAACTAGGGCAGCCAACGCGCGCAAATGGCTAGCCTTTGCAACTTCATTTTACTTGTCTTTTGTTTGCACTTCACATGGAGGAATAAAAGGCCGGTAAAGGAATATACTTCTATTGCTTAGGCATTGTTTGTTTATAGTCGTCCTAAGTTGAATGTTACGTGTGAAATATCTCGTATATTGAAAAAAAATCTTTATTTTTATTATTTGTATATGGTGATTCTTTTAATTGGAATACTATGTAGAGTTACAGTAGATTATAATTCTTAGGTTTTTCAATGATAATGCTGAAAATGAACAAATGTTAAAATTGTTGTTTGTTTATTTTCGCAGTGTTGATATTATTAGCATTACTTAATTGTGGTGGTACAATATGAAATAGAGAAAGAATCATCAATGATGAAACCGAAATGACCAATTCCTAATCCACCACAGAGCGAGGCTAACATATTAATCAATGAGTTCATTTCATCCATCACAGAGGCTATCAATATTAATCAATGAGTTCATTTCTAATTTAAAAGTACAATCCTTCTAGATGAAACCGAAACAACCAATTCCTTCACACACTTATGCCCAACCGTACATGAATGTATATATATTATACTAAAGCAGCCTATATCCACCTATCAAGTCCAGTCTAACCAATGAGTTCTTAGACATAAGAAGTCATGTATAGTGTATAGTGACTAAATTCAAGTCCAGACTAAATTATGAAATTAATCTTATCTTACACTGATGAATTACTCATATGCTAAAATTATGATCTTTAATAGAATCCCATGTGATCCTATCATTACAGATTACGAAATTCAAAATCCATAGTAGAATGTTCTTAACTTAATGATAATCCTGTTTTAAATCTATAGACTTTGCTCGCAAAAAATCCGACCACCCTCTTCCACCGCCTCCCCCTCTCCCCTCTCCCTTCTCGAGGCCCCTTTTCTCAGAGTTCCCGTTTCCAGATCATCGACTGCGAAAAAGGTCCTCGTTAAATATTCCTTTTCTGCTATATATTGGTATTGCCAACTTTTTTTTTGCCACAATTTGATTTGGAAATTTTGGGAAGGTGGTGAATAAAGATGTGGAATTTAGTACTTGGAAATGGCAAAGATAGTGTGTAGAGAGAAAATTTTAAAGCGTTTAAGAGATGGAGTCATGGAGAGGAGGAGGGAAAGCTCAAATGTGTAAGGAAATGTAGACGGGAAAGAACAATTTGAAGTTGGGCTGTTGGAGTACAAAATTACAAATAGGGGTACAAAGGTAAAACACATTTTGAAGGGTAAAAAGGGGTACAAAGGTAAAATAACATTTTGAAGGGTATAAAAGTCCGTGCACTATTCATAAGAACAACTTTCTACTTTTTATAATGTAGGGATAAAACTCAAAGTTGATTAGGGTTTGTTTAGCATTGTTTTTAGTTTTCATTTTTTTTTAAAAAAAAAAAAAAAAAACCAAAAACAGGAAACAAAAAAAAGGTGTTTTCACTTTCAGTTGTCAGTTTTCAAAATTATCATAATTTTAATAAGTTTGACTAATATACAAAATTGTTGCACAAAAATCTCATGTGCATTATAAATAAACACTATTTTCTTTTATGTATATGTTCATGTACATTATAAATGAGCATTATGTTCTTATATATGCCCATGTACATTATTATATATCTGCATGTACATTCTGCCTTTTTGTATTTTGGAGCGAATGCACCATGCGGATCGTGCATCTGCCTGCACGAACCAAGCTTTAATGAAATTCATCAATTAGCAAAGTGAGGTTATGTTTTGCACCCTTTCCATATCGATGTTGACAACTGCCTACTCAATATAATTACGATGACAGTATATATACCGTTGTCAATTACTCTAATTTCATTCAAAGAAAAAAAAAATCAATTTTGCATGACTAACATACTATAATACAAATTTTGTACCGTTAATGATGTTTAATTTGATAGAAATCTCAAAAATATTATTGATATAATAATCTTAAATGAAGCCTCCTTAACCATATAAAATGTAACATCATATTGAATTAAATCAAATGGCTTATAGAGCCTATTCAATGTAAAGTGCCACCTTACACTCTTTACTCCTTTAGCCAACTTTAAATACTTTTTTAGTGAAAATACCTTTGATAATCACTGGTATACATTCTGCATGTATAACTTCAACTAGCCTTGGACTTGCCACTTCATAACCACTAGGACACAAACAATTTTTTCTTTGCCCAACATATAGAATTAGTTTAGGTTTTTGGGAAGGTACTCGAAAACTCAAATTTCTTCGTCCTTCTTATCCTTCCATTGGACAAATAGGTATTTTCTTTCATGGCCATGGGCACCACCAACAAAAAACACAAAGATGTTACGTTGACTTATTTGCAACCCTAGCTTGGTGGATTTAATTTTCAGCCCGGTAATTAAACTTTTGATGTGGAAATCAACATCTCTCATTGGTTGGAATACTTATAAAGAATTGACATTACAAAGTGCTCTTATGAGATTGTTAAACAATTTTGGATTGACTTATGAGATACCTGGTGCCTAAACCACATAGTATACAACACTTTCATTAGAATTCTATACTCTATCATCATACAATACAAAGAAGGGAGAATTACCAAAAATTTTGTGGATGTATTAGCCATGTATAGAAGAAGCTTATAATGTATTGAAGAGGATTTATCTTAATTCTTTGCCTCTGTCACTCTTGGTTATGGTCTTATATATTGCGGGGTAAATAAATTTAATTTATTTGAAATTTTAGCATATACAAGTAGACATACATACTAGTATTATTTTACGCTTAGATTATTATATTATTCATTATTGTTACACTTGTGCAAGAATTTAATGAGTTAATTATAATATGGAAAAGTCAAAGTTTAGCTAAGGAACTTAATAGGCAATTAGGGGAGTATTGAGAAGATTTTATGAAGTATTGGAATATATATATACTGGTACTATAGAAGTATCTATCCTTCAGGTTTTTGTATGTATGATTTTTTTTTTTTTTTTAAAAAAATTTCGTGTATAACAAAAGATAGTTAAAGAATGCGAAATATAAATATTAAGTGAGTATGTTTAGATAATGGATCGATTCTCGATGTTGAATATGTGTTGCAAATCATAATAAAATTGATAAAATTTCTTTCAAATAACTAATTAGAGTATGTTTATTGAATGATTTTTATTTCAAACTCCCATTATGTACATCTGTTTAACTCTGCTCTCATTCACCACTAAAAAACTTTGTTTTTATCCACAATTTTAATCAAATTGACGCATAATTGGTATAACTTGAATTTTAAAAAAATTATTTTGAATTCTTGACACTTAACATTATAAAAATCTAGAAATGTACTCATTTTCGCACATTTCAATCAAGTTTTTAGATAGTTGGAAACTTTTTTTTTTTTTTTTTGAAAACCGGTTAGTGCATATTATTAAATCATAGAAAGAGTGTCAACAATCACATATAAGTAAACCTCACTTGGAGCATGGTTTTCCCAGCATTGTTCAATACCTAAGGGCACTAACCTTGCGAGATGGTAAACAACAAAATTGCCATCACGCTTAACAAAGGGCCAAAAAATAGAATTAAAATCAGAACTAGAGCAAATAATATCTTCGAGGATGCTGTCCACCGTTGCCAAATTGAAGGAATTCTTCTTGAGTTTGGAGATCATCACTTGGGAATCAGATTCAATGATAATGTTCCCAAAGCCATATTCTCTTGCTTTTTTTAGGCCATAGAGAGCTGCTTTGCGTTCAGCGATCAGAGGATCCCACCTAGATTGCACACGTCTGACTGCCGCAAACAGAACTTCGCCATGGCTGATGCGAGCAACAGCTCCAACTCCAATCCAGCCATCTATTTTTTAAGGGTTTTTTTTTTTTTTTTTTTTTAATTACAATATTATTACAATAATATTTAATTATGATGCAAGAAGTCAATTTAAACACATACGGAGTACCGTTAAAAAAGTTTTTTTTTTTTTTTTTGGATTTTTAACATTATATATTTAATATAGGAATGGTAAATTGTAAATATAGACTATCAAAATATTAACCTAATAATTATACATAATTTATCAATTTATAAATAATGTCACGCAATTTGTTAATATATAAATAATTTTTATTTATGCATTTCCAACTAATATTATTGAATTTTTCATTTTTTTTTTGACTAATTTTATCTCAACTATAATAAAGATTAAATTTATATTCAATTTATACATTATATATAAAAATATTAGAATGATCATATTAATGACAAAAAAAAATTGAAAAAAATGTTTAAATACACCATATTGTGAAAAATAATTAACATGACATTAAATCTTATTTATTTTGAGAAATCAAATTAAAAAATTCCAAAGACAGAGCTTTTTTATTGAATAATTTTTTTTTCATATTTGATTATGAGAATTAATACAGTATATATCTTATACGAGATTTTATGAATGGATATGAAAACCCCATAATATAGTCACAAAAATCTAGAAAAAGTGATTAGGTATATATGATATTTATAATTCAATTTTTCTTGGTTCATAAATTTATATAGATTTTGTTTCTGTATGTATAATTTATGTCAGTATAATTTAGGAAAATTCACTTTGTTACTTACAATTTTTTTATTTATTTTTTAGTGGATAGCAAATTTATTTATTATCATTAATAATCAACTATTAGCGTTAGGTGGTTTAAAAAAAAAAAAAAAAACTATTAGGGTTACTAGTTCAAATATTAGGATGAGATTTATTAGGTTGTTTCGTGTGGGAGAGAGGGTTTCGAAACAAGCATCGGTTTAAGCAAACTCGTTGCGCTAAACCTTTTAACATTTGACGGAACATAAAAATATAATGTGATCCAAAACAATTTTATTTTATTTTTTTTTTTAAAAAAAAACCTGTAAAAAACTAGCTTTCGAAAAGTAAGATGGTGTTGAAATAATACCTGTATTAAAAATAAAAACATTAGTAATTGTTAAAATTAGAGATTGAAATTGTATTTAACCTATTAATATTAAAATTAAAATATAGTAAATTGAATTTTAAAATCTCAGGTGTTACATCTTGTGGTGCATTCATCAATTAGTAAAGTAAGGTTGCATTTTTCACCCTTTTCAATATCGACAATGACATTTGTGTAATCAACAAAATTAAAATGTCAGTATACATATTGCTACTAATAATGACTCTAACTCCATTCAAATAAAAAAAAAAAAAAATCAATTTTGCATGAATAATATACATTAATACAAATGTTATACAGTCAATTATATTTGATGCGAATCTCAAAAATATTATTGATACGGTAATCTTATATCAAGCCTCCTTAACCATATAGAATGTAACACCATATGAATTAAATCAAATGGCTTAGAAGGCCTATTCAATGTAAAGTGCCACTTTACACTCCTTACTCCTTTAACCAACTTCAAATATTTTCTAGTTGAAATACCTTTCAAAATTGTCTTAATCTCAGGAATTCTAGCCACTGGAATATGGATTGAAAATTTACTCCAATCAAGAACATCATTAAAAGGGAAAGAGTAATTATCTTTGATAATCACTGGTATACATTCTGCATGTATAGCTTCAACTATCCTTGGACTTGCGACTTCATAACCACTAGGGCACAAGCAATACTTGCTTTGCCCTAACATTTTGAAGTAGTTTAGGTTTTTGGGAACATACTCGAAAACTCGGATGTCTTCATCCTTCTTATCCTTCCATTGCTCGAATAGGTATTTCCTTACATGCCCGTGAGTACGACCAGCGAAAAATGCAAAGATGTTTCGTTGGCTTATTCGCAACCCGAAGCTTGATGGATTTAGTTTTCTAGGTGGTATGTTCACTTCCGGGATGGAGACATCTCTTATTGGTAGGAATCCTTCTGAAGAATTGGCGTTACAAAGTGCTCTTATAAGATTGTTGAACAATTTTGGATTGGCATATGAGACACTTGGTGCCTAAACCACATATTATACAACACTTTCATTAGATTTCTATACTCTGCTATCATATTTAAGCCAACTAGTGCTTGATTGTTAAAAAAAAACGAGTATAAGGTTGCATAACAAATATTGCAACATGGGAATTCGATATGGATATTAATTAATAATAGGAGAGAGATAGAGAAGAATAAAGATAAGGACCCATGTGATGAGGAGAGAGAGGAAGAGAGTAAACATGTGAAAATAAGAAAATGTTAATTACAAAATTTGTGAAACTTCTTAAAATGGTAACTATTGCAATATTTGTGAAACGGGTGCAGTATATATACTATATATAGTATTAATTGATTATATATGTTAACTTTAACGCTGTCATAATTTCATACTTTGTGAAATTGCATTTTCTCTATAGTAATGAATTAAAAAAAAAATGTGATTATGCAAAACTTGTAAAAAACACATACCCAATCATGGCAAGAGAGCATGAAATGATCTGCTCCATGACTTCTATTCCAATAAGGATACTTCTCAACCACCACATTGACATAGTCCAAAGCCACCCTATATAGAGGTCCACGGTTGTAGGAGATGAGGGGCCGATAAAGGAAATCCACCGTGTTGGCTACACTAAAAGGAAGAAAGAAGACGTGTGCCTCGTCAGGTTGGTGAGCCGCGAACTTGTTTGAACTCATCTTACCCTCTATTTCGTCGATGAATTGCCCTTCTATGCCATATATGTTGTTTAAAGGTGCAAGATGCACCAAGGGTTGTTCCCCTTCTCTATACGTCCATATTTTGAATCTTTTTATCATCTCTATGTGGCTCCTGCTTAATTTTTATTTCATTATTATTCATTGTTCGTCATATGAAAAATAGTTAATTAGCTACCAATCAATTACTGTATAATGGTTGTATAAATATCAATATTCATGTCTACCATGCCTATTATATGAATCTTTTTATAATGGTTGTATCAATATTACGGGAGTACAATGTTAGTCAATAAACAATTCTGATACAAAATCATTATTAAATTCCTTTGATCGATCAACATTTAGCCTTTTAGCTATAACTCCTAATCCATGTTCATTTCTACAAAATACAAGTATACAAAGTATTATACTAGTAAGCTCTTCTAATATCAATAAATTATTTCAGGTCTTGGCTTATTATATATATATATATATATATATATATATATATATATATATATATATATATATATATATATATATATATATGCTCCTTAACACCCTCAAATCAAGATTAAACAATACTAGAATAAGGATTATAAAGTCTAATATAGACTACTTATAGATTTATTAATACATAAACTACTTCAATAATCACTATCACCAGTAAGTTGTTATTACTCATAAGTTTAGTAAAATGATATATCACTTGTCTAACACGAAATAATTTAAACCAATAGAACATGCTAGTAGTTTGCAGATGATATATATATATATAAGAATCTGTCTTAATCAAATATATTTAATTAACTCAATCTTAATCGCGGTACCGTGTTATTCATTCAATCATTCATCGTCAATAAATCAAGTTGTAGTTGTTTGTATTAACAATAATCATGCAAGAATTTATTTATATTTTCATCTTTATTGTCTATGAAAAAGTACGATATTTGGCTTATTAGTTGGTAACTAGTAGTACCATCTTCTAATATATGAAAAAGATATATATGGAGTTTACTCTTGGTGATTTTGGATTCAACGTAAAATTGTAAGTTTGTAGTTTGTACTCAACTCGAAACAAAAACTTAAAGGAAAGATGTGGTTCTAGTAATTCTAGCTAATACCATCCTATCTCTTGTATAGCGATATATTTTAAATTGAATTGAATAGTCTACGATTTTAGCTCTATCTCTTTATGTCCGAAAGTAACAATCATGTATTATCTTAAATTGCCTTATACATTACTTATAAGATTTAATATATATATTAATTACTTACTTTTGAGGAAAATATCATCTATACTACATTATGTTATGTTATTATGATCATACCAATCAATCATTTTAAAGAATTTATCTACACTTAACATTATAAGTTTAGAAATTAATAATAAATCGGACCATTTGACTCTATTATACATTTTATACTTGTTCAATTATATAACAAATTTACAAATTAGATTAAATATCCTTAAAAAAATTAAAATAAAAAAAATATATACAACAAATAAATGTCACATCATAAATAATGTACTCATTTTCCCACATTTTAATTAAGGTTTTAGATAGCTGGAAACTAACTATCCATATTTTAATGGTTTTTCCCTTTCCTTTTTTATTTTTTTTTAAAAAAATTTTTACTTCCTCCGTTCTATTAATATTGCAACAATGGACTTTTTGCACTATTTATCACTCTTGTTTGACCATATAATATGAGTTATACGTTAAGCAAAATATAGTCAACTGGGATCTTGTTGGATTAGTCTCATATAATACTTTCACAATATCAACTTTTTATAATTTTTACTCTTACACAATTATAAATATTTAGCATATAAAATGTGTTTTGGGATGCGTAATTTCCTCTTTGTTGCAATATTAACAGAACGGAGCGAGGAAGTATTACAATATTATTATAAATATATTAATTATGATGTAAGAAGCCAGTTTAAACATATACGTAGTACTATTAAACATATCTTATGTATTTGTTAACGTCGAATATCTATTGTAGATGTTGTATGACTTTTAATTAATGAAATATTAAAAAAAAAAAAAACTCTAAAAAGCACGTAAAAGAGATGGTTTACACATAAAAGAGCATGTTGTTGTTACTAGTAACTTACTAAAATAATAAATAGCTATTGCCAACAAATTAATTGCAGATTTCATTTTTGGATTTTTGTAATTAAAGAAGAGTAATTGAAATGATGAAAAACAATAGAGAAAAAGAAAAACTCAACTGATAAAAAGCATGTTGATTCCTGTAAACGGATCCTCTTGGTATGAAAGTTGTTACTTGTTCCTTAAACGTATAATTCCGACTCCGGGCAGCTTCTCGGATTGCTGCCCGAGCCCGAGCCAACCCTTCCTCAATCTTCTCCAAACTACTTTTCTTCTTCTTCTCCTTCTCCTTCTCTTTCTCCTCCTTCTATTCAACCCCTCATTTCAAAAATGAAAAGTCAAACATTTTTTTTCAAATAAAATCTAAATTTTCTTACAAGTAATACTTCAAAACGGTAAAATTAACAATAAAATTATCTTAAGATCAGTTGTACGGAACCTTATTTGAAAAATACTTAAACTTAAATAAAGAGGTATTTATCAATGATAGAAAACTTACTTCTAGTATGGTAGAAAATGAGATGTTGTGACGGACGTGACCATTAGGTTCATTGCTAATGTTTACGGGTAGATTTGATGGCGGATCCGAAAGCTTCTTGTTAGAGGTCGGATTAGAGTTGAAGTGATTTTGGTTCAAGAAAGATGAATAGAAGAAGATTATTAGAAGAAAAGTAGGAATTAGTAGTAAGAATTTTGTGGTTGTGTTAGCCATGGACTCACACAAACCATGCACTAATTTGTTCTAAGGGAGTACGAGTATTTCCTTTTGTTGTGTATAAATACTTTTCAACAATATTTTTTTTATTATGAAAAATGAAATGAATAAAACTATAAGGTCATTTAATTGATTTTATACTATAGTCTTGTGGGGTCCTCTTCTAGCATTGACCTTTGTAATTGGTTGCGTAATCATTGGGCTGGCCTTCAATATCAATTAACCAATTAGTCCGGCCCAAATATTCAACTTGTCAGCAGGTCCATCATACCAGATTACAAGCCACGTCACCAAGTGTTACTCTAAGCATGAGCTTGAAACAAGTTTAATAAGTCATGATTATATATATTGCTTCAAAGTGCTCCACTAGAAGTTTTATTGTAATTCTATTACATTTGTTTTGGTTTATATTTTATTTAGTCAACAAGTCAAGTACAAGTACCAACAATGGTGGGTCAATTAAATTGGTTAGGAAATTTATACAAGTAAATTGAAAAGCTGAGATACTGAAAATAATAAGAAACTTACGTTAGGGTAAATAATACTTTGAATTTTTGAAATAACTATTGAGTTGTATAGAAGTAAGGGTCTAAGGGATACAAAGTTGAAAATACTAGGTGTGACAACAATAAGATGTTGAAGTTGATCATGGCCTTTTCCTTTGGATTTTATATATGTATCTGCAACATGTTTCTAAAATAAAAACTAGCGTTTCATTACTTTTAATGTTATTATTGAATATACGTAATATATGGTGTTTTTTTTTTTTTCTTTTTTTTGGCAATTACATGTATTTCACCCTTACAATTAACATCATAAGGTCAATGAACAAGTTGTTTGTATTATAATTAGATGAATTCACTTCATTCATTTTTCACTTCACCTTTATTTATTAACCATTATGTCCACGTCTAACATCATTCAACTATCACTAAGCTAGTAGTTGAATTGTGTAGATAAAGTGGAAAGTTTATCATTCATACTTTGATCAAGTACTGAATGACATACAACCTATATGGATTTTGATATAAGTGTTCTAAAATAATCAAATTCAATACTTTATATATGGTCATAATCCTTAGTCATCAAAGAAATGACCATTACAAATTTATAATCATATGTGTCTGATAATTGGAGCAAACAAATGGTGAACCTACACCTATGACTTCTTTCGTAAGAGCATCCACAATAATAGCATAAAAAGACATGTTTGCAATTAATAAATAATATACAACTACATGCTAGCCATTATGAAGCTATATAGGTTGTAGCTAAGCCAAGCTACACTACTTTATAGAGCTATGTAGTTTCACTCTACCCAATACTCAAATATATTAATTTGTTTAATATTTTTTATGCATTTGTTTGTTTGTTATTTTTTGTGGTTTATTTATTTTAGATGCTCTAAGAAGTTGAGTGTGGCGTTATATTGATTCTTTAATTATGCACTTATTGCAACATTATTATTTTTTGGAATTTGATTTTTCACTGAAAACAACATTTAAATCCGTGTTGGTTGGTAAACTACATACTCTAAAAGCCATTGAAAATTTTCAAAATCTCATGAAATTGCTCCTATAATAGGTGACACCGTAGTTTAGTGAGTGAAAGTATGAAAAATGTGGTAGAAACAATATGCATCTTTATTTTAGAAGTTTTATACTATTGAGGATTGTTACGAGTATTATTATGTAATTTAGGCTTTAATTTAAGTATATATTTGGGCTTAAGTCATGTTCTCTTTAGCTTAATTTTAGTTCAGTTCAATTCAGTTCAGTTAAGCTCTAATTAATTTAGTTCAGCTCTTAATTTTTTTCTCTCATAAATAATTCATTTCAGCTTAGTCTAGTTCAATTTTTATCAGTTCAGTTCAGTTTAGTAAATTAGAACAAGCCCTTAGTGTCTTAGATAATTAATTAGATGTATTATTGCCCACATGTGTTTAATTGTAACTTGTATAAATAATTAAACTTGAACTAAATATAAACAAGTTGATTATTATTATTTCACATACGAGTATATGTATGTTAAGATATTTCAATTGATACTTAAACGTAATTGGTAGGTAGTAGTTTTATGATAAATGATTTTATAATAAGTTTATCATGATAAGATAAATCAATGTATATGAGTAAAAACAACATTCACGCAAAAGAACTTGTATTGATTGAAAACTAATTTTAAAAGTTATGATTTATGAATACTTCGTTTATAATAAGAGTTAAAGAGAGACGACCATTATTTCAAAAACTACAAATATGAGTCAATTAGATTATACTAATCAGTGCAATATCATGCATGAAAAAGTGTAATTCGTATATATATATATATATATATATATATATATATATATATATATATATATATATATATATATATGAGATTTTGCCAATAAAATTAATATGACAATCTTATATTAAACCTTCATAACCATATAAAATGCAGCAACATATGAATTCAAACAAATGATTTAGCAGGTCTATTTATATTAAAGTGTCTTTTAACATTATTAACTATTTATATTAATTTCTCATACTCTTTTTGAGAAATTCCTTTTAATATCGTCTTATTTAACATTATATTATTTAATATATAAATGATAAATTGCAAATTTAGAATAATATATATCAAAACATATAATTATATGTGTCACCAAGGTATAATATAATATTTACATAACTATATGTAATTTACTGATATATAAATAATTTCACGTAATTTGTTAATACATATTTAATTTTAATATACGTATTTCCAACTAATTTTATTTTATTTTTCATTTTTTATATACTAATTTTATTTTAAATATAATATTGATGCAGCTTAAATTCAGTTTATACATTATATAAAAATATTAGAATTACCATATTGATGATAAGAAAATTTGTTAAAAAAAAAATCAAATTAAAGCAAAATTTTGAAAGAGATAATTTTTTTTGAAGAATTTTTTATCTTTATATTTTCTGTTGATAATTACTGCATTATCCATCTTTCATGAATTGTTTTGTGTTTGAAAGTTGAGTACGTCTATTATTATGGCGTTAATGGAAATTTTGGGCTAAATTATGAAAATGTAGAAAAATTGATTAGGTTTAACGTAAAATGTAGGTTGATATTTATAATCCAATTTTTCTGGGTTCATAGATCTATATAGATTTTATTTTCGTGAGTATAATTTAGGGAAATTCTCTTTGGTATTCACAATTTTTCTTTTTTATTTTTTTTTATTTTCTTTTTGATGAATAGCAAAAATTTCAAATATCATTGGTAATCAACTATTAGTGTTATTAATTCAATTATTATGATGTGTTTTAGATTATTTTGTGTGAAAGGGAGTTTTAAAATAACCATCGCGCTTTGATACAAACCTTTGAACATTTATAAAACATAAAAATATAATTTGATCCGAAATAAATTATATAAAAAAAAATTCTTAGAATAATTAGCTTCCAAAAATAACCTAATGTTGAAATAATACTTGTATTAAAATAAAAACATTTGTGCTTGCTAAAATAGAGATTAAAAATTTAATTATAATAAGAAAAATTTGTCTAAGACAACCTTTTAAAAGACAATTTTTGTTTAAAACAACCTTTTAAATTTTTTTGGGCAAAGTCACACCTTGATAAAAAAAAATGTTAAGGACAACCACTACAAGAATAAGTGCGTTTACCGATGGGAAATACCGATGGCCATTAAAAACCATCGGTAAAAAAATAAATTACCGATGGTTTTATCAAGCCATCAGTATTTTAATAAATACCGATGGCTAGGCCATCGGTATATTTTTTCCGACGGCTATCTTCCATCGGTAAACCTTTATTTTTTAAGAGAAAATTTAATTTTTTTACCGATGGCTTTTAGCCATCAGTAAAATGAATATACCGATGGCTTTACACCATCGGTATTTTACCGATGCCTTTTAGCCATCTGTGATTACTTTAATAAAAAAAAAGGAAAACCTTCACAAACCCTAGCCCACCCCTTTACTTTCTGTTTTCCCTCTTTCTCTCTCCTTTCCTAGTTCATTTTCGCCTCTCTCCTTCTCTTTCTCTCTCCTCTCCTCTCCTCTCATGTGTTCTCTTATTCTCGCTCTTCCCAATCTCCATTTGTTTCTCCTTGTCTCTCTTACCGATCTCCTCTTTCTTTCTACTCTCTCCTTCTTCTTCTCAATCTCTCAAGTCTGCTCTCACTCTTCCCTCTCCGCGCTGTTGCGGCGGTACAGTTCAGTTTAGTTCCAATTAGTTCAATTCTGTTCAGCTCCAATCAGTTCAGTTCAGTAAATCAGAATATGCTTTTAGTGTCTTAGGTAATTAATTAGATGTATTATGGCCCACATGTGTTTAATTGTAGCTTGTATAAATAGTTAAACTTGAACTAATAATAAACAAGTTGATCCTTATCATTTCACATACGAGTATATGTATATTAAGATATTTCAATTCATACACTAGTAGAATATAGTAAATGGCCAGCGGGTCAAAACCCTAATGGAAAACGATTTTCAAATCGCTTGCGATTGAGGGGCTTCCCATTTTCCATTTAAATGAAAAGCAGTTCAAAACCGCTTCCCATTTGAAGGTAATGGCAAGCGATTTTGGCGTCAAACCACTTTCCAAAACCGCTTGCTATTACACCTATAATAATTAAAAAAAAATGTTTTTTTTTTAAATTAAATTAATACACAAGAACTTAACATATGTATAAACAATAATATTTTCATTAATCAATTATTGCTTCAATATTACATTTTCTGATTTTCATCAAAAAAATAAAATAAAAAAATACAGTAAATAAATTGGTAAAATGGTTGTTGCTTTTGTCCAGTTTCACCACCAGCCGCGCGCACCCTTAGCCGCCACCAATTATATCAACACCACAACCAAGAACCTTAACTCACATCACCACCACCACCACCACCACCAGCACCCTATCCCGATTCACCCCCACTACCAACCACCTTAAATAAAACAAGAATAAACCCACCTCACCCACCACGACCCTCACCAAAACCAAATCCGCTTGAAACAAGCCAATACAACCACACATCACCGTAATTTTTCTTTTTTTAAAAAAAAAAACTTAAATAACAAAATAAAAGATAGAAAAAAAGGAAACATACCTTGAATTCCACCAAAATATCAAAATGGGCTTGAAATTTGGGTTTTAACGGTCACATTCGACCATGCTAGAGTTTTCATGGTCAAATTTGACATAAAAATCATGAAAATCAAAGGTTGTGAGAAAGAAAGAACAAAGAGAAAGAAGCTCGTTGATGTTGTTGATGGTGTTGCGGGCTCGTCGATGTTGTTGTTGGTGTTACAAGCTGTTGTTGGGTGGGCTAATGGTTGTTGTGGAGAAAGAGAAGGAGATGGAGAGAGGAGAAAGAGGCGTGAGAAATGCGGCTAGAGGAGGAGAGAGAAGGAGGTTTGAGAGGAGAGAGAAATGAGCGTGAGAAATAAGAAAGGAGAGAGAAGAAAAAGATGCGTGAGAAATAAGAAGAAGGTCGCGTACAATTTAAGGTTTTTTTAGCAAATGGCAAGCAGTTCAATGTCCAAACCCGCTTGCCATGTACTTGTTTCAGTGAAAATTGTATAGTACATTAGGGTGTACCATGCTCATGGTACACCTAGTGTTAAATGATGCGTTTTTAACATTTTATTTGCAAGCTGTCAGTTTGTTATTTTTTTTAAAAAAAAATCAATCTCTTCCACAATTCATGGGATTCAACGTGATATTCTCCATTTTTACATAACTTTCAAAATTAAATTTCACCATATTTCAATTTCGAATTAAGAAAGAATAAAGTTTATAAAGAATTTTGTACAGAGAAAAATACAGAGCAAATTATGAGAACATTGTAATCGATGGATCGGAGAAGCTAAGGTAATTTGATTTTATTTGTTATGATTTTAATTTCAGGATTTTGCTTATTAGGTTGATTTTATTTCGTTTTTATTTTGCACGATTATTGTAAAATATCGTTGTTTTTTTTTCAATTTTGATATTTATGAATTTGAGATCCATATGACAAAGGTAGAAGATAGGCTCTTTTATTTTGTCAAAGGTTGAAGATGATGTTCTTTATATTTTGTCAAATGTTGAAGTGGTGTTCTTTATAAATTGTACTTATGTTCGTTATTATAGTTATTGAACAATTATATGAATGTTCTTTATTTTTATCCTTTATGTTCTTTGCTTTGATGTTCTTTGATTTATTCTGTATGTTCTTTGAATTATAATATATCATTTATTAATTATATATATATATATATATATATATATATATATATATATATATATATATATATATCTTAATATTAATTATCACTAACTACGTATATATTTTTTTTAAATCAAGATCGTGAAGGTTTATGACGATATTATTTTGAGATCTCCTCTATTGATGATTGTTTTTCAGATCTAAAGAACATCCGTAATATTATTAAAGAACATGATAATATTATGAAATGAACATAACTTATATATATACCTATCACGATTCAAAGACAAAATTCAAAGAACACTTCACAATAAGCAATGAACATTATGTGACGATAAAAGTATATTGCAATTACAATAAAAAAAACATGGACAATAATTAAAATAAACTATCAAAAAATCTAATAAAAATCATTATATGATATAATTATGGACATAAGGAAAAAGATATAGTTTTAAAAAATAATTGCATACAAACAACTATAAAGTACATCATGTTTTCTAATAGAGAACATTATTAAATCACATATAGAACATTACAAAAAATTTATATGCACCAACCCTAAAATGAATATTGTAACTATATATATTATGGGCCTGTTCATATCTACTTATTTTCAGTTCAGTTCAGCTCCAACCAGTTCAGTTCAGTTCAACTCTAATCAGTTCAGTTCAGCTCAGTTGTTAATTTTTTTTGTTTTTAGATGTTTTAGCATATTACAACAACGACAATAATAATAATAATAATAATAACAATAATAATAATAACAGTAATAATAATAATAATAATAATAATAATAATAATAATAATGGGCTATTTCAGAATGATTGGTGGGAGCCTAAGGAAGTGATATCTCATGTGCATCAATTGATGAAGGAGATGGAGAGTGTTGGGCAGAAGCAGGTGAAAAGGCCTGTTCCTAGGGGTAATGGCTGCAGGTCGTGTTAAGGTGAATATTGATGCGGGTTTACTTGGAGAGATCGGTATTGGTATAGGTGTGGTGGCGCGTGATTCTGAGGGAAGGATTCTATGGTGCGCCTCCATCAAGCGGGGGGAAAAATTGGAGCCCAGGCTGGCGGAAGCAAGAGCTATTCTGGTTGGTATGAAGCTTGCTGCTGCAAGGGGTCATGATTTGGTCGAGTTCGAGAATGATAGTGAGTGTGTGGTAAATGCCATCAATAAGAAGGTTCCTGGCGTGAGTTCTTTTCATCTTATACTGGATGATATTATGGAGGCTGCTCAGTTGTTTTCGTTTTGTTCTTGGAGTTGGGTTCAAAGAGAGGGAAACAAAGTGGCGCATGAATTAGCCCATGCCCCACCCTTTGCTTTAGGTTGTAAGCTCTGGTCTGATAATTTCCCTGACTTCCTTTGTAACCTGTTAGACTCTGATTGTGCAGCTTAATTATTTTTATCCCCTTGTTGGTTTTTTCAAAAAAAATAATAATAATAAAATAATAATAATAAAAAAAAAAATAATAATAATAATTATTATTATTTTAAATTATATTCGTCGTTCAAAATGGTCACATGTTTTTTAATAGTTGAACTCATTGACAAAATGAGAGTACTACACAACAATTACTAGCTTTCATAATCGGTTAGTTCTTCGTCTTCTTCTTCTTCATTAAGTTGCTCCATTACCTCGGCATTCCTCTGAATTGACTCCCATATCTAATCAGTTATTTGGTTTCGTACAATATCCATAGCTGCTTTTCTGTTATCATCGTACATAGTATGATCTTCTGTTGGTCCCATGACTTTAACTTGGTGCGTGAATGGAATCTCTAGTTCATGTAAACGAACAAAATTGTGTAGAGTATAACAAGCAACGATTGACTACAGTAAAATATTGAAGAATACTTTTTATTTTTATATATATATTTAAAATATAATACACAAAAATTTAATAATTTAAAATACAGAGTTATTTTTAAAACACTTTTATATTTTTCACAATCCACTATACATATTATCATTAATTTTCATAAACATTTTCATATATTTTTATGCATTTTAATTTTTCAGTTCAGTTCAGTTCAGTTCAGCTCCAATCAGTTCAGTTCAGTTCAGTTCAGCTCAGTAAATATGAACTGGCCCTAAAGGTGAAAAATATGAACGAAAAAAAAATAATTGAAAACTAAAATTTTGAAAACGAAATTTATAAATTTAAATTTTGAAATTTAAAAACGAAATCTTAATTTAGAGAATAAAAATTATTTTTTTTATAAAGAACATTATATAGTCATATAAAGAGCCTCATTTAAAATTTGAAATTCAAAATTCAGGTGTACCATGTGCATGGTACACCTGGGTGTAGGAACCACGCATTGCTTGTTTCAGTGGTTTTTTTTTAGGTGTTTTTGGAAGCAGAATTCAATAACCGCTTGCCATTTGGGGCTGCCCATTTACTTTTTTCTACTAGTGATAGTTAAACGTACTTGGTAGGGATTAGTTTTATGATAAATGATTTTCTAAGAACTTTCTTATCATAAGATAAATCCAATGTGTTTATGAACTTATATTGGTTGAAAACTAATTCTAAAAGTTATGATTTATGAATACTCTGTTTATGATAAGAGATTAAGAGAGACGACTTATATTTCAAAAATAACAAATACAAGTCAATTGGATTATACTAATAAGTGCAATATCATGCATGAAAAAAGTGTAATTCCTTTTTATATATATATATATATATATATATATATATATATATATATATATATATATATATATATATGTGAGATTTTGACAATAAAATTAATATGACAATCTTATATTAAGCCTTCGTAACCATACAGAATGCAACACCATATGAATTAAATCAAATGGTTTAGCAGGTCTATTTATAGTAAAGTGCCACTTTATACTATTAACTCCTTGTATTAATTTCTCATACTCTTTTGGAGAAATTCCTTTTAACATCGTCTTAATCTCAGGAATTTTCGACACCGGAACATGGATCGAAAATCGACTCCAATCAAGAACATCACTGAAAGGGAACGAATAATTATCCTTAATAACTACGGGTACACAATCTGCGCGTATAGCTTCGACTATACGTGAACTTGCTACTTCGTAACCACTAGGGCATAAGCAAAACTTGCTTTTTCCTAACATTTGGAAGTAATTTAGATGCTTAGGAAGGTGTTCATAGAGTTGGATTTCATTGTCTTTCTCCCATTGCTCAAATAAGAACTTTCTAACGTGGCCATGGTTACCACCCGCGAAAAATGCAAAGATTCGACGCTTACTTGTGTGCAAACCCAAGCCTGGTTGGTTTAATTGCCTAGCCGGGACATTTATCTCGGGGATTGGTACGTCTCTCACGGGTTGGAATCCCTCGGATGTATTAGCGTTACAAAGTGCTCTTATAAGATTTTGCAACAATTTTGGGTTGCCAAATGAAATATCCGGTGCCTGAAATATATACAAACATAATTACATTAGCTAGGAAATTATATGAAAAAGTACCTCAAGATAATACCACTTTTAATTTGTTTGAATTTATATGATTTGTCATGTGTCGTATATGTAAATTCATAAGATAACTAGATTAAATTACACTATTCAACATGATGATAAATTATTAACAAAGAGAGTTATGTTATAACGACTCACCCAGTCATGACAAGAGAGCATGAAATGATCAGCTCCATGACTTCTATTCCAATAAGGATACTTCTCCGCCACCGCATTGACATAGTCCAATGTCACTCTATTGAGCGGTCCACGATCGAAGTCGTGGGGCTTGTAAAATGATATCCTTATGTTTACTATACTAAAGGGAAGAAAGAAGACATGCGCCTCGTTAGGGTTACTAGCCAAAAACTTGTTGATCAAGCTCATTCCATCTTCCATTTCTTGAATGAAATGCCCTTCTATACCATAGATATAGCTCATTGGTCCTTGGTGCACCAAGGGTGGCTCCCCTTCTTTGTAGGTCCATATCTTGAATCTTTTTACCATCTCTATATGACTCCTGCTTATGTTATCAATTTAGCTTACAATTAGTTATAGCAAATCTATGTATAATATCGTACGTATGTATCACAATAATAATTGCATAATGGATGTGTACACATCACATGTAACAACTATTTGATAAAATAACCTTTAACAATAATAAAAAAAAAAAAACTAAATAAATGTAAGCTATTCGCATGATTAACAATTAATTTTGCCGAACTAGGCCAATGTATGATATCCTTACAAATCGCCGGGGCATGCACGAGTCATCATCACTCATGCCATAATCCATGATCGATAACTTAACCCATACGAGCTTGCGCATAGAATGATATGCATGCAGCATACAAGTGCATGTGTACTCAAACAACATATAACATATTTTACCCTAAAATTCATGCTACTTATCTTCCAAATTACTCCATCATTATTCATACTTTAAACCATCATTAATTCTGATTATAGGATCCTGTGCCATTTCAAATGTAATGTACGACCATGTGAAATTGCTACTTCATTCTAAGTATCGGAGTACGAGAGCTGATACACATACAATTATTGTATGTGGTCCCTACATACAATACCATTAGAATTTTGACACATCATCAAAAAGGGGAGAAAACTAGGAGTTAAATATAAATTGAATTCAAATAGAACTTGAATCCATAATTTTAGCCAATAAAAATATGAGAAATTAAGGTTGTATGTATAGACCACATACAACAATTGTATGTGTAGCCTTTACCATCGGAGTACTAGTGTTATACCGTCAAAAAATTCAACGAGTGTAAAATTATATGTAGTGATAATCGTGTAATCATCGTATAATATAAGGTTTTATATTATCCACCTTCAATTTGTTTTCATATTTCTTGGATCTCTCAATTCAAAAAGGAAGCTTGTTTACACTTTACAGTATAGTTTAAGGTATTGAGCATTTTCGTACTTTGTTTTAATGAATTACTTAGCTTCTTTTAATAATTATTATGTGCTTCACACACTATTAATTAAATTGTTTATTATTAAAATCATGCGTATTAGCCTCTCTGTCTATTTTTTTTTACTCAAAATTTTGTGTTTTAATAAAATAAAAACATGATGATCAATAGTAAATTGATTAACAAGTCTGCAAAAAAGGACAAAAAAGAAAAAAAGCAAATGAAATACAAACAATGAAAGTGTTACAAGTAAAAAATTTTATCGTAGTTTTTTGTGCATTTCCTATTATGCAGGAGACAAAGAAATTTTTTAGAGATTATATATATATTTTTTGGTGTTTAGAGAGCCACAAGGGGTGAGAATCGATCCCAAGATCTCTTGAAATCGGGAGGGAAACTCTAACCACTTGAGCTATCCCCGAGGCAAAGCAAAATTTTAGAGATTACTCCTTTTTTTTTTATTTGGTTGCTAGCTTCGTATTTGATAAACATTACGTATTAAATTCATCAATACATTAATTCATATTTCCAAAGAAATTTCCAAAACTTAACCTCTTTTTGCCTGTTTGTCATTTCTTAAATCAATTAGTGTCTAGGGCACATGCTACTATATGTTATATGTGCATGCATTTATTAGAATTGTGATTTATTTTCCTTCTTTACTTTTTTTTTTTTTTTTTTGAGGAATTTTCCTTCTTTACTTTATCGTGAAGACCTTCCCATTAAATAAATTATTTCCTTCAAGTCTAAGATTATGGAAAAGCACAATCGCAATGAAATAAAAATATATGATAAAAAATCTTTAGTCAACCATTTGGAATTCATTAATATTATTCAATTATTCTCCTGAGTTTTAACTCTTATTGATATTCAATTTTTCCGTCAAAGAAAGAAAGACAAAAGTCCAAGTTATACATAGACAATATATGAATTAAATGTCGTTTCCCCTCTTTCTATTTAAGGTTTTTTTTATTAAATTATACCATTGCATGTATAAAAGTAATAGAACTATGTATAAATTTCGATGTACAATTTTCATCCTACACTCGAATGTAATACATATACAAATATCTAACACGTCTTAAAAGTTGTTGAAATTCTTGTGTTTGATTAACCAATTCTCACTAGATTTAACAATTAAATTATTAGTCGACTATTAATATGAACATCATCTCTAAGAAAATTTATACTCGTACTAGGTAGGTTTTAATACTAATGTACTATGTATATTTGTTTGAATTTAATAATTTGACATATTATCAACATGAACAAGTTATATTATCATCGTAAAAGTAAATTATTCCATAACTTCTAAACAGAATTAATTAATTTAAAGTGAATTATACGAGTATATATTACTTCAAGTTTAATTTGAAGGAAAAAAAAATAATTAAAGAGTAATTAGTTTTTTAAAGGCTTACTGATGGAAAGCATATGGATTCCGGTAAACGGGACCTCTTGGAATGAAAGTCTGTTCTTCTTCTGATGTATAACTCTGGCTCCGGGATGCTTCCTTGATCGCGGCACGAGCTCGAGCCAATCCATCCTCAATCTTCTCCAAACTACGATGGTCTTTGTTGTTATTGTTGTTCTTGTTTTCTACCTCTTTCTTCTATACATGCACAAAGAAAGTCAATTAAGAAAAAATTTACCAAGACATTAGAAAAAATAAATTTCAAAAAAAAAAATTAAAGGAAAATAACCAGTATATAATGAACTTACAACTAGCATGGAAAAAATTGAGATGTTATTGTGAGAATGGTGTGTATGATTATTAATAATGTTAATGGAAGGGTTATTATTAAAAGAAAGTGGAAAAAGATTAGAAAAAAGATTGATATTTAAATTAAACTTGTTTTGGTGAAAGAAAAATAAGTAAAACAAGGTTAGAATAAGAAAAGAAGGAAGAATTAGGAAAAATTTTGTGGGTGTGTTAGCCATGGAAGAAGTTTTTAGGTGCTTAAAACTTATTTTACCTCTCTTTCATAATCTCTTCTTTGTTTTAAATAAGTAAGAGTATTTATATTTCTTTGCTTCTTTCACTTGGTTGTGGTCTTATATATAATGGCGTGAATAAAAAGATAAGAATTTTATAATCATATATATACAAGTGGACGTACTAGTATTGTTATTAATTTTTTTCCAAACCAATATTATTTTATGTGTGCTTGATTATTATATTATTATACTAATGCAACTTAATTAGTTGATTATCATATGGAAAAGTCAAAGTTTAGGGACTTAGGGTATATGATGATTTTATGAAGTATTAGAATATATGCATGGAGTGTCTTCAAAAAGAATATATGCATGGAGTACTAGAAAAAGTATCCCTTTGTATTTTGTATGTTCATATTTATTAGTTTACCAAGTTAAAATTCCGTGTAATGTATGGTTGTTAAATATTTTTGACATTAATACTACAAAATATAAAGTATATTAAAGATATTTGGAAATATTTCATTTGGGTATATATGAAATATGATTGTCAAATTAGAAGGAAAATATCACAAGATATAAATATTTTACTTAAAGATTTTGCAAAAAAAACAAAAAATAAAATAAAGCAAAACAAAAAAAGGTTGGGAAATTTTTCACAAAGTAATAACAACTAACAAGTGTCATGGAAGTATTTGTTTTTAGTATAGGTTAATAGATATTTCATAAGGAAATTTTTTTTCACAAAGTAATGAAAAGTTTACACGAGCTCATGTTTCTAAGAGAGATGAGTATATCATTTCATATAACCAATATATAAAGCTAGTCTTTTAGCCAGGTCACGAGGCAGTGACACTTGACGTTCAAATTTTTCACCAAGTGTTGCGCCACGTTGAATATATTTAAATATACTTCATAAGATAAAAAAGTTAGTTTAGAATTCTATTTGGATAAAATTTTAGGATAAAATTGTTAGTTTAGAGTTTTATTTTCGATAATATACCAATATTTAAGTACAAATTGAATTATAATTTTATTCAAAAAAAATTTATCATATTATTTTAAAAAATTATCATATAAATTTATTTTTTATATCATAATATTTTTTTGGAGTGAAGGAAGTAGTTCAATGCGTAAAACATACCTTTATAATATATACTAATCGTTAAAATAATATACTTCACAATCTAATAGAATTTTATTACTATGTACACCTGTCAATTAGGGTCGGGTCATAAAAGTTTCGGATTGGGTCACTTCAGGTTACGAGTCAAAAAAATTTCAACCCTTGCCCAAAGTTTTGGAGTCGGGTCAACGGGGTTTGAACATTTATTTTATTTAATTTTTTTTTTGGTAATTTTTTTTTTTAATTTATTAAATCGAACATTTCCACCATCATTATTATCAGTCATTACATACCTACTAGCTAGATAGCAAATCGTCACAAAAGCACATCAATTTTAACTTTTTTTTAGGAAATCAATTCCTAATTAATTTTATATCAATGATATTTTAATTCCAATATGTAACTTGATATAAGCTAAGGTTGATTGGTTATTTTAATTCCAATACGTAACTTGATATAAGCTAAGGTTAGCTTATCCTCGATCAATTGATGAAATGCTACACATTGAAGTTTTTAAAATTTGTTCATTTTTAATTATACGAAACTAGGCATAAACTTATACTAATTGACGACCTATGATATTTTTATAGTTTTTAGAAAATTATGAATTTCGGCTAATATCACAAGTGAATGATACATACCAAAAATCAAGGATCAAATCACATTGTCCTACGAAAGTGAGGGATAGCTCAAGTGGTTAGAGCTCTCTACCAATCCCATGAGATTCTGGGATCGATTTTCACCACCGTACTTAAGACTCTCTAAACACCAAAAAAGGAAAAAAAAAATTCACATTGTCCTACCCTTAGGAACCATATTTTTCATTTACTTAATAATTTAGTTATATTGTTGTCTATTACTTTCGGAAGCATTAAATCAAAGTTAAGAGATACAAACCTCAATTCATGGCTAAAACTTAGAGGTATGGTCGACTTATAAGCAATAATAAGCTATACCATTATGTCAAAAAAATAAAGCTATTACCCAATAGTTTAATTCTTAATTAAGCATATAGCTAGTAGATTGAGATAGCTAGGCAGGTTATTCCAAAAAATCAAAGCTATTTTGAACTTTTGATGGTAGGTTACTAGGTTTAAGTTAGAGTCAATTATGCATTTACTCATATAGTTGAACGAAATATTTCATAGTTTTTTTCCCCTTAAAAGTGGGAAATTAACAACAATGTTCCCATCTTAAGACTTGTACACTTCAACTTTTTTTTTTTTTTTTAATTGCAAAATTTAAGGTCTCCCTCCGTCCCTAAATTACATTCCTACTTCTCTCTATTATGTGAGAAATAAATGCTAAAACTAAGAATATAATTTAGAGACGGAGAGAGTACTTTTTAATATTACTTATACAATTATACTTAATAAAATCAAATACTTGGTATAAATCACAAACTTTTAAAAGAATTAGACTGTACTTATTAACTATCAACAATTACCTTAATATAAAATAAAAGTTACCTTTTACATATAACTATTAGATTACATTGTGAGGTTCTCAAAAAAAAAAAAAAAATTAGATTACATTGTGAAAATCACTCGTAATGTGTATCCAAAAGAGCAAAAGTTTTTGTTTGATCTTACAAATCAACGTTAATACTAGTACATCATTTTATAGAAATTGTTCAGAAATTTTAGCTCAAACTCAATTTTTAAGGGCTTGTTTGACATTGTTTTTTGTTTTTAGTTTTCAGTTTTTTAATAAAATTACATGATTGGATATAATCTTAGTTATAAGTATAATTGTACATCGACGTAATACGATGTCGGATTTGTATTCATGTGTTGCAAAGCCTAAGTTTGATCGAGTTACAAGCGAAGAACCACAAATTTAGTGAATGGAAACTGAACACCTACAGCTACGCTGCTCAACTCTGTCCATCACCAGTAAAACCTATCATAATGCTTCAACTAAGGAAATCAATCGGTTCATCTAAGGAAGAGAAAGATATCATTGCGACTAAATAATCAAATCGTGACTTAAACAGGGGGAAACAGAAACAGAAACAGATGGCTCAATGCATCGATTCAACCCAGAAGATGTCTCACACGAAATACTACGTAAAACAGAGACCTTGTCTTAGGCTCTGGCAAGGATCAAAGTTGATAGAGGATACCAGAATGCACATGTCACTAACCAAGGCAGCATTTACTGAGCAAGAAGCAACTTCTAAGACCTTCATAGACTATAAGAGCTATGATCTTACTAAAATCATCAATTCGCAACTAGCAAGCTCAACCCCTACCTGCCTTTCTCAGATCTATGTCACATTATACCACAAACACAACATGGTAATTTGCAGAGATTACTAATGAGGATGAAATTAACGAATTAAACAATGGGCAAATAACAAATTTGGATGCTGTATAAATCTAAAACAGAAAGGATCACCAAGTATGTCTCTCTCTACCTTGAGTGATAGTTGTAAAACAATATCAGCTAAAGCATACAATCAACAGTATTCACCACACAACAAAACTGCAGCAGAATCGGACTAAAAAAACTAGTTCGGTCAAGTCCATAAGAAAAGAAATTGTAGTAAGGTAGAAATTACAAAGAGAATCTGCAAAAACCTATGGCTCCACCGTTGAAACCTGCTGCCACTCTCCATCAACTGCCTCTTTCCACAATGTAACGTTGTTGTCTCCATCTGCAACAGCCAACAAGTTCCCGGTCAAAGACCAAGACACCCTCCAAACAGGAGTCTTGAAGTCCTTCAATACTCTGCCCTCCCATTGCTCCCCTTCTTTGCCTACAGTCCATATGACCACAGTTCCATCCTGTGAAGCGCTAGCAATTGTCGACTTTGGAAGCCCTAGATTAGGAGCCCAGGCCACATCCCTGACCCAATCTGAGTGCATCTGAAGAGCAGGGAAGCAGTCCATCTTCCATGTCCCATTGAAAAGCTTCCAAACTTTCACGGTGTTGTCACAACCCCCGGAAACCAATTTATGGACGGGTTCAAGCAATCCAGATCCAACAAGAGCCCCTGGAGCTGTTGCTGGAGCCCATGAAACAGATGTTACCCCAACCGGATGAGCCTGATCAATCCTGTTTGTGTCCCAACTACCATCAGCCTGAAGGGTAAGAACAGAGATGGTTCCATCAGACGATCCACAGGCCAAACAAAGCCCTATTTCATGAGGTGCCCAAGAAATGGAATTAACTGAAGATTTGTGCTCATGGAACACATGAGCTTGTGCCCACTCATTCGGATTGCCCTCCTTCCAGATAATAACTCTACCATCATAGGAGCACGAAGCAAGAACTGAGCCAAATTTCGGGTGTGCCCACGCAACCTGCCAGACAGGCCCTTGGTGGCCGGTCAATGTGGCAAGAGGTTGTGTGGCGGAATTACTGCTCACACCAATTATCTTAATCGAGGTATCAGACGACGCAGTGGCAACACGTTTACCATAATAATCCATTTGAACATCATGAACAACATCATTATGCCCGGTTTCGATCTTCTGTGCAGGCATTTTCGTTTCTCAGTCTTATCCTTCCTCAACACAATACAATTTCTTTTTCCAGTCCTCAAATTCAGCTAAACTTCCACCAACTATATGACAATTGCATTACAATCCAAGTAAATTAATCAATCAAATTTCCTCAAACAACCCTAAATCAGTAAACAACCACTGAAACCAACATAATAAAAATGGTAAAATCACATCAAACATGAAATACAAAATGAATTGCAATCAAAATTCACCCTCTTAAAAACCCCAGATAAGATCTGACGTGGGATTCAACCATCCAACATCAAAATTCAATTCTTTAACCCTAATCCTCCAAATGTTCTTCAGTATGACTATTAAAATCAGATCTATAGCATATAAAAGCAAAAAATCTAGAATACCCAGAAACTAGTTTTAAAAAATCATGAATAACAGATCGGAATAATTCACACAAATCAAACAATCAGGCATCAGATTGAACACAAAGAAATAAATCATAATATTTGGGTCTAAATTTAATAATCATCGAGTTTCATAGTTAGAGATCTAATTTAAGAGAGGGGAAGAGAAACATACCTGAAGGAAAGAATGTGCGTGGCCAGAATAATAAGAGAGATGATTGTGAGAAAAACAGGAGAGAGAATTAGGGAAATTGGAGTAATAAAATGTAAAAAGCTGAAAAGAATGAGAAACGGGGTTACGGGGGTTCATGAACTGCTGAAAATCGGTGTCATATTTTATTTAATGCAACGAATAAAATTGTGAAATACTCCTCCGTTTTTAAATATTTGCTCAATTTATGTTGGACATGTATGTCGATGTTAATTAGGGCCTTAGGAATGTCCGTTCGGTTTTCGGTTTTAATTTAGGCAAATTCAATCCGGTCCGAATTATAATTCGGTTTTCAATTTTTCAATCCGATATGATCCGAATTACTCTCTCAATCCAATCCGATCTAATACGAATTAAAATTCGGTTATTTGGATCCGATCAGAAAAATCCAAATTAGAGAACGTTAATTTTTAGCGTCTAATACAATAATAAAAAATAAAAATGCAATTTTAAAAATAATACTTGTTCAAGCCTTAATATTAATACTAATACAAGTTTTGTAATAGTATTGATTGAATTAAATTGTTCAAGATCAAGGCAATATTAATTAATATTAAGCTATTACATCTACAAGACACATCATTACAGCAATCCATGCACCAAATCTCATCAGCAAACTAAAAAGGCAGAACCATGCACCACAAAATATCAGCAGGCAGCAACTTAATTAAGACACCATGAAAGCATATTCATAAATGCTTAATTTTACAATTCAGTTTTCGATTTAGTTTGATTCCAATTAGGGTAAATCAGACCTGATCCAAAAATCTGAATTTTGAAAAAAATCTCAATTCGATTCGATCCAATTTAAAATTTTGGATCCGATCCGTATTGATAATTCGGTTTGGGTTGGATTGGATTTCGGTATTAATCCGAAATATGGACAACTCTAATGTTAATCTTTGATCAATAATATCTTTAATTTTATTTTATTTTTGAAGCAATAATACTTTTAATTTTTTTTTGAAGCAATAATATCTTTAATTATCAATAAGTATAAATTCTAACAATTGATAATTGATAATTTATTCATTGAGACGATTCCAACAAATACTCACAAAATTATATTTTTCTTATGTATAAATCACAAACATTAGTCCAAGTAGGACAAATGAATAGTGCAAAAAATAGAAATGGAGCAAGTATTTAAAACGAAGGGAGTACTAACTTAACCTAGATACGGAGTACTATGTGTTTTTTTTTTATTATTTTTTTATTGTTATTCATTTCCATATTGTAAAGTACTTCATGAGAATCAAAGTTGGTTTAGTGGGTGGAGACCCTCCTTCGGTGTCAGAGGTGGGGTAGAGCCGTAGGGGTGGCACATGTGAGGTGTAGAAGGGGGTTCCAAATTTATAATGGTAGGGGGTGGAGTGGCTGGGTTAGTTTTTCCTTCTTTTTTTTTGGAATAATATTATGGTAACAAGTGGACAATGTGGACTCCACAATTTTCACTTACGGATTTCATCTAAGGATTGATCAAGAGGTGGTAATTTTTATAGTTTTTTGTGAATTTTTTTTCAATTTTTTTGTTTGTTAAAAAGCATTTATGAGCTTTTATATGGTGTTCAAACTCAAAATTTCTTAATGAGTAATAAAGTGAGTGTAACGAGGAACAACAATATGGTTTCAAAAATCGCTATCAAGGATGTGTAAAAGAAAGTGTTTACTCTTGTAATAGTTGTACACTTTTAAGCTCTAACCGCTTCGGTTTCCCTCAAAAAAAAAAAAAAAAAAAGGTTCTAACCACTTATAATCATATGATGTTCATAATCATATTAGTATGTTGAAGGAAAAATTTTCTTGATACTGAATAGTTTAAATAAATTCATAAGAATTTAAGAAGTAAAAGTGAAAATCAATTAGAATTGAACAAGCTCTTAGTAAAAACATTTCATGAAAAGAATGTCGTGATTTTGACCAAATGAATAGGAATGTGATTGTCTAGAATGGTGGGAAAAGACATCAAGGATTTTGAGCTAGATTAAAAGTTTTTTCTCACTAAAGACTTAAGCGGAATATTTAATAAGATTTTTTTAAAAATTCGACTACATATGTGTATATTCATTGTAAAGTTACTTTAAAATAATCAAATTTACCTCAAAGCTTACTAGTATCTCATTGCCTGTTGATATTAAAATCGTTTTTGATGTAAAGTTACCCTAATACTATAAATTGATTCAAAGTTACTCTTAAATTGTTCAATATACAATAAGATTTTCATTAAATGGGTTGTATAGGTTTTCGAATTTTTAAAGCTATCTAGAATTTAAGTTAAACTAAAATTCATACCATCAAACTATCAAAGCAAATCAATTACAATAAATAGGTTAGGAAAAAAAAGGAAATAGTATATGAAATCTGAAGAATTAACTATAAGAAGCAAAGATTGAAAAAAAAAAAAACAAGATTATGATGTTTAAACATAAATTAAGCATTTATAACATTATGACGTGTAATTTTGGGTCATGAATTTCAAAATCAATATTTTACACGTTTTGATATATATTTTCCTTTTAAACCAATTTGATAGTTATACTTCCACCTTATAATACTCACTATAAATTAAAATAGATATAATTGTATCAAATAGAGGGGAGACTTTCATATACTACGTAGTATTATTCATATTTTTGATCATCAATAACTATAAAATTTAATATGAGTAGTTTATCAAGAAAATGAAAAAATGGAAATAAAAACCATATAGTACGATCGAAAATTATAAACTAAAATTACTTAAAACAAAAAACAAAAAACGATAACAAACTCGATAATTAATTAAGGGCCTGTTCACTTCAGCTTAATTTCCGTTCAGTTCAGTTTAATTTAGCTCCAATTAGTTCAGTGCTTCTAATTTACTTATCTCATAAAATATTCATTTCAACTCTATTCAGTTCAGTTCATCTCCAATTAGTTGAGCTCAGTTCAGCTCAACTCAGTTTAATAAATGTGAACAGACCCTAATTATCCGATTATCTGATATGCCCACCACATATTGAATTCTTGACAAAGGCAGAAACCAAACAGGAAGTGGGGAAAAATAAAACCTTTGACTATTCCATTTTTCTGAATTTGGCATTTCCCCTCCATTTTTCTGCACTCAATCTCCTTACCATCTCCTCCATTAACCATCTTAAAGGTCAAACTCTCTCAATCTCTAAATTACGGAGTATTAATTTAATTTCATTATTTCTTTCCAAATTGTTGTATGCAATTTTATTTTCTTTTCCTTTTTCCATGAGCTGGGTTATTCCCTTTAATATTTCTAAATTCTCCATTTTTTTTTTCAGTTTGTAGGAAGATCTAGAAGAAATCTGGATTAAAAATGGAGGGTCATCATCCTTATTCTCCAAAAGATCTGAACTTGCCTGGATTTGTCCCTAATTTTCTTTCTGCTTCTGAAATTTTGGGTGTTTTTGGTTTTGCTACTGTCATTGTTTTCTCCGTCTCATGGATTCTCCCTGGTAATTTTTTCAATTTATTCTTAATTTTCTGCTTTTAATTTTGAATTTTGCTTGTCTTTATTTATAAAATTTATCATATTTCATTTTTTTAAAAGTTGAAATTTGATCCATTTACGTTAACTTTTGTTCTGCATTGGTAGTTTGTGATGTTTTCTTAGATAATTGTGTTGTGTACATTGAATCTGCGGCTTAGATTGCTGACTAGCTAACGTATTGTTAGTGAACCATGATAAATCCGTGTTTTGTTTGACCAAGAACAAACTAATGACCTTGTTGTAGTTTTCGATTTAATGATTCATGTTGATGTATCTTGAATGTTTGTTAGAACCTCAAGCATTTCGTTATAGGAGATTTGGAAGTTTATCGGTTGTGTTCGAGTTTATGTATGTTGATTTTGGTTTCAATATATGCCTAATCATACTCATAAGTCATATTACCTCCGTTACATATTATTTGCAACGATTAGACATTTTTTCTCTCTACTTTATGTCAAATCGTTGCAAATAATATGTAACGGAGGTAGTAATATCATAAAGTTGCATAGTTTGTTATGTCATGTCCAATTCTGGTTTATTCGTGTTTGTGTAGTGTGTTTATGTCGATTTGGTTGGTGCTCTTGTGTCATGCAAAGATTGCCAACTCCAATAATGAGTAGCGTTTGTTTTCGACTGGTTTGTGTTTGAATTGAATTAAATGAAAACATTTAAGTTGAGTAGGAGTATAGGACTAACCATATATCTGAACTTTGAAGTCGTTTGTCAAGTCTGGACAATATGGAAATTTCTTCATCAAGTTGGTTAGGAAGGATCTTAGGAAATATTTAGTTGTAATTCATCCTTAAAGAAGTAGGGATTCACCTTAATGGTCTACTGTTATTTGAAATTAGAGGTTGTGAATTCCTGTAAGTTGCATAGTTTGTTATGCCATGTCCAATTCTATTTAATTTGTGTTTGCATTGTGTGTTCATGTCGAATCTGTTAGTGTTCTTTTGTCATGCAAAGATTGCCAACTCCGATTATGAGTAGCATTCTTTTACCAACTGGTTTGTGCTTGAATTGAATACGATGAGAAAGTTTAAGTTGAGTAGGACTAACTATATATCTGAAATCTGAAGTCGTTTCTCAAGTCTGGACGATATGGAAATTTTTTCATCAAGTTGGTTAGTAAGGATCGTAGGAAATAGTTAGTTGTAATTCATCCTTAAAGTAAGGATTCACCTTAATGCCTTATACTGTTATTTGAAATTAGAGGTCGCGAATTCCTGCAAGTTGGTTAGGATTGATCATAGGAAATATGTAGTTGTGATTCACCTTAAATACTATTATCTATTCTCAATTCTTACACACCAAGCTCTCTGTCTCACAGGTTTGTTTTCAAAGACAACAAAACTTGAAAGATTGCTCATATGCTGGTTTACTATCACTGGTCTAATACATATGGTTGTTGAGGGATACTTCGCTTTCTCACCGGATTTCTACGAGGACAAGAATGGATTTTTCTTGGCCGAAATTTGTAAGGCTCTTGTTTCTTAATTGTATTGATACTTGATAGACATTTTTTTTCCCCTTGACATTTGAAGGTTGTTTTGCAATTTGTCTGATAATATGGCTTTCACAGGGAAAGAATACAGCAGAGGTGATTCAAGGTATGCCTCTTTCGACTCTGCAATTGTTGCTGTCGAAGGAGTAACAGCCGTCATTGAAGGCCCTGCTTGCCTATTAGCAGCGTAAGTAGTTAGCATGCTCTTCACTTTTTATCATGCTGATAATTTAACTGAGTGTTGAGAAATGATTATTAACATGATTAGATCTATTGTATAATGCATGCAGGTATGCTATAGCAACCCGCAAATCCTATAGGTATGTTCTTCAGCTGGCTGTATCTCTTGGGCAATTCTATGGTCTCGTGATATATTATATAACCGCAATATTGGAAGGGGACCATTTCTCTGTGAGTCCATTGCACTACTATGCATATTACATTGGAGCAAATTCACCATGGGGAATCATACCGTTCCTCATAATCATCAGATGTTGGAGAAAAATTTGTGAATCTGAGGGTAGAAGTAAGATAAAAACCAAATGAAACTTAAGCAGCAGTTTAGTTGATGTTACATGATCCTTTTTTTTTTTTTTTTTTTTTTTTTGCACACTAATACAAGCTTCCAATTCTTCATTTATTCAATTTAGAAAGAAAATTTCGCAAGGAATTATTTTTTTGTAATCATTTACTAGTATTATGGATCTTTAATTGTTTGAATTTAAAGCAACTCCTTTTTCCTGCTGTGATATTATCATTATGTTACATGAATTCTTTTCATTATACAGACCTCGTACATTCAGTATAATTCTGCTTGTGCTACCTTGATCTTACATTCATAATTCTTCAGTTGGTCATATCTTTGAGGCAATTCTATAGTATTAATCTGATGTAGAAAATTTAAATGAAGTTGATGGTAATAATACATTGTCTGTTTGTTGATGACAAGGTTTGGACTTAGTAAATAGGCGGAGTAGGATTCGATTATGTTCGGATGTTATCTGTTTCTGTTTATTACTGCAAGTTTTCGATTACTTCTGTTACATACTTACATTGCTACCTCATGGAGAGTTGACAGTTAATTTTGTGCTATCAAGTAATCCTCCTGTAGTTACTGTCATACGGACTTACGGAGTACATCTTTGCCTTTGCTCGCATACAGAGAACTCCCGCAGTATATTAGGCTGATGAGGAGCCTTGCTGTTAAAATCTACTCATACCTTTTTGTAGGAAGCTAAGGTTTAGCTTGACTTCGAAAATTTCCCCGGGTAAAACCGGGGCCGGGTTGGTGACTGGTGAGACTATACAACTCCATTAGCTCAGGGACCCGATGAGTTTAAGGCGGCCCTGCACTTAGTTGTGTGGCAGTGAACAACTAACCATATGCATTTATTTTGTAAACTATACAAGTATTATATAATCTTGCTTTTAATTATTAAACTACTAGTCCATGATTCATGATTGTAATGTTAATCTAAAACTTGTATGTACTTTCATACAAATCTCAAGTCAAACTTCTCTTTCTCTTAATAATTTAATATCATTTGAGGAAGAACAGAAAGTAGAATGGAGGTTCATCTTCCAAATTTTCCAAAAGATTTTAATGTTTCAGATTTTATTCCTAATATATACTCTGCAACAACCATTTTGGGTATTCTAGCTGCTGCCTCAACCGCTGTTTTCTGCCTCACATGGATTCTATCAGGTATATTTTTGTTTTACTCTGTTTTTAATCTATCATCAGTTCATCACACCGCTTTACATGGGATAAAATCTTGGTTCATATAGCCGACCCCATCTTTGGGATTAAGGCGTTACTTGTTGATTTTCTCCTTCAATATATTCATGTTTCTTAATTTATCTTATATTATTGCTAAGTAACTTTAAATGGGTTAATCTTAGTTAGTTGATGGGTTATTTGCTTTGTTTTCTTGGTTTTACTATAATACTATAAATACATCCCTCATGACTAGGGGTGTCAATTCGGTTAAACAGTTCGAGTTTGGGTTGGGTTTATCAGTTTCGGTTTATAACGGGTTGGTTTATAACGGATTGAAATAATAAGCGGGTCGGTTTGGGTCGGTTTTGAAAATTATCGGGTCAGTTCGGTTTGGTTTTTTTAATTGCAGTTTCTATTCGGATCGGGTCCTTATCGAGTCGGGTTCTAGTCGGTTCGGGTCATAATCAATTTGGGTTGAATTGGGTCGGTTTGAAAACGGGTTTAGCCCATTTAATGTGGGTTTCGGTTAAAAACAGTTCGGGTCTTAATCAGGACGGGTCGTAATTGGTTCGGGTCATAATCAGTTTGGGTTTAACTGGGTCGGTTCGAAAATGGGTTTCGGTTCAAAATAGATCGGGTGAAATCGGGTCCAACCATTATTGTTTCGGTTATAATCGGTTTAGATTGAACTTGGTTGGTTTGAAAACGAGTTTACCCAATTTGAAACGAGTTTCTAATCAAAATCATATCGGGTTAAAATTGAGTCGGATGATTATCGAGTCGAATTAGTCAGATAATGGGTAGGAACGAGTCATGTTATAATCAAGTCAAGTCATAAATAAGTTGGGTTTATCGAGTAGTGGGTTGAAACAGATTAGATCATAAACATATTGGGTAACAGGTTGTAAATGACTCAGTCATAACGGGTTACGGGTTTTAAACGGTTTGGTCATAACGGGCTACGGGTCGTAAACGGTTTGGTCACAACGGGTTACGGATTTAAATTCAGGTGTCATGGTCAGATTCATTAGCGTTAGGTTGGATCAAGTTTAATTTGAAGTTGAGTCCTACTAAATATATACAAGTCAAAATTTGAATCGGGTAATTTTCGTGTTGGATAAGGTGAGTTTTTAACACATGAATTAACCATATTTAGCCATCATGAGTTCATCTTTTGTCACACAAGGTTGTTTTCAAGGACAACAAAACTCGAAAAATTGATCATATGTTGGCTAACTTTTAATGGTTTAGTACATTTGACACTCGAGTTCTACGTAGTCTTCAAACCTGATTTCTACAAGGATAAGACTGGATCCTTCTTCGCCGAATTATGTACTTCTCTTGCTCATATCAATTCATTCAACTCCTTCAGTTAGTTTAAAGAGTTATTATTCTAACTTCACTATAATTTTACTACATTACCTTTTATTACGATATGCTAATACATTTTGATTTTATAGGGAAAGAGTACAGCAAGGGTGATTCCAGATATTTGTCTTTTGATTCAACAATAATAGCTTTAGAAGCAATTTCAATCTTCATATTTGGTCCAGCCAACCTTTTAGCTGCGTAAGTAACAATTAAGCAACATTTATCTTTTAACTATCTACTACTTAGTATACTTCTATGGATGTGGACATTATACTCTGTGCATTAGTACGAGCACATGCTAGTTTCAACTTTCAACAATTAGTTAAAAATTAGAATGTAGACTAATTTAAAATGAGTTTATCAAATGGATGGAGTTGTTCTTAGCTCGATATATGTCGTATTTCTTGGATGGCATGACAGGACCTTAATGGACAAAATGTATCCCGTATGATTTAATTTAGTGTCACTTGTCCTTATGACTCTCTAAACACCCAAAAAAAAAAATCAATCTAGTCTAACTTTGTAGGTTGGATGCTTCCCTAAAGAGCTCAAGGCAGAGCAAAGGATAGGGAATTATGTACACATTCTTAGTAATTTTAATTTCCATAGATTCCTAGCTAGTCGCGATGACCTTGATTCGAATAATGCAATGAACCAACTAGATCGAGCTTTGGTACAAAAAAATTGTTAATGACATAGTAGGAGTTAGAGTTCGTTGTTAATTCAATTGGAAACCTGGGTCTAGTTATGTGAGTTCAGATTAAATCTATTCCTAATTTGATTCATGTTAAATTATGAAAATTATGATGTTTTAACAAGTTGAAATCTATATCTGGTGTCTTTTCTTATGTTTGCTCGGTTGGACCAGTTGTTAACACCTTATTGGCTACGAGTATATAAGATGTCAATATACTAATATAGCATTACTAGCTAGATTTCTCACATTGTACAACGTTTTTGCAGGTATGCCTTAGCAACACACAAATCCTATAGATATGCTATTCAATTGGTTGTATGTTCGATGGAGTTTTATAGTGTTGTTATATATTATATGACTGTGTTCGTAGAAGGGAATCAAGTTTCAGCAAGTCCATATTACTTCTATGCATACTTTATTCTAGCAAACTCACCTTGGGTAATAGTACCGTCAATTGTAATAATCACATCTTGGAGAAAGATCTGTGAATTTGATGGTACTAATAAGAGCAAAGTCCAGTGAAATCAATTGGCCTTTGATCATATTTAGAGTTTGTTTGACACAAAGTTGATCGAATTAAATTGTGATTTGATGATCATAATAATTACTCTCTCCATTTCATAAAACATGTTTACTTGTCTTACTACTATAATAAAAATCCAACATAATTTTGGGTTTGTTTATTTTTTATATATGTATATGGCTTAGAGAAAATACAAGTTCATTTTGATGATAAACAAAATTTGTTTATACAATGGCATTTTCGTAAAGATCTGTGAATTATTGATATATTTACAAAAATGCCATTAGATAAACAAATTTTGTTTATCATGAAGATGAATGGGGGCTCCCTCGCTTACTAATATGCCAATATATGCAAGTTAAAAAGGAAAGTTGTGATTTATTTCTTTAACCACTGATATATGGGAGTTTCATAAAATTAGAAACTGTTGCAATTTTTAATATATACTATTATACTACATATAAATGTATAATAATGTTAAAAAACAAAAAAAGAAAGTTGTGATTTATTTCCCTTAAGTACGTGATTAATGGGAGTTTTTCTACTCTCCAAGCATTGATTTATTATTCAATTCAATATACATAAAAACGTTAAAGACATATTATCAAATATTATTATTGTTATTAACATCGATTGATCAATTTTTTGTTTTATTTCCGTAAATGGCAAACACAAGAGTGGTGATGGTGTGGCAATGGTGATTATTGTGTGGGTAATGATGTTTGTAGCATTGTCAAAGAATACAATACACGACCAACAAATTACTAATAATTTAATAACGGAGCAATATCAAAAGGACGGTGATTTTTGAGATGGTCAAGACGGAGTGGAGGCGAACCCTTATAGCATACGTAATAAGGACCGATGTTCCCGGAATGAATAGGGGAGAAATTGATGTCAAAGTCGATAACACAAGCCGTACTATAGTGGTTAGTGGAACACGTCGAAAACCGTTCGAAAAAGTTGTCTTAGCCACCCTTGTCGATGAAAAGAGATACGGTTATTTCTGGAGGCGTTTTAATATACCTGACAGGGTTGCTAATTTCGATAAAGTTGAAATTTTTATTTGGGATGGTGTCTTGTTTATCTCCGTGTTCACTAGTTAGAAGGTAGATTGTAATATTATTATCTTTATATTTAATAAAAATGGTTTTAAGGCCTAAGTTTACAATGTTGCACTGTGTCTATTTTTTGAACCATTGGGAAATCAAAGATCGATGTACAACTTTCGTAATTATGTTGGTTTTGTCTTTGGTGTTGGTATATCTGTATATATTAGTGAGCTTGTAACAAACTAACATGTTTATAAGTCATAAATAAATTCATACTCGATATTACATAGTAATTGGAAAGAATCAAAGAATGACACTATTAATAAATAAAAAAGGGAAAGGGGCTTTAACTATTCTTGGAATTTTGCTAGTTGCTACTTATGGCTTTAGCCCTAAGATATAATGATATACTCCATTGTCCCCTTTTGATAGTCCCTTATGTAAAATTTTGTTTTTCCATGTACTTTTATTACTTTCTCTCTACTTTTTTGCATACCCAATATCAATTTACTTTTTCAAATGTACTTTAACTATTCTTTTTTGTGTTTATTAATTCCCGGGAAAATTGCCCATAAGGGACTATCAAAAGGGGACGGAGTCACGGAGGGAGTATATTCTTTGAATTTTGATAGTAGTTGCTTGTTATGAAGTTTTAATTTTTTTTGCACATGAAGTTTTAATTTTTTTTTGATAGGGAAGTTTTTATTAAATCCCCTTTCCTATTATACTGTACAATTCGTGTGTGAATATATCAGGCTCGATTCTTTTTTTTTTTTTCATAGATGGTGGTAGACTGGTATGTTTTTAGATGGTAGTTTTTTTTAGTGTGTCTTTTTTTTCATAAAATTTTAATACATGCAATTATACTATGTGGTATATATAATAATATTTATAAAAAAAAATAAAAAAAAAAGGAAAGTTGTGATTTGTTTCCTTAAGTACGTGATTCATGGGAGGTTTTTTCATAGATGGTGGTAAACCTATCAAAATGTATCTATAGTTAAATTGTTTAATAACTTATATCGAATGCGTAGTTTTATTAAAATTATTTGCATGTAATCATTAAATGTGTTGGATGTTGTGTAGCTATGCAATGTCCAAAACTTTAGTTGAGTGACTTTGATTTAGTGATTGTACGGTAAAAAGATATTGACTTCGATCTTGAAACCTAATAGTCTAATAAATTCTAAATAGAAAAATTAAAACAAAAGGAAATGAAAATAGTTTATGGCTATAAATATTGAAATAAACATAACCTTTTAAATCAATTTAGCGAATTCAAGAGACAATTTTAAGGCTTTTAAAATTAAATGGGGGAAAATATATGTAAAAAGAACATTTTTAGATATATAAATGTCCATGCACTATTATAAGAGTTTTGTTAACCATTTTATAATGAAGGTAGGGATAAATCTTAGTAATATATACTCTGTATATTTTATTTATATAAAATTATAAGTATCCATACCTATATACGAAGTATTTGTGTTGTATACTATATTTAATCAGCTGTTGGTTATATATATGACTATTATATAATATATAGTTTTTGGCACAATGCTTAACTTAAGAAAATATATGTTCTGGTAGGTCAAATATAAGGTTATTATTGTGTCTATAGATTGAATGAGTGCGACGGGTAAATAAAACATGTATATATTAGATTGATTGTAGTTACTGATACGAATGGTATGATAAGAAAATTTTAGTTTTTTCTCAACGGGAGATATAAATAAATTAGTCCACTTCTTATATAGCTATGTGGAGTATTATTCAATTATTTTTCAATTAATAAAAAAACATTATAAAAAATTAAAAGAAATTCAAATAACATAAAATACTATTCAAATAACGTTCCTTTAACTTTTTTTTTATTGACAATTAGTAACCAAGTCCTTTAATAGTAAATGAATTACCTTTGTTTTTATTTTTATTTTTCCTACGGGTTTAATAATTTGATTTATAAATCGTGCATCGCACGAGCACTATGCTAGTTATTATAAAATTGTTGACGCTTTAGTCATTTAATTCAAAATATATATATGTAAAAACTAAAGACATATTATCATAAACATGGATGTACTTGGAATGAGTAGGGGAGAAATCGATGTCAAAGTCGATAACACGACCCGTACTACAGTGGTTAGTGGACTAGGTCGAAAGCCGGTAGACAAACTTCTCATGTCCACCCTTATTGATTAAGGGAGATATGGTTACTTGTGGAGACGTTTTATTATACCTAATAGTGTTGCTAATTTCGATAATGTTCATATCCGTCTTTGGAATGGTGTCTTGGCTATCCGTGTGATGACCACGAAGCATTATGTAAGAGGGTAGAGTGCAATATTATTTATTTATCTTTATAATTTAAAGGACTAAGTTTACAATGTTGTACTGGGTCACTTTTATTGTTAATAATTTGTATGCTTGTAGCTTTGCCTCTAATAAAGCGTGAAAATCAATTGAATCGTTGGGGAATCAAAGGTGTTACTATATGTATATTAGTGAGCTTTAGCTCACTATGTTTTTGATGTTTTTAAGTCATAAATAAATTCATATTACACAGTAATTGGAAAGAATCAAAGTATGACACTATTGAAGAAAAAAGGGAAAGGGGCCTGGGGTTGGGTTTAACAAAAAATTCATATTTTGTAACACAAACCAAACTCGTATACACAATATTAACTATTAAGGATTGACAATCTAAAGTCAATACTCAATATTAATGATGCAATCTTAGCTAATGTTATGCCTTAATTTTAGGAATTATAAGTTGTTAACACCTCTAGTAGTACTCATAAGTTTAACTGGCTACGAGTACATATATAACTATATAAGATGTTTTTTTTTGGTGTTTAGTGAGCCACAAGGGCGGGGGTGAGAATCGATTCCAAGATCTCTTGGAACCGGGAGGGAAGCTCTAACCACTTGAGCTATCCCTCACTCACATATAAGATGTTAATATAGCACAAGTAATAAACAATCCTAAACATTGGAGAATCAAAGATGTATATTGTGAGAATAATGTGTCAATGTAAACATTTAATGAGAATATGTATCTCATTCAATTTAATATGTATAGATAAGTGGCCATTAAATAGGCTACATCAAAACACAATACACACATAATTCTTAAAACAAGGATTTAGTGGCTCATTTGAATCGTGATCTCAATATCATATGGCTGGTAATAACACAGCTCAAATGGTTTCGGAGGTACTACAATTGGATCAACATCGTATAAATCAACTATAATGTATTTAGCCGTATAAATTAATTTGTTCATGATTTCAACTTCTAAACGCGTGATCGTCGTCGCCGAATCAACAAATATAACATGAGTTTTATTAGATAACGTACCATATGCTCCTACAAGTACACCAGTGAGTTCTATGTAGTAGACACTTCCATCATCATATTTTATTGGAGCGACCCTATACTCCCCGGGAATGGTGATGGTATCACCAAAAAGGAAAGAGTCATCCGTGGACGTGTCGATAGGGAGGCAAAAACCCCACCGGTGGACAAAGAGTTTGGAGGGAATTGATAGGGGACCCGCACCAAATCCGACAACACCTTAAAGGCAATCTGTTGAAGAAGGAAAACAAGTATTGTTTGTCCCTATACCAAACGTCAAGTCAAATAGTATAGTCAGTGGCGGAGCCAAAAATCATACTCTCACGTGAGAAATCACTAAATAATCTCATACGTTAAACCAACTTAGCTGTGAATAATTGTTTGACAACATTTGCAAAATTAAATTTTAGACATAAAGCCACCCCCTAATTCCGCCTCTGAGTATAGTGTTCTTTCCTTTTCCAACGTAAGGAAACATGGTTTCCCAAACAACTATCCCTATCGATTCCGTTTTATCACCATATAAAATGTGATAAATGCAACGGTTATTATCACCACATGTCACCTTGGACGTCTCAAGACCATAATTGAGTTCAATAAGGTCGCATGCATGGTAGTATAAAGAACTTGAGCCATTATATGAAGGTCTCGAACCTTCATCCATGCAAACCGTACAATTTTCCGATTGTACCCATACGAAATCCGAGCCCGTATCAAAAATCATGATAAACTCCAAAGATGGACTCAATCCTAGCTTTAGTCTAACGCCGTACAATTCTTTACCGGTTATGTGCTTGACCGTTCACGACATCAGCGTCGATATGGCTATGCAGTGGCGGATCTTAGACTAAACTATATGTGGGCCAAGTTATAAAATTTAATAATTTCTAATTAAAATTATAGATATCTAAATATTTACAAAAAACAATAATCTGACCGATGTCAAGTTTAAAAGAAATGAAATCAATCGTCCTCACTTAACTATTACAGAAGCTTGTTACATACAATTAAAATATGATAATTAAATAATAAATCACTACAAGAAAACAATATGCGAGTTTGATCTAAAAGTTTACTTTACACAACTTATAAGGGCCAATAGATGCAAACAATATATCAAGATATATGTGCAATATATGTACAATATATGTACAAAAATAATATAATTATTTAAAAATACATACTATTTTGAATCTGTAGTTGTTAAATTGTAAATAATGATATAAATTTGTAATGATGTCATGATTCGAGCGTAAAAAATTAAGGCCTCGATAAAAAATAAATTTAAATACTAATTTTTTTTAATTAAGTAGTAAAAGTATCTATAATATATTAGATTTTAATTTTCATTTATTTGAAACAACTTGAAAAAGTTGCGTTTGTCACTTGACATAATATTTTTATCACGCTCGTCTAACAACTCTTACAAAAATAATATGGGTCGAACCCTTATGAACCCCAATAAAGATCCTCCCCCGTGGCTATGGAATTGAGCAACTTTTGGACGTTTTGAGTGATATATCTTATAAGCGTCATATTGATTAAAGATCAACATTATACCTAAGATGATCAAAGAAAAAGAAGTGGGATGCATCTTGTTTTGAAGAAATGAAAGAAGTACAATTTAGATGAATGGTTAGTTGCATATAACCAAGGCTTTTGAGTTGAGTATAATAGTATGGCAATATGAAGAGTGTATGTTTGGATGAAGTATAAAGGTCAAAGTTGTTTGCATTCATAATCTTCTAATAATATACAGGAAGAAATAAGTATATTTACTCTAGCTAAGTAGCTAATGCTGGTCATTATCTACTAGGCTACTACCTTACTTTAATGCATGGACTATGTGACAATGTATAATTTTACTTACTCTAGCTTTACATGTGAATTGAAGCATAACTTGTAACTTTATAAATTTCATATGCTATTTATATATGGTTTCTAGCTAGTTGTAGTAAAAGTAATAGTCGTATGTTAAAGTAGTAGTAAATGTTATTTACATTTTGAACTCTAGTTACTTTAGGTTTATGTGATTTTACCTTCTCTTGAATCAAATTTTCTTGTAATCAAAGTGATGTAACTCATGTAAGTGTGCTTATGATTTGGAAGAAGTAATATAATCTTCATTTCTTGTGCTAAAAAAAGCCTAACTATGTAAATATTAAGGATCACTGGATCGGACTACACAATATTTTATATCTTTATTTATAACTTAAATTATGATAATCGGTCTGTTGAGATATTTTGTGACACATACTATTTTATATCATCCATATTGACTACTATAAGTCTATAGCAATTTTAGTAAATAATATCTTTAAGAATGAAATTAGGAAATCATCAATAATAAGTGACATTGTAAGCTTATCCAATTTACCCTAAACTTATCACAGGCATTGTAAGCTAATTTGTGATACATACCAAAAATTGACATTATTTTAACACGCAAAGTAGGAGCTTAATATTGTATGATTAGAAGCAATAACATGTTACATGACTTATACTATAACATGCATTGTGAAAATGAGGTGCCAACAATTGTAAAGCAACAAAGACAAATTTCATCATTATTAAAAACAAGAAACATGAAACATATGTATATGTATATGTATATATAAATGTATATATATGCTAAAACTGTAAAACAAAAATCATGAATATGTAATGGATCAATAAGGATTTTTCAATTTTCATCCATATATACTCAAGGTCACAAGGAAAGTATGTATACGAAAAATGCTTTGTATGTATAAAATAGAAATAATGATATAAATATAAATTGCAAGTCTGTAATTACTACTCGTATATTAGAGACGTAGATAGTTACTATTTCCTCCGTTAACTATATTTGCAACAAAAGAATATTTTATATCTTATAAATAATACCCTTTTGTTGCAAATAATAGTTAACAGAAGTAGTATATCATCATACATGATGATGACTTGATGAGTGATAACTGATGACATGGGATGCATTCCATATTAAAATATATACTTAAGGAGTAAGGACTAATTTGATCTTTACACATGCAAGGCAAAGGGTTCATATTGTGCTAAACAAGCTTTGTTTATATTTATCATGGAGTATAACCACTACGTAATAATTCAAGTAGCGATTTTAAGGCAAATCCTATTTTCAACATAAAAATTACACTTTTGACCATGTGATAAACGAAACTTGTTTATTACGGAGATAAACATGTATTTACTCATTATAAATATGCATATTTTAAATTTTATAATATCAAATTTATATAATTTTAGATAATGTATATCATAATTCATTTATACTAGTAGTGAAATTATACTTAATACAATCATTATGGCATCTAATATAAATATAAAATAACTTGAATTTTATACTTGTATTTGACAAAGAAATCAAGGTTAGTGTACCCATGCAATAACTAACCTCTCTTAATTACAACCTTACTTATTAGTTTCTACAGTAATTTACATAAAAATATGTAAATGATAGAGAATTATAAATTGTTATACCTAAGATATACTATAATATAGACATTCGATCCAGTTTAGTACTCATCGTATCTATCTATGTAGTTGACACACTTTTATAGTTTTATTAGCATACTAGTTTAGCTCCCGTGCGATGCAGGGTTTTAAGCAAATATCAAATCTAACAGTTTTAAACAAATATCGTGAAATTTGTTTACGATAATTTTAAGTGAGTAAATATAAAATTTTAGTAAGTGAAAATCAGTATGAGTATAAAATAAAAGTTACTATCATATTATCTTACCCCCTAAATTGAGCCATCATAAAAAGTACTCAAAGAATTAAAAACACTAATTGAATTATTAACGATTAAAATTTGTTGGTATTTAGAGATAACTTTTTTTTTTTCCGATTAAAATTGATTGGTGGATTGGTATTTAGAGATAACTTGGTATTGATACTAAACATCACGCATATAAAAATATAAAATTAAATTTATACCAACAAACATTATTGCCACTTGTCCTAGTTATCACCCCTCAAACAATTATAAGTTGAACTATTACCGTTGGAAACGGATTGCATGAAAATATGTGGGCCATGGTCATGCATTGAACTTGCTCAAAGCCTCAAAGTCTAAACGTAAGACAAAATGCAACGTTCACACAAAAAATTTCAAGCTAAGTTTCCTTTCCAAAAACATAATTTCTTTTTTATGAGATCATATTAAAGGCTAACGTCATAATTATGTTCACATTGAGCGTTTAAGCATATAAATTTGGTGAGGAGAAGTTGTTTTAACATTATTTTTTTAACAAAAATTGTAACAAAATTATTCAAAGTAAGAAGTAACGATGTTGAAGTTGTTCTTATCTTTGTTCGTAGTTTTATGCTTAGCCAATTTTCAATACGTTGAAGGTTGGAGTATGGGGCCGGGAGATTATCAAGTTGTAATCGTGAATGGATTGAACGATATATTATGGGTTCATTGCAAATCGGGTGATAAAGATCTTCAACTTCAAAAACTTCCGAAAAGTGGAAACTACTCCTTTAATATTCATTCTAGTATGATCATACAACGCCTCTATTTTTGTGGTTTAACTTGGGATAATCATGGACGCAAGGTATTTGATGCATTCGTTGATGAACAAGAATTCGTCGATAGAAAATGTGGTGGACGTCATTGTATTTGGAAAGCTCAAGATGATGGTATATATTTGTACAATGTATTCAAAGCCAAGTACTTTAAGAAATATAAATGGGACAAGTATTTATTTAAAGCTAATAAAATAAATTAAATTAATTAAGACCTCTTTGTATTATATCAAAAAGTATAATAAATCTGATATTATTTTAATTAAAGCATCATTATCTTTCATAATTTTATTGATATTGCTTAATTTGAAGTAATTGATTGGTTTGACTATATATGCATGTTAAAAGAGCTTGTGCAAGTTGAAAATTTTATAGTGCTCAGCTTATTTGGCTTGAGATTTTATCTAGCCAAGCCCGATCCATGGCATGAGTGCATGACCACAATTTTTGAGAAACATATGTGATTTTAACGGTATAAATAAGAACTTTTGAGAAAAACACTAGATTCTAGTGCCGTAAAAAAAATAAATAAATAAATAAATAAAACAAGATTCTACTTTTTCGGTGAAATCTCAATTTGTTGATGTTATATATTTATGCTTTTATGTGTACAAAATTTGGGATGTGGACTGCACTACACGCGCCTTTAGCATAAATGGTATGGTGTTACGGTCAATATTTCCTATAAAAAAAAAAAAAAAAAAAAAAAAAAAGAATGTATACAATGCAATAATTTATTCAACCATAATTAGGAAAAACCTATTACAAAAATCAATTCCAAGGGAAAAATTCATCAGATCCTCCACTGTAAGTACTAACACTAGTTAAACCCTTTTGTTCAACTTTCCAAGGAACATCTCCGCAACACCTCGAATGATCTCTATCATACTCGTAAACATCGATTGTTTTTGAAGCACCACTCCAAGCAAAATTACAAAAAAAGACTGTATTTCCTAATATGCTAGGCTTGAAGTTAATATGAAATTCTTGTCCATTACTTAGGACTTGTTTACCAAGATCATCGTCCTTTGATTGGCAATGTAAGTTGAGGTTTTCATTCAACAGATTCGTTATTGTCACGGTTGTGTGGGGCCTAGTAATACACGTTTTGTTAAGGTCGATTTTTTGGTTTCCATTTGGGTCACTTATTATAACACGTGATGCTGACACGGGTGCAAAGGTGACAAATAGGGTGAGGGTTAGTGATGCTAACAAAATGGACGAACTTGCAAAATTGGCCATCTTTTTGTGTTTTTCCTATGATCGTGCTTAGAGGTTTAAGGTTTTTTTATGAAATAAAGCTTAACCGAGTGACATATATATATATAAGAAAAAGAATTCACACCGATGAATTATTATAGTAAATACAAAAACGTTGCTTAATATTCATACTTTAAATTTTGGAAATAAAGTAAGATTCATGTATATTTTTATGATATTCCCTAACATTTTAGGTAATTATTATACGAAGTACACGAATGATTGTTAGTTGTTTACTTAATATGAAGGATTGCTTTACATATTACTATGTTGCCTTGTTTAACGTATAGTTATATTAGGTTTTCTTTGTCAATTTAAGTACTACTCGTATTTTTTTTGAAATAAAGTACTACTCGTATTGTCTAATGGCTAATAAATATGTTGAGATTTTAAAATTTCCACGTTCAATGGAAGCAAAACTCTAATTTCCATAAGATGAGAAAATAAGGAAAAAAAAATGTGTGCTATATTCTAATTTCCATAAGAAGAAGAATTCATACTAATAAGAGTGATAACTATTATTTTAGTAAATAGTATAAGTATTATTTTTATACTAAATAAATTAGCTTCAATTTGGAAACAATGCCTTTACACCTCTTTAGCGCACATACAAGTATATTTTTTTGTCAATTTGATTATTGTCTTTTGGCTAATAAATATATTATTGTTTATAAATTTCTATGTTTAGTGGAAGCAAATCTCTCGAAAATCCTAGCTAGGGAAGAAGATGGTAAGAAGGGAAAATAAAATTACGTTTGTGCGCTTTTAGACATGATTGATAATTGGGCTTAATCATAGTCTGTTAGTAGCCCATAAATCTAACCTAAAGAGCCCAATACAATTTTGGGCTGGATATTTAGTTGGCTTATTACTTTCAAAAGTTCAAAAACCAAAGTTATTGTTTATTGGGTAATGTTATATGTAGCCCTAAGGGCTATATATAAGCATTAAATATACTCTTTTAAATTGTATAAAATTAGAAATTCATGACAAAAACACGTGTAAATCAGTGTTATTAGTGTTTATATTTTGATTTTTTTTTACTTTTTACGATTTTCAAGTGTAAATTTAATGCTTATAAGGGATATGTATAACATTTTGCTTGTTTATTAGCTACTCCTGTCCTCCTTTTATTCAGTTCATTTCTTATATTTCACGGGTATAATGTAAATACAGGAAATATAAAATTATGTGTGTACATTGGAAATAATTATTATACAGAGTATAATAGATATAAACACTTAATTTTGAGACACTTAATTAGGAAAGCAACACTTAATAAAGTGACAGAGGGAGTAAATGATAGTGTTGAATTATTTTTTTCTCTTTTTTTGAGTAAAGATGATCATGAATTGGGTATAGATTGGACAAAGCGAATAAGCGTAATAGATCTAATAAGACAAGCTCGAAATGTAGCCAAACCCAAAAAGTAAGCCAGTCTGCTTAATACTAAATGGTTCAAAAGATTGTTTAGATGAAGTACCTTAAATTGGCGTCACAAAAAGCCAATCGAAAATTCAGAACTAATGTGTAACCAAGCTAATTGACCTATTCAAATCGAGCAAATAGTAGTGAGTAGTGACCTAGTGAGAATGAGTGACACAAACAATGGTACATTATTTCGAGGTTTAGTATGAAGATATTATTTTTCTTTTCCACACAAATGAGTATGAAGATTTTATTTTATTTTCCCACAAATGAGTATGATATCATATCATTCATGTATTTATGATGGATTATTGTTAGAGGTTTGGAGTTGCCCAAGGATAAACATTTCTGTTACAAAAATATAAATTGATTGGACACGTGTCCCCTAAGACATAAAACTAGGTAGATAAAGTAGCCCATTTCCTGTTAATTTTGCATGCATATATTGAACGTTGACAAATAAAGTAGGTATGTTATATGTAGAGGTAATACTACACCGTATTACGTATCTCTAGAAATTAATACAGATGATCTTCCCCAACCAAAAAATATCATGCACCTATTGCTAGACTTCCTCCATCTCTTTAATTTATTTGTTACTTTGTTTGGACACATACATACACATTTAATTGATTTAGTTGAATTTTAATAGGGTAGGAAGCCCAAGAAACCATGACAATAATTTTAAATAGAATTTATCATTAAGTAAGAAAATACAGATGTTCATGTCAATCTTGTGATCGTTCATACTGATCCTTCATATTGTGGATTTGTGGACAAGGTTCATATGAGAATTTGTGTATCTTATTATGTCCAAAACTTTAATTTCTTTCTTTGACGTGCACTAATAATATTTGAAATTAGATTTTCTAATTACTCTAATCACACATCATTTATAGATAAAAAAAATAAACATACGAGTATATATATAGGGAATTAGAGAGAGCCTACTTGGTCCCTCAAATTAAAAGTCAAATGAAAAATTTGTTCCCTCTAAATAACTTTTTGGTTCCATGCAACATCACTATTTTTGTGGTATTGACTATTGAGCATTTGGTTAGACATTTCTATCTTTTTGCTTTACTCTTTTCATCTACAAGGTGTTTTACCTTAACTTCTTATTCAAGGTCCTTACTACGTACCACAATTAACATTTATATTCAAAACCCTAAGTGCCACATTATTGTTCAAAAAATTAGTTTATGAATGTACTAATAACATTAGTAAATATTAATTCTCTTAGGTGATAATATTCACTTGATTTTAACAAACCTAATCAATTAACTCAATCTTGATATGATCGAACTAATTAACCTAAAACTTTTTAAAATTCATTATAATTGTAAAATGAATTTAGATAATTCTTATTTAAACTTATTTTTCAAAAATTATATCAAGTGAAAATAAGGTGTACAAATCAGATTGGTTTTACATGCAGGTCAAATAGAATAAAGAGATTGAAACATTAGAATTAGACTATATATAAATATAACATACTTTTCAATTGTGTTTTGCGATGACTCCATAACATTGAGCTTGTACGTACGTCAAACATGTTGTCAAATTTAAAAGGTGTGTGGATTATGTATTCTTTAAATTATACCTCCGTACGTACAAAATTTAAAAAATTGAAAAAACCTAGTGACCAGGTCGACGGGGTGGGGGGGAGACTAATAGACTATGAGCCAGTTGCAACTTGCAAGCCTAAGAATTCAAAGTTGTAGTCCTTAAAGATGATCAAGTACAGTACAAATGGATAATCCAGTTGTCTTAGTTGTCAATCATCGTCAAATAATGATACACAACCAAGTGAACCAACTAACTATCTATTACTCTTACTATGTGTAGTAGTAATGAATTTATATGGTGGACCATCATATTTCAGTGTACGTTTTTGCTCTTTACAGAATATCATGAGTGTTGAAGACTATAACTAGTAACTACCATTATTTGACAAAATCATTTAATTTTCAATTTTTATTAGGGGAATTGAAAGAATCGTATTTGACGGCTGTTTAATAGTTTCATACTTGTGTATGCTCCGTACAATAAAGAAGCAATTTTTACACGCATGAACTTTTAATTGCTATGCCACATTATTTAATCGAGTTGTTAAATTACTCGGAAGTTGGAGTTTTGTTTTGTTCAACCGATTTATATTTAACGGACATTGCTACAATATCCATAAGGTAGATAACCCATTACCTACAATGAAAGTCTGAGAGATGCTGATAAATATTTGAATGTGTTGAATTGAATTCATTTACATGATAATAATATAGTATGATACTAGTACTAGTCGGGTGAAAATTTTAAGGTACATACGACTGTATCATGCTAGTCGGGCTATTATTTTTATTTTTATTTATTCTGTCGTAAGCCTTTGATCTATAATTGAATGTCAAACTGATCAAGACCTTAAGGAATCAAATATCGCTAGGGGTCTTTTAGGTGTTGAGTGTTCTATTTCCTTATCCTTTCTCCAATTTCAAGTACTCATGGGATGTTCTCTTCAGCTTATTTTCAAATTTGTTCAACTCCAATAAGTTTAGTTTATTTCTTAATTTCCTTCTCTCATAAAATATTCAGTTAAGTTCAATTCAGCTCCATAAGTTCAGTTCAGTTCAGCTCAATTCAATCAATCAGAACATGCCCTCAATGTATATAGTCTTATGCTAAATCATTATTAAGAGATATTAATGACAAAACATATGCATCAATTAATGTGATGAAAATATTATTTTATAATGAAGTAGGGTTTTAGCCTCAATATCTATCAAACATGTTAATCGATTATTGATAGTGTGCACTTAGATACAACTCTTTTCATCAAATAAATGATCTTGACATACTCACTAGGTATAATTGTGTCATATCTCACATGTCCTTAATCACATTATACTTCATCCCATTCTAAACTAATTTGGCACCTATATGTCCTACCCATTCATAATAAATTACGAGTATTATTTAGTTATTAAGATTCATCTTTTAAAAAATGCAATTATGACAGAGAACGAAAATGTATGATAGGAGATCGATTTTTACAAGAAATATATTCCATAATCGAGATTTTAAATGTGAAGATGTGTGGTAAATAATATCGGCAAACATGTCCAATTAAATTCGAACAATAATTTAAAACAAAGGAGTGAGCCTTTCCTATTTCTAACAAAGAAAGGTTGAATGCATGTGGTTAGGGGATACACCATACACCTAGTAGGTTAGTAGAGTAATACGGAGTAGTGTTGCTAATACGTGACGTCAGGAAAGAGTCAATGCGGGTCGGTCATCCATTAAGAGGCGGCCAAAAAATGGGGAAGTCCTAAAACGAAAAGATGGTGAACTTCTAAAAGTAGTTGGCGGTTATAAGACCATAGGAACAGGGATGTCATGAGTAAGGTCAAAGCTTTTTGAATTGGGTCCAATATGTTAAGTAAAATTAGTTTTTTTTACCTGTTCGATGTATAAGTTGTAAATTATGAACTAAAAACAACAAAATATTCATACCAATCGTATTTTTTATAGTACGGGTGTTTTTCTTAAGGAAGCATTGAAGAGTTTAATTAGTGGAGTGAGATTTTTTTTTTTTTTTTTTTTTTTTGGGGGGGGGGTAGGTTAGTTGGGAGAGAAAATAATGAGCATTATTAAATCGATAAGAATATGATAGAATTGACATCGAATTCCAATATTGAATTTATAACAATTGATAAGACAACAATTTATTGGAAAAACATGGTTTTAGTGATTGTATTTTAAAATAGTGACATCAAATGAGTAAAAACGGTGGTATGTGAGTTATTTTATTTTGACCTTGTTGTTTGTTCGCTTCATCAATTACTAATGTTTTAGTAGTAAATAAGGGTCTTCTGTTCTGATTTACTGAAAACAAATGAATTTTAATGAACTAATTAGAGTTGAAATGAATTGAACTAAATAGAGCTAAAATGAATTGTTTATGAGAGAAGGAAATTAGGAATTGACTGAATTGAACTGAAAACAAGCCGAAGCTGAACAGAACTGGCCCTAAGTCCATTCTACTATTGGTTGACCTTTTTCTTTAGCTCTTAACCGGTTGCTTCATGTTCTTGTCATGATTGCCAGAATCATAAACTCTAGCCTCGACCCATTAACCACTTATACTCTTCCATAAAACTACAACCTTAGTCTAACGACCATTATATGTTTACTGAATAACCTAAAATTTCTCCACAAGATCGAAAATCATTTTTATCTTTACAAGCTACTCCATCACAAACTTACTTTCAAAGACTAAAACAACAAGAATCCTCCTCTTAAGGTGCTTCTAAGCATCTTCATAACCTTGCTTAAAAATGCTGACCAAATAAATGGCCAAAGTCCAAAGGCATACACACCATAGGCGTGTACACAAGCTTGGTCAATAAGTAGTCACAACTTATTATAGCAACCAAAAATTAAAATAAAAAAAAAAAAAGTTGCTCAAAATTAAAGACTATCTATCTAAAATCTAAATTATTAAGTAAGTTGGTTGTGTTCTTCTTAAGGGAGGTGACCCAAACATTTATTGCTAACCTAACCATATAATATAAATTTCATACACATTCTTTTCATAAATAAAAAGCCTGTAAATCACTGGAATAATATAAAACTACTACTACTACCTTCACAACTAAAAACCTCTATTAAATGCAATTTTGCTAGAAATGTTGTTTATTTTTTGATTTTTTATTTAAACACATTGTAGTTGCGTCATCTCTTACAAATACCCCAATATAAAACTGACACTTTCATTCATCTTACCCACATCTTCTCTCAACAAACTAACCAACTTAGGAGAGAGAAAATCTGAGATTTTTTTTGTTTTTTTTTAAAATTCCCATTTTTCCCATCTTCCTGATCAAACAAGAAAACAAAGAAAAATCACAAATTTTGTGTTTTTTTGGTGTGATTTTCGATGTGTTCTGCAAGAAACAGGGGAAAACAGGGGAAAACTATGGAAAATAATGGGAATAATTTCTGTGAAAACAACAAAAAATGCAACGAAAAATACGGTCAGAAGAGTAAAAATTGCAGGCTTTTGAATTTTCATGAGTTGCCTGAATATATGAAAGATAATGAGTTTATTCACAAGTATTATAGAGCTGAATGGCCTTTAAAACAAGCTTTTTTTAGCTTGTTTCAATGGCATAATGAGACCCTTAATGTTTGGACGTGAGTATCACTTTCTTTCTTACTCTCTATTTATATTTTATTTTTTTTCAGACGGTTTGTTACGACTGTTCATGTTAGCCGACCCCAAGTCATTTTGAGACTTCGATTTTGTTGTTGTTAGTTGTTGTTTATGGTTTAATTTGATTTTGATGGTTTTTCTTGGGTTTGATTTTGCAGGCATTTACTTGGATTTATTCTGTTTGTGGGATTGACTGTTGTAAATGCAGCCCATGTGTCACAAGCTGTTGATCTTTTTGGAATTTTTAGGTACTTTTTTGAATTTTATTTCAATTTTATTTTATTATTTTGTTTGTTTTTTATTTTATTTGTGTCCAAGGTTTGAAATCTGAAGTTATTAGTGGTTTCATTGACCAAATTAGCTGAATTCATCTCATGAGTTGTGCATCAGATTTCAAATTGTTTTTAGTTAATTTAAGAAACAGTGAAGTTCATAGAGTAGATTTAGTAATCCAAGTTCAAATTTGTTGGGAAAGTTTCAAAGTGAAACTATTGGATCACCTAGATGTAAAATTTTTTAAATTACAAATACATATAAAGCGATGATAAAACACTCTTAAGGATCATATGCTTTATTCCAATTTCAAAGTAATTATTTTTCATATTGGAATATTCACAACTAGATTGATTGAAGGATAATATCGGAATAAACACGTTCGAATCTACCACATACAAGGATCAACTAGGAGTTTCTTGAAACTAATGATTCATTCTTTTATTCGATGGTGGGACTCCCAAATATTTAAATCACTTTTAAAATTCCAAATCTAAGGTCATGCATCAAATTTGTATTATCTTAACATATATAACCACAATTAAGGATTACAACTAATGTAGTAACAAAAACTAAAAAAAATAATTCTTGTATATATGCTTCTTTTAGGCTAAAAATTGACTTATTAAGGTGGTTGTTAATTGTTAAACCATACTTAACAATTATTTAATTTACAATCTACTTAGTATCTTGTAGTTTTTGTGGTCTTTGAGTAGGTGAACCTACTTAAGGTTGTTCATCTTCATGTAATTAGAAACTCATTCAAGTTTTCGCGTGTTAATAATATTAATTATCCACCGTTTAGCAAGAAATTCATAGTTTTAGCAAAAAACTTTCTCATGTAACACAATAGAGTAACATAGTAGGTAATGAAGGTGAAGCAACAAATTAAACTACTCACATTTTTCTTGTAACAGAAAGCAACATTGCTGTCAATCCTAAAAACATACTTAACACTTCATCCACAATTATAGCAATGTACTATTAGCTTTTGCTTGCTAATTCGAAAAATCGTGTGATATCAGCTAAATTTTCCTGTCAATTTCTTGGATATTTCAGGACTTTTCCCTCAGGAGCAGATACAAATTCATCCCATGATTCGACTAAACTCTTTATGGTAAGCAAGTTTCTTGGTTCATCTTCGACTTACTAGTAAATCAGGAACTGGGTTTCTTAGCTTGTTTACGACTATTGTTTTCAGGGTGTTACAAACATGGTTAATTTGGAGAACATATCTCATCAAGGAGCTAATCACATAGTGACAGAAGCAGTAAGATGGCCATTTTATGTATACTTAGCTGGCTCAATGTTCTGCCTTCTTTCGAGTAGTGTATGCCATCTCTTCTGCTGTCACTCCCACGACATGAACCTATGGCTCCTACGAATGGACTACACCGGGATCACTGTCATGATCATCACTTCGTTCTTCCCTCCAATTTACTATATCTTTCAATGCCAACCCCTCTGGCAGATTACCTATCTTGCAGGGATATCAATCTTTGGTGCATTCACAATCGCGACCCTACTATCTCCTACACTGTCATCAGGAAAATGTCGTGCCTTTCGTGCAATTCTCTTTGTGTCCATGGGCTTATTTGGACTTATCCCTGCAGTACATGCTTGTGTCTTGAACTGGAATAACCCGAGAAGGAATCTGACTCTTGCATATGAGTCTGGTATGGCCTTGTCTTACCTTATTGGGACCGGATTCTATGTGAGCCGTGTCCCAGAGAGGTGGAGGCCTGGTTGGTTTGATCTTGCAGGTCACAGCCATCAGATTTTTCATGTGTTTGTGCTGTTGGGTGCACTCGCTCACTACGGTGCTGCCCTGCTTTTCATGGAGTACAGAGACGCGGTTGGATGTTGACAATCACCCCATGATTAACCTTGGGTTCACCTTCATTTATTCATCTTCATTATATTCTATAATTTATTGTAAGCTTGATTAAATATTTGAAAGTTTCATAGGATTTGTAGATAAACAAAAATTATTATTATTCATTTATTAAGCTGTTCAAGGCTCTGATGAGTAGTTCAGCAACACAACATTTGCTTATATATTTGTTGTAATCTTTTAACAACTAGGAAATCCAAGACAAGAAGCAATTGTACAATACTTTGTATCAGTTTTATGTATAAATTTGTTGCACAATCACACGAATTTTATCGAATTCAGTTAATTAGTTGTATTTAACTCGAGGCATGATTTAACTTACAAGTTACAATCCCTTTAGCATTGCCTTGCATCAACTGCAAGAACTCGAGGCATGATTCTACAGTTCCTTCAGCATTGCCTTGCATCAACTGCAAGAACTCGAGGCATGACTCTACAATCCCTTTAGCATTGCCTTAAACTCGAGGTATTACTCTACAATCCCTTTAGCATTGCCTTAAACTCGAGGCATTACTTTACAATCCCTTTAATTAGCATTGCCTTGCATCAACTGCAAGAACTCGAGGCATGACTCAACGACGAGCATGACTATGTTTAATCCTACAGCAACGATGCTTCCCTAGTTCTTCAATCAGAAAAACAGAAGTCAGATACTCCTCCCCAAACTCAGAAAACGCCTCGAGTGTAGCCATCTCCTTACACTCAATCATGAGGTTCAACTCTTCAGCCCACTCAGGAAACAACCCTGCAAACCCATCTTCCAATAGCGCCTTTGCTGTCTCCAAATTCTTCGGTGTCATAGCAAACTTCTCCATCTGAAAAAACCTGTTATAACTAGGCTTTAAACCCACCCACTTGATCTCAATCTTAGCTCCAAACATTGTAGCCTTTTTCTTCCATTCACCACCCAATTGTCTTTGCAATTTCGGAGGGAACTCAACTAATGGTTGTCTAAGGAACGCTAGGACCTTCAACGATCACGGATCACAATCAGTAAGAGCACATATAGGAACATCAACCAAATCGGCCTTAAGCTTCCTAAGGAAACAATAAGTAGCTAAATCGCGCTCCCCTTTCACAACCACACAACGTGTGTTACTCTTCTGATGAAAGTCAAAACGTGTCAACAAATTTTCCAACCCTCCTTCACCTCCAAGCCCAAAGACTATTACACACACTTTCTAAGGTACAATCTTTGTAAGGCCCAAATTTAATTGTACCCCAAGAAACATTCATATTATTTATAGGTATTTTTGTAAGGGACTTAATTTGATCACGTAGGTTACCTATGGTGCAACCCCAATTAAGTTCTATAAGAAATTCTCTATCCGCCTCCACGAGTACGCGGAGGCGGAGTGTAAGGTAGATGGTGGGGTTGCGGTCAGAAAGACCGCATTCGGAAAGAGAGACCGTGTCAAGGGGTTCGAGAGGGAGGAGAGGGCCATAAGGAGAGGTGAAGTGGTAGGGTGATGAGGAGGTTGAGGGGAGGAGGAGGAGTAGTTGATTTATAGGGATGTTATATTTTTCTTGGACAAGTGTCTTGAGATCATTGATCGTGGCACGGGGTTCGAGGTTGGCAGCGAATTCGGGTTTTCCGGCGGTGGTGGTTAAGGGTACTACGGTGATCTTCATATTATGTGGTGGAGAGGGGTTTTTGGTGTTTGAATGTTTCATAGGGAATGCAAGCAGATTGATGGTAAGGTAGTTAAGTCTTCGTTGACTTTTAATTTGGATCAAGTAAAACTTGGAGATCAAGGCTTAATAATTGGGATTGGGGAACCTATCACAAATTTAGGATATGTTTCTATTTGACTTACTCGTATTTTGCTTGAATTTATTTAAAACCATCTAAAATACTACATCGGCTTCTAATATTTTACTCTTATAAATACTCCCCCTATTGATAGTCCCTTATAAGGCCCTGATTGATCACCTTAATTTTGCTGAACTAAACTTACTTTTACTGAACTCAACTTAATTTTATTGAACTGAACTTAATTTTACTGAACTTAAATTATTTTTACTGAACTGAAATTATTTTTACTGATTTTTTATTATAATTCTTCTTTAAGAAAATTAAATTTTACTGAACTGAACTTATTTTTACTAAACTGAAATTATTTTTACTGAACTGAAATTAATTTTACTGAACTGAACTTATTTTTACTGAACTGAAATTATTTTTACTTAATATTATTTTTTAAGGTTATTTTAGATTTTAACACCTCACAAAAACACGAAAATTGATTTTAACACACCCATAAAAATATTGATTTTAACACCAGATAAATTTCCAAAAAATTGGCATTACCACCACTTAACAGTTTCCATCCAAAAATTCCGTTAAGTGTGGCCCACATTAACACGTGTCAGCATTTTATTTGTTCAAAAAAAAAGAGAAATTAAAAAAAAAAAAGAAAAAAAAATAAAAACCTAAAACTATCCAGCCACCACCACCACAGCACCACCCCCGCGCCACCGCCGGCTTCCCCCCAACTCACCACATCCCTCCATGAAACCACCACCCCAACCCACCTGAACACTCCCCCTCCCTTTCCCGCAACCGTAACGCCCCAAAAACCACCAAACCCAAAACCCTCGTCCCCCCTAAACGGCCACGAATCCGGCCTTAAAAGGCCGAATCGGCCGGTTAAGGCCACTAATCCCTAAAACCGGCCAATTTCGTGGAGAGATGTGGTGAGTTGGGGGGGAAGCCGGCGGTGGCGCGGGGTTGGTGCTGTGGTGGTAGCTGGGTAGTTTTAGGTTTTTATTCTTTTTCTTTTTTTTAAAAAAATTTTTTTAATTTTTTTTCTTTTTTTTTTAAATTTTTTTGGCCAATAATAACACGACACGTGGTTTATGAACCCACTTAACGGATTCCTAAACAGAATCAGTTAAATGGTGGTAATATCAAATTTTTAGAAATTTATCTGGTGTTAAAATCCTTTTTTTTATGGGGGTGTTAAAATCAATTTTTGCGTTTTTGTGAGGTGTTAAAATCTAAAATTTCCCTTTTTTTAAGGTGAATCAAACATGGTCTAAATATTTTTCACGGGAATTAATAAACACAAATAAGAATAGTAATACATTGAAAAGGTAAATTGACACTAGGTATGCAAAAAAGTAGAGAGATAAAGTAATAAAAGTACATGAGAAAACAAAATAAATTTGCAAATTGGAGGAAATTTTCGTAAAAAATTAATATTAGTTGGAAAAAGCAAATGAGATGAGCAAAATTTGTTCATGAGGAACTATCATTTAGGAACGGAGGGAGTAATACCTTTCAAGAGTAATGCGAAGCGGAGGTATAACAACCAAAATATATACAACTAAAATAATGTCTTAATTAAAGATTACAAAGAATAAAAGATAGCAACCAAAATATATACATTAGCTAAAATAGAAAAATATGTATATATATGAGATACGGAATAATATCATATGAGCGTATATGTATGAAAGATATACATTAACTAAAATAGGAGAGTATATGTATGAGTTAATATTATAGGAGAGTATATGTATGAGATATATACATTAGTTAAAATAGGAGAGTATATGTATGAGATAATATCATATCAAGTATGAGATAGTAGATAATATTTCTAATATTTCATACAGAGCAAGCATCAGTGTCATTGAGTATAAAACCGAAAATAAAATACATACAAAATCCGTTGTTAAATGCACCCGCTATCTTTCCTGTCGAGTCTTGAGGCAAGAAAAAACTTTTGCTTTTCCCATTTCTTCACTCCGAAATATATTTCGACAAAATCAATACTTATATCCAATCAAAACCAGACAATAGGATTCGGTTGTAAAAAATAATTGTGAATACACCTAATTTCATATATCACGTAATTTGTTAATATTATTAATAATTTTAATATAATTTGTTTCATATTGATTGATCTCATTAATTTAAATTTGATAAAACCTTAAGACAATATATTTCATTTTTAAATTAATCAACAAATGTCTATCTCAAATTGTTCATTAGAATCATACAAAAAACAAAACACAACTGTTCTCGATCAATCTCTTATGTTGGTAATTAGGTTTCGATACTTGTTGTAACATTAATGTTAGAATATGATAAATATTCTAGATATTATTCTGTATAGAAGGATATATTTTATGAATATTCTGTAATTATCTTTTGAGATTTCCTAACGTAATTAGGACTCACCGTTGTAACCCTATACATATAATTAATGGAATACACTCCAACTCAAGGAGTTCATAGTATCTTACAATTAATATAAATACAAACCGTACCTTGTTTGAATTGTATGAATATCATGATTAACATTTATAATCTTTAAAAATAACCTAAACAATATAAAACTCTATCAAATGTCAACTTTTATACTACTACACACTCTATTAAATTATCATAAATCTATGTTAAAATAATAATATTACTAAAATTATCATCCTAAATAATATCATAAGATCGGAAAAATTTATTAGTATTATATGACTAATATATATAAAGCTAAATTTTTAGCCGGCCATGAAACAGTGATAGTTGTTGCTCCTACTTTTCGTCAAGTTTCGTGGAACGACAAGTGTCGTGCCACGTAGATAACACTATTAGTATGACGTGTAGGAATTATTTAAATATATTTTAAAATCAAAAGTAAAAAAAAATAATTACGACGGATAAAAAAGAAATGCAACAGATTTTGTAGGTGATGAATCTCTCATAAAATTGACAGTAAGTTACTACTCGCCCAAAAACTAAGTCGCGTGTTATTACACACCATCTCACAAGCACAAGCCAAACTGGCACATGAGAAACTCACATAATATGATTTAACATTAACTTCAACCAAGATTTAAGATATGTATCCAAGTGAAAATATATTCAAATAAGATCTTATAAGATACGTCCCGTGAAGTAGTTTTATTTTAGCAACTAAAAACTGAGGTAGTAATTCTGATTATGCTCTTGCATTATTTCCACCTTACTTAACCATTTTACGTAGTATTAAATGAAACGCTTAAGAGATACATCGAGCATACTGTTTTCATCAACTTGACACTTATTCCAAACAGGAGATAATGAATGCTTCAATATTATACCAGACTAAGCACTGGAGCTCACTTGAAAACTGAAACCAGTCAACCACCACGTCGAACAGATTAAGTTTAATATTACAGGAATGAATGAAATGAGCACAAATCTAAAGACAATTCACTATGCTGTACATTTTCGGAAAAATAAGACATGAAACAGGGAACGAATCCAGGGAAGGGATAGAATAAGTGCAGCTAGTGCTTATTTTCCATACTAGCATTTGCACCTTTATTGTTACACTTGGACCGATGCTACTAGTTGACAGTGGTAGTATAATTATATGATTATTAAGCGACTAATCGCTACTGAACCAACTGTAAATACTGTGATTCTGAATTATATCAAAAGCAGTACATGATGTTTCTGAAACATGAACCATACATCAGATTCTGATCAGGCTTTAGAATTTCCGAGTTTTGTCACAATGGACTGGATTTCAGAGCTGCTGCACCCTTCCCCCACCTCTCCAATATTGGGGCTGTCAAGCGACACAACATGTGTAAGAGGGTAGTTTCTGTTGGCGTGGAGAGATTTAAATGCTTTATTGCTGACTCCCTTCATGATTACGCTCTTATGGACTCCACCAAGCAAGCCTTCATAATCGGTGTCTCCACATTCTCCAACAAAGACCACCATCTTTGACAGATCAACGCCCCAACGAACATATAGATACCTGAATATTAATTATGTTTCTTAGGTTAGACGGATTTTAAAACACCAACCTACCAGGTCTCTAGACATGTTCATATTTTTCATCTCTTTTTTGGGGGATGAGGTTAGGGAAACAAGAGAGGGAACCCCAAATAATAACCTTCTGAGAGTTCTGACATTAGAAAAGCAAGAAATAAAAGAGGATTTTTGGCTAAACTAATTGATGACAGTACAAAAAATGTACTCCCTCAGACTACAGGCTTATTTCTTCCACTAATTTAGGGGTAAAAGGGTTAACAACATCAAATAAGATAGATTCAGATGCACTAAATTTAGATTAAGTTCAGCTAAATGAGTTCACAGAAATTAAAATCTACCCAAATTCAATTTCCAACTAAAATAAGGTTTAATAAGTTCATATAAAATAAAAGTAAAAATAAAAATAAAACCTAGGTGAATCGAATGTACCCTAAACAATGAGACTATGAAATCAAATGATGTACAGTATCTGTTAAATTAGCTCTGGGACAGGATCTATCTAAGGTTTCAAGAAAAAGTGAGATTCTCAGCAAAAAAAAAATGTATTATCATGATTATCATCAAATAGTAAAGCTTTGTTCCTTCGACAAGGGATGCAGAAGAGGTTAATAGATGTAGACGAGATTTTAAATTTAAGTTATATAAAACCCCTGAGATACATTACCAAAAAATGCAATTCCATATTACAGGGGTAGTTTTACCTGAGGGCTTGAGAACGAGATGCCAGTACGGGAATCACATTCATTTTAGTCCCGTTTTGACAATAGATCACATGGCAGCGAAGACCCTGAATTCTCATCGACTTGCGGAGCTCCTTGCTAGGGGGAACCTGCAATGAGGAGAGCAATAAGTGATAATTGACATCAACTATTGTGTTCACCAATTCAAAGTTTCACCTTGTAAAACATACCTTATCTTGGTTCTTTATCTTGAAAGCAAAGCAATAATCCGTAGAAACTTCATTATCTTCAGTGACAACTTGTTCTTCGTTATCATCTTTCTTTACAGCAATTGAAGCTGCCCAGCGAAGCAAAGTCCTCCGGAGGCCTTCTCCACCCCACCTGTATTCAATGTGTGAATGGTAATCCGAATCTGCTACAATTGGACTCTCCTCGGGGGTCAGAGATGAATAGTACAAATCACTGCCACTGTTGCATATGTATGCATCAAAGTCATTAAGATTGAAGCCCTTTGATAGCAGATATGACTGAATCTCTGGCATAGAATAGGAAGTTGACAATATAAACCCAATGGAACCTTCAGTCTTCTCCTTACCGGCAGCATCAAATATCCTTCGAATAATATCAGAAAGTCCATCTTCATAATCTCCATCTACAGCAATAACATAAATATGTTTTCTTCTTCTAAATGCTGGATATTTACTAGAAGCCAGATCTCCTTTATCCGAGAACCTAGCCTTACGAGCATCTTTGGGATCACCCTTTGACCATGACATAACAGCATTCTCAAGATTGTTTTTGCCATCATTTCCGAGACTCTCAACATCTTCACCCTTATCTCCATCTAATGATATTGAGAATTTCAAATTTAGGGATATATCTTTTATGTCTCTTAACGAATCACTTGGAGATTCAGTCTCCTCATTTTCAATCCCTTCATCACTAGGTTTTTGCCACTGAGGCTGTCTTTGTCTGCAACTTGCTATTCGAGATAAGTATGTCTTGCAATGCTCAGGCCACGAGTACAAATGGATATTTTTCAGTCCATTCTGCCGACATTTTGCCCATAATTGCTTATCTGCAACAAGCTTCAGCAAAGCAGTAGCAAGAGACTGCTGCTCATGAGGATCCACAAGCAAGCCATTGTCGAGAACCTGTTAACAGTATTATGTTAAAATGACAAATCAGACTACACAATTACACAGCCTTGATGTAGAAAAAGCAACAGATTTCAGAAAAGTGAACTGGCTTCATTAGCTAAGTTACCCTCTGGATATCAACAGGGCCTCCATTTTTTGTAGCGACCATTGGTAAACCATGAGCTGCTGCCTGCAAGAAGTAATAAATGCTGACCAAAATCTTAAGAGAAAAATATGCGCAAAAAAAGTTATAAGTAGATTTGCCAAGTTAGATAAGTACCTCTATTAAAGTTAGCCCGAATGGCTCAATAAAAGCTGGGTTAATAAAGACTCCCTGCACCGATACAGAAACCATTTAAAAATAGATCGGATTGCTACTTTTGGACAGAGGATAAAACATTACCGGACAAAATAAGGGATTATACAAAACTACAAAAACTTAATTATGCGTAAGTACCTTCGTCTTTGCTGCCAAACGATAAATTTCAGGAACATCAGCTTGGTTGTGATGTTTGGGATATGCTACTTGACCATAAAGGTCATATTTATCAATTAGCTTAAGCACTGACATGAGAACTGAAGAGCTGGTGCTAGACATCTCGTCAATACCATCCCGATTACCCATAATAAGAGTCTGCAAATTTCAAAGGCAAAAAAATCAATACAGTAAAAATAGTGGAGGTGGCATAATTAAGAAGTTCAACTATTAAAACATAATATCATGGACGTAAACGTACAAGGTTAGCTAGCTCCCTTAATGGACGACATTCTCCAAATGCTTTGACCAAAGTCGTAATGTTCTTCTTTGGGTCAGGCCTAGCAAGGGCAAGGATCATTGGTTTTCTTGGGTTAGTAAAGAAGCGCATTATCTGCAAAACAAATATATACAATAAATTAAACTCAGAAACAAGAAGGTGTAGTATAAGGGTGTAAACTGGTGATGTGGTGCATAATGTTAGAGAACCAGCATCCAACCATGAACAAATAGTCGGAAAAAAAAACGAAAGTTAGTGCTGAAAAAGGGTAAATGAGAGCATGTATAAGACTAAGACCTCAGTCCAGATAGGCGGAGGTGATGTGGGATGTTCTTCAATTTCTTCTGCTTCACCATCCAAATCAACCTCATGTGGAACAATATGATGGAATTCCATTCCAGGAGGAATAACCTGCAGAACATGACAAACTTTCAAAAGCAGATAAAAAAAGTGAAGTACATAAACATGCAACCTAGCAGTTTGGGTGACCTCAGATGGAGCAAAATATTAACATGTTTTTTAAAATCCATCAGTCAAAAAGCTTATATTCATTAAAAACAGCTTTTCAATGATGTCCTTTGAGACAGACCAAATCAATCAGCAAAGATCTTTTAGCCAATGCATGTCTCATCAAGTGTCCCAAAACATTTTCACCTTGCCAAATTACGAAAAATAAAGGTTATTTATTCCGTACAAGATGAGTTTAAGTGGCAACATCTGGAGGAAAGGCCACGAGATGCTGGGATGAGATACAAAGCACATGAAAATTATGCCCTTATGAGTACTAGTATATACTGAGTAGCATACCAGAAAGCTTAACAGGTAAAAGTGTAATGTAACTGCCGCTAGATACTAGAAGTGTAATGTAACTGCTGCTAGATACTAGAAGTGTGAACTGCAGCATCAGGCACTAAAGACACAAGTAATGTGGAATGGTTGAGTTCCAGACTTTATTAAAGACACAATGAGTAACACAATATGTGATCACAGCTACAAATTGTCTGAAAGCTATACTATGCATGGAATCACATGCACCATAATTCATTCACCGGCCACATGGGTCAGCCAAAATCCTTTTTTTTTTTTTTAAAAAAAAAAAAAAGGACAGAACTAGCTAGGAAAGGTTTTTGGAGCTTTGATTCAAAGAATGATCAACAAGACCAAAAAGATTTCAGATTACAGTTGTCATTATCTTATCATCAAAGTGGTTATTCAAGCATCCAAAAATTCAATATAAAAAACCAGCAACCAACTGGCCATAAACTTTAAATCTATATACCAGTATCAGTTTCAGTGAAACTTACAACCATACGGGGCATGAACCTTCCATAACAGCTTACACCACGCTTCATCCTTGCTCGGAGTTTACGTTCTAGCACAGGATCAAACCCATCATAGAGCCGCCACTGCTCTTCTATTTCTTGTCTTGTACTAGTTATGACTATCTCAGAGGCATCAAGTGATAGCTCTTCGGCTTCTATCCTACGCATCATTTTGTATGTATTATTTATGTCCTCTTTAGACATTCGACCTTGTTTGAGGAGCTGCTCTAACTTGTCTCGGCCAAGAGAATGCCCAGTTAAAAGCATGGGAACATTTAGAGCACCAGAGAGCAGAGCAGCAGAATCACCAGCATCAGCATAATGTCCATGAATGGCAACTGGCCAAACTGTTTCCCCACCACCAATTTGTTCACCTAGAACTTTGGACATCTGAACTATGTGGTTTAAAGCACCATCAACAAATTCTGGAATGTAAGGCCAAAGCTCTTCTTTTGGAATATATTTATCTCTAGGTCCAAAAGGTATACGAACAATGTAAGCACCACTGCTCTCTCCCATCTCATCATCATCATTATCATCATCAAAACCATTGGAATCTGTTCGATTCAGCATCTCAGTAGGCTCTCCGTAACTCCAATCCACATCAGGAGATGAAACCTGCCTAGTTAGCAAATCAACTCGATAAACTCCTGGCATCGAACCAAGAGCCCTTGCAAGCTCAACCACATATTTCACCTGTAATCCAAAGGCAGAAATATTCATACTTATAAGTCTGTCATAATGAGATAAAGCTATGAATCACACAAACTTAGATTAATGTTACCTGACCACCAGTATCAGAATCACGACCAAGTTCCATATTTTCACCTCGTATCAAACCATGAAGACTGCATATAATCAAGTGGGGGAAAAAAATTAAGCCGCACTATATAGGGGAGGGGAGGGGGGGACTTTGCAAATTTATCACAGTTAATGAGCCGCAAGAAATATATAGCATGGATCAAAAAATTAATAAAGCACCCCTAAAATATTTGATAAAGATATAAAATTTCAACATGGTATCAGAGCTTAGGCCTTAGGTTCGTATGATTCTGGTGACAGATCCTCAATTATTCTTAAACTTACGGTATTTGCCATTGTATTTTAATAAACATGTAAATCACAGCAAAATTCTTGCTATAACTTGAACCTCTGATAATTCACAATATAACATATTCTATTTTTTAATAATTGGTTTGATACTCCAATTTATCCACCTACATCATAACCACAAATATATCGTCACCCTTTTGTGTCTGGTAGATTAAAATCATCAATCGACTAAGCCATTAAATCAATCTAGATTTTTCTATTATAACTCAATCTTCAAGACCAGAGAATGATAGCTCCACAAAATCTGGTTCTAGAGGTACAGTGACTTATAGTTCTTATGAAGTTTACATCATGCTAATCATTCAAATAACTGTTCAGCCAATGAAACATTGGAGTGGAAGAAACTAAATTTTTGGAAAAGATCAAGTGAGGTACTGAGGTTTCTCTTAAAGCCAAGAACAAGCTCAATTTTGTAGAAAAATACTTACAAGATATCTGCTCCTAAATCTATATTCAATAAGAACCTGTGATATAAGAAAAAATATTGCAAGAAGCATTTGGTATTTGCAAAAATCTAAAATAAATTGAAATGAGATATAATGATGACTAGGGAGCAAGAACTTATACGCGCAAAAGGATCTAATTATCATGGAGCAAGACCATCAGTCAGTGACTGATTACCTAACCAAGAGAAAACCCTTAGGAACCAATATATTTCTGTTGTAAACTTATTAATATATAGAAGAGAAGCTGCAAAAGCAATGGCATAATGGTTCAAAATCAGAGGCCCTCTAGCAATTTCTCATGGCTTGATAGATAATGATGGTGTTTTGAGGGTGAGATTGAAACAAGACAAAAAGAAAAGTCAAGAATTAATGAGCAACTCGATCTTACTTACAGAGTTACAGGCCTTGAATCGGTTCGAGTAGCATTATTAAATTCCACATCTCCACGCCTTATATCATGCTATTATTGTTCATCAAGGAATTCTACTTCAAGGTGCTACTAAGACCACATACTACAATCCAGATTCAAGAAAATCAAGCATGGATAAACATCAATCAGCTAAAATTCTAATTAGTAACCCATCATATTCAAGGCTTCCTCATAAGGGTAATACAGAAAAATGTCTTAAGCTGCTGCAAGGCTTATTTGGCTATCCAGGTTACTAGAAGAACTATAAGTCTGACTCTACACATCGTGTTCTTCTGCACTGTAATATCCATTCTACAGTTAATACAGCTAAAAAACCCAATGTATCATGAGCGTGCTACACATATGAAGATTGATTTCCATTTTACATAGAGAGTCTGCCTTCAATTGGCAGGTACTAAAAAAAGATGCATCAAAATACACTTTAGGAATTTATCATAGTAGTACCTAAAAAGGACTATCCATTCTTAGCTTGAGGAATGTGTAGGATTGAACTGAAATTGGCTGCAGAGAGCCCATATAACAACAGTACATTCACCAGCTAGGACAAGTTTTAGATTTTCTACTTGCCTCTCTCTCTCTCTCTCTCTCTCTCTCTCTTCTCTCTCTCATAAAATGTTACTTGTAAAGACTCTATATAAGAGAGAAAGAGCCATATGGAGTATCCCGAGCAGTAAAGCAAAACTCTCTATGCAGCCGTTTTCAACATTTACTTCACACTATTTAACTCTGATGCAACATGGAGTATTACCTTATCAAAACAAGGTAGAGCTTTTTCCCCTTTTGCTGACTGATCCAAGTCTCCATGGCATCAAGAGAATTTATTCTTGGCAACCTAGGACGGTTGCTTTCACCATGAGCTGAAACATCCTTCTCTCCCTCGGACAAGTCCTCCGACATTTCAGCAGTTGCTTCTCGACGACCTCTCTCAAGCTCCATGCGTCGTTTTGCCTTTCGCTGAGCCTCTTCATTCTCAAGCTGTACATCAAGCCAAAAACATGAAAAACACATGTATATACCAAGCATCACATGCCCTGATAGTACTCTATAATTCAATACAGAGTTGACTTAACAGCCAAGTGAAAGACCATATCAGTCAAAATAAGCAAAGTAATACATAGTACAATACTTCAAAAGCAAAAAGTCAAATTAACCAATTAAACACCATTTTATGCACACGAATAATTTGACTGACCAAAAACCTTTTATTATTGAAAAAGGCAGAAGTGTCAAAATCAGCAATTGACTAACCATATGATGTACGGAGTATTTATACACTACCCATTAACCAAAAAGCACACCTCTCCCCTATATAAACCAACCTTATACACCCCATCCTAGCCAACGCTTCAAGGTATCTTAGCTAGGTACACCCGATTGTATAATCGACACGCCAATTCCAACAACACTGAACAACCAACCAACCCAATAATCATACACCCAAATCATAATTATAAGTCTCATTTACTACAACGGAGTACTTTTTTTTTTTCCAAATTTCGCGGTCATTCTGAACAGCCTCTATCCATGAAACTCAAATAATCAGTAACACACAGAAATTAACCCAAATATCATCAAAATGGAAATCAAATTAATAAAATTGCAATTACCTGCTTCTTCTGACGAGCCAAATTCCAAATTCTCCAACACATATTCTCCAATCTAGTATTCCTCTCTTGAGGACTTCTCGTTGCTTGCGCCTGAAAACCCATCAAATCATGCAAAAATCAAACCTTTTTTCATCAAAAAAAATTTTTTACAACCCCACTTAATCAGATCAATCAAAACTCCAAAAGAAAATGATTAATTTACCAAAATTCACATAAAAAATCAAAAGATCAACACACTAAAATCAGCAATCTAACAAAATTCGATGAAAACAATGAAAAATTACCCGAGCCCATGAACGATGAAGATCAGTTTCATCAAAACCAGTGATAACTTCTTCAACAAAGTAACGAGTAGGACTAAATCTTCCTCTTTCTCTCAATAAAAGAGATGATTTTGCATCATCAAGACCAGGACCCACATCCAGAATTGCCTCTAAATAACTGTTAATCCAATCATTTCCCGCCATTTTTGTCAATCAGAAGAAACTACCCCAATTACTAGCAATTGTGATTTTTCTTCTTGTTAAAGTTGAGATTTTTCTGGGTTTCTTTTGTTTCTGAAAAAAGGGTATAAAAAGATGGGTGCTTTTTTCGAGAGTAGAGGTGCAGCAGAAGAAGAGGGTGATTTGATTTTGGGGAGTGTGTGTAATTGTATGTGTGCCACAGAGTTGTAGGAAATGTTGTGTTGAGGAGGGAGAGTGCCGATTAATTTGTTGTGTATAATTATGGTAATTTTGATTATTATTATTATGGTATATAAAAAAGACTTATTTTGTCCGAAATTATTAGTCACGGAGTCACATTGATATTGTAATTTAAAGTATTTATTATAGTAAATCTAGTGAAGTAATCATGAAATAAACGTAATAAAATAAATAATTCTTCCAGAAAAATAATTAGTGCTCTGCATAAACTATGCAAACTATGCATGGAGTACTTTTAGTATTTCAAAAAACTTTTTAATGTAATCAAAATTTGATACCTTACTCTTTTCTCTACTCTCAAAATGTCTGACCCTCTAGATCCAAAAAAAATGTGAGAATTAAGGTACGGTCAGGATTTTTCTTCTTACCTTAACAAAAATCAAAATTTGATTGCCTTTGATAATTAATGTACACATATAGTATAAGAAAGTATCTCAACATATAAGATCTTATATTAATTATTACTCCCTCCGTCCCTAAATTACATTCCTCTTTCTCTCAATTATGTGAGGAATAAATGCTAGAAAGAGGAATGTATTTTAGGGACGGAGGGAGTACACATTATAATGATATACTATAAAAATAAGCTATAAATATTATTGTCAAAATATTTAAAACATGATGCATAAGATTTTTGTGAAATGGAAAAGGTAGCTGATTGAATTATGAATTAAAGTATGAACATTACGGCCCTGTTTGATTCACCTTAATTTTGCTGAACTTAAATTATTTTTACTGAACTGAACTTATTTTTACTGAACTGAACTTAATTTTACTGAACTGAAATTATTTTTACTGAACTTAAATTATTTTTACTGATTTTCTATTATAATTCTTCTTTAAGAAAACTGAATTTTACTTAACTGAACTAAATTTTACTGAACTGAAATTAATTTTACTGAACTGAATTTATTTTTACTGAAATGAAATTATTTTTACTTAATATTATTTTTTTAAGGTGAAGAGAACAGGGCCTAAGAGTCTTACAAAACCATGTTGGGTAAAAACTAGTAATTTATTTTATGATTTTAATTTGAAATATGATTCTGGCAAAGTATGATTGCATGAAATTATATGCCAATTTTCACAAACCATAAAAGAGAAGGGACGTAAGAAACTAGACCAAGTTTGTTGGGTTCTTTTAGTGATTAAGCATTTGTCATTTAGTGACTTGTTAGCTGGTCTTAAAGTAATTGTGTATTAAAAATAAAATTGATACAAATTATGAATAAAATTAATATAAACTACTGTTTTTTGTGTTTTATGTGAATTCTAAAAAGAAAAAGAGGGAATCATTAATGATTTTTAGGTAACATGTCATGTGTTATGTTATGTTAATCATCCGGGTTTGTTAGGGACTTTGGTGTTGTATTTTCTTTGATTATTTTTTTCTTTGATTATTAAGTATGGGGTATAATTTTTTCAATTTTTGGTCTTAATAAATTGATATGATCAAATATTCTATATTATTGTTGTTGTTATTATTATTATACAAAGTAAGTATGACAAAATCTCCATAAACCACTTCTATCGAATTTAGATGATTCCGTCAAAAATAATTAAATTCACTAAAGAAGCTGGGATTCAATTAATTTCAAATCCTAGTCTAGATACAACTCAAAACTTTAATTAATATCTAGTGATAATTACTTCATACATTATACGTATACATCAACTCTTATTGGTTGAAGTATTATTAAGTTAGGAATGCATGATAATATCACGCGTCATTTAGTGTAATCAATGTTAGTTTTACTCTAATATTTTTCACTTTTTTCTCTTATCTAATACTCTCCACGACGCTTATTAACTTTTGCCTTTTTTTATTAATCAGTATATTTGTATTTAGTTTAGCTAGATTTCCCTAACAAAATAATGCAATACGGAGTGGTAAATAAAAATATATATATATGAATATTGGTCCACTAATATGTGAGGATGAGATTCTGGTACTTCGTATATGCAGTAGTTTTCACGCAATTTAAGGAAGATGAACAATCATTTTCCATACGTAAAAAATAAATAAATAAATAAACAATTTTCACCAATTTGATATTTTAATTTTGGACTATACTTGCCTCCTTTCGCCACGTACTATGTTTGGAATAATATAATAATTTGATTGAAATTAGCAGTCCGAGTTAAAAAGAAAATAGCTAAGGAATCATTCGAGGTATTATTCCATTTGGAATTTTGGACAATGATGCATAATTGACCTTAATTAATTCATTAATTGTATATATGGTGCTATAATTTGCCCCCCCACTTATTTTTGTTTTTAAGATTTGTTAGGCAAACTTCTAAAAATTGATTTAATAAAAATATACAACATGGACGTACACTAGATACTAAAACAAATTACTAAGGGTCTGTTCATATTTACTGAACTGAACTGATTGGAGTTGAACTGAATTGAAAAATTAAATGCATAAAACTGAACTGAACTGAACTGATTGGAGCTGAAATGAACTGAACTGAACTGAAAATAAGTAAATATGAACAGGCCCTAAGCATATTATTATTGACATTTTATACATTTCAATATAGTGTAAGACGTTTGTCTTGAATTGATTGCAAACTCTCAACTTCACATAATTATTTTGTAATTTTGTAATTTGTATACAACTATTATCGGACATGTTTTTATTTAAACAAAAAATTTATGTTGAAAATAATGCATGAACCCAAATGTGAGTTACAAATTTATTACTCCGTATCATATACATACTTTAATTAATTCGTGTCAAAAATCTTCTCCGCTCGTACTTTAATTATTGTAAATTCAACTATTATTACAAGTGACAGTGTATATTATTCCCTCCATTCCTAAATTACATTCTTATTTCTAATATTTATTGTTCACTTAATAGAGGAAAGTAGAAATGTAATTTAGGAACGGAGAGAGTAACATTTATTCATTGATTATTTGACAATTCATATGAAACCAATCATCATTAGTAAAAAAATGTACTACAGTATGCGATAGTGCCGACACTGTTAGGATTAGCCCACTAAAATACGTTATGTTGTTAATTATCCAGTATTATATATGCATATCGGCTTAATCTCCATAACAACCTTTATTACCATGGCCACGTGGAGAGCTGCTTTCGATCACGTAGGCACCTGTTGCCTACAAAGTCAACTTGCCACCTATGTCCATAGGTGGCACTAGCTTGGTTGTGATCCTATAAAGACCCAAGCATATATTTTATTGTTAAGGTATAATCTTTTTTATCTCTCTACTGGCCTGTTCACTTCAGATTAATTTTAGTTCAGTTCAGCTCCAATCAATTCAGTTCATTTCAGTTCAGCTCCAATCAGTTCATTTCTGTAAATGTGAACATGCCCTAACTAGCTCTAGCTCTAGCTCTATTTCTTTCTCTCTCCCTCTCTCTTTTAAACACTCTTTATCTTTTTTCTTATTCTTCTTATCAAATTGTTGACTTTAGTATCGGAGCAATCCCTGGGTTAGCTAATTTGCGCAGGTGTTTAATTGGACGGTAAACCTTTACGCATCCCAAGAGTCATAGTGCCGGACTGGAGCTCACGCGAAACAACTAGTATTAGGGCCTATTCTCATACGTTGAAATTCAGTTCAGTTCAGTTCAGCTCCTAATTTCCTTCTCTTATAAAATATTCAGTTCAATTCAGTTGAGTTCAGTCAATGAGAACAGGCCCTTAGTATATATATTTCAAGCATTTAGATGTTAGTTACATTTCAGATGATTTTGTACCATTATTATAACAAGACTATAAGTGTCTATTTTAATCACCTTATTCCCACTTATTTCAGGTGTAATAAGTTTAAGTTAGATTTGTTTGAAAAAAATAAGTTTTGATAAGAGTTATCCTAGTACAAATTACAACTAAAATACTTCCTCTATTTTTTTTAGTTGATATCTTTCTATTTTCACACTCATCAACGTATGTTTTTAACGTTTAATAACTTTAATTGTCAACATTGTAAAATTATAAAAAGTGGATATTAATAAAATATAATATAGACGATTCAAGCAAGTCCCACATGACTATATTTATAAATCACAAAAGCAAGTCAAAAGTGTAGTATGTGAATAGTGTAAAAGCCAAACGGTGTCAGCTAAAAAAATGGAAGAAGTAAGTTTTTATTCAAAAAGTTAAAATTAGGTGAATAGAAACACCCTTTAAGGGTTTATTCTCTTCGGCTTATTTTCAGTTTAGTTCAGCTCAATAACTTCAGTTCTTATCTCAATTTCCTTTTCTCATAAGATATTCAATTCAGTTCAGTTTCAATAAATTCAGTTCAGTCCATCTTAGCCAACCAGAACATTCCCCAAGAGTATACATCATGAAACCATTTATTATCGTAGATATTGGCATTGTTTGGCAAATAGATGTTGGCGGTTGGATGATTCACTTGACTTAGCTTGTTTGACCAGTTGGAATGTTTGGCGTTTTATAATGGCTTTTGAAATTGGTTGTTTAATTAAGCTAGTTGTTTATAAAAGTGTTTGGTAAATTAATTGTTGGTTGTTGGCTGTTTATTAGATAATTTGTGGGCCAACAAGTCAAAAGTCAACAAAAAAAAGCTACTCAAAGCAGCTTTTTCATTTTGGCTTAAAAGCCAGCTTTTTCGCTGTCTAAAAAGCCAATTATCGCTGACTAAAAAGCCAATTACCAAACACATTTTTTGGTTGTTTAACCACATAAAAAAGCCAAAAGCTAACCAAAAAGCCATTTAAAAGCCATTTACCAAACATGACCATTATTTCAAATAAAAAAGCTTGGGTTTTTCTATACAGTGTCCCTGAGGTGTTGACTTTTCCAAGCTATGCCCACCCATTTTCAAAATTCCACATTGTACCCCCAAGGTACCTTTAGTGTCTACGTTGTCCCCAGTCGTTAAGTAGCCGTTTGCCAATTCCGTTTGTTTTATATTTCCAAGCTTTAGACGTTGCATTTTGGTTATTTTTGGTGGGCACAACTTAGACACTAAAGGTACCTTAGGAATACAATGTGAAATTTTGAAAATGGGTGGGCACA